CTCACTGAACTTTCTTCCATGCTCTTGACTATTGCTATTTTCTCATCCATTTCACAGGCATTTTCATCTCTGCTGCTGACCTCCCTATCACCCAGATCCTGGATTAAATTCATCTGCTTGAGTGAAGGTTATGGAAGAGGTGATCTAGCTATTGATGAGGATGGGGACACTTAAGTCACCTACCATAATTCTCTCTTGATCTGACTGTGCTTTAAGTCCAACAGTGTTTGTTTTATGAAATGTACTTACAAGCATTATGCCTTTGTGGGGGATCATTTCCCCTATTGATAGGCAGTGATCTTTATTTCTTCTTGTTTTGGCCCATTGGTTTGGCATGCTGTTTCTCCATCCTTTTACTTCAGTCCACATACAAGGGGTTTACATGAATTCTGTATTTGTACCAGCTTTACTGAGCTAAAACTCACAGCCGGAAATTCATCCTTCTCAAGTATATGGTTGGCTGAATTTAAAAAATAGAATGTTTAGAGTTTGCAGCTATCAGAGCAACCTAGTTTTCCATCATCCTCCAAAGAAACCCGCTGTCTGTCTCTCTCCTCCCTTCTGCCTGCAGCAACCACTGATCTACTTATTCCTGCCGAGTCTCCTATTCTGGGATAACTGGAAACATGTGGTGCAGCCTGTGTGCCTGGATTCTTTAACTTGGTATAATGTTTTCAAGATTGCTGTGTGGTATAGAACATTTCAATAAGTACTTCATTCTTTTGACCATATGATTATCTCAGGGAATATATATATATATATATATATATATATATCCCACATTCTGTTTGTCCTTCCATCAGCTGCCCTTTCACAGAATTTGTCAGTCTGACCATGCTTCCTTTTTCCTTCACCACTATCTGAATGTAGTGTATCTTCAATCTTGTCTCCAGTCTTGGTCTTTCAATTGTTCGATCTAGTCTTATCAGTAAAATTTGTACTCTATTTCCAGCATTTCTGTTTCGGTTTTTTTTTTTCCCCAGTAATTTTTTTCTGTGTTGTTTATTTGGCTTTTTTGGGGGAGGTACTTTTGCAACTGAGCACAGGCCCCCAGGCCTCCTTGTTCAGCCTAACCGTGGGCCACGGTGGCCTTCGAGAGGGTCCCTCACCACTCCCACCTGCATACACTTACTGGCCTCTTCTCAATGCCACCTACCTGGTCCGGAGCGACTTCTGACACTTCCTCTTGCCTCAGTCACTTTCCTTCTCCCAAACCTAACGTGTTGAATGAACGTTCAGTTAGTGTTGGTTAATGCTCATGGGATACTGGGTTGATACTAATAAGCTCAGCTTAGTTGTGGGATTTGGGGACTTTTTTTTTTCCTCCGAATTTTTTCACACTCCACCTTCTAAAGAGTACCATCTTCCGATCCTACATGTGAGTAAATAATAAAATTCTCTTTAAAAATAAAAACAACTAACTTTATGGAATAGGGGTTAGAAGAAGGCCCAAAGGATTTATGGGTACTGACTTCAACTCTTGACTACTTCCTGCTGCAACTGGGTCAAACCATCCTTCTCTTCATCCCATGCCAGGCTGTCAGCTGGTGACCTCTGAGTCAGGGGCTAGTATCTGTGTATCAAGAGTATGTTATTCAAGTGAGTCTGGGTGTCATGTGGACAATGGTTTGGATATATTAACAGATGGACTGGAGAGGGGCCTGGTCACTTTTGAAAAGGAGTGAGAGCCCCCCAAAGGTCACAGGAATAGGTGTCACTCTCCTGGAGCTGCTCCTCTGGGATGGGATCGAGAGAGCAAACAGGTGAGTTTGTGAGCCTCGTGTAGCTGCTGCTGCTGACCCTAGCATCCCAAGCAATGGCGGACCAGGGCAATGGTCTCAGATCCAAGCCTGGCGGGGAGCCTCCGACACAGGGCTGGGAATAGGGTTGCCGAGACAACAGGCTCATCGGCAGTGAGGGAAAGAGCAGCAGAGTAAGGGCAGGAGCCGAAGAGAAGGGGCCAGCACCCCAAGAGTAGGGCAGGAGCCCAGTCAAGAGTCTGGAGAGGAGATGGCTAGAAAGAGCTGCATCAGTCACCTCTCAAGCTCCAGGGTTTTACACTGTTACGTTTTAAATAAGGATTCTTTCTGGTTCAGTAGAGAGAGGTACTAAGACAGATTTCAGTGAAGTGTCTTTTAGTGATGCCAGACACTGGCAGGATGTGGAGGAATGCAGGTGCCCATGAGAGGAGATCCAGCCGAACCACTTCTGTCAGAGAGTGTCTGAAGTGATCTTGCTGAGCCCCACGCATCTATAACCAATGTACAGTTACAAGTAACAGAGAGTGATCACGGAACTTGCTGAAGACCCTCTGAGCCTAAAGCGTTCGGTAAGGAAAACCCACATCAGTTGCTACAGAGATTTCTGCAAAGCATAGTTCCTGATCAGATGCCCCACTGTCTAAAGTAGGAAATATAAAGTGATCTTGCCTTTTAATCACACTCAAATGTCCCACCCACCTACTCTCAACTTAACCTCCCTATTCTGTAACAATAAAACAACCTGTTTACATCCTCGAGAAACAGTGACTGGAGCTGAGACTGACATAGTCCATCTCTTAAGACCCCATGGATTGTCTTCACATGGGAGAAGGTAGCCTTGGCTATTAGTAGAAGCCACTTCACTTGCGTCTCTGAGGGGTCAAGAACTAGGAACTTCCTGTATGTTCTTACTGGTTTCCTTTTTATACACCTCAGCTTCTACTCCTAGTCAGCTTCTCATCAGGACTTCCAATTCTGCTAATAAAAGCCCTTTAATATCACAAATGTTCACCATATACATGCCAACCCATCTGTTGACATTAAAATAAAATTGAATGTAAATCGTGGAACATCTCCATCTCTTGTACACTTCTTCAGTCTCCTCCCTTTCTCCCCTCTACCCACCTGTTCACAGAGACAGGGTCTTGCTATGGGTGGCCCACTTCACAAGTGTCAGGCTTCTTTATATTTTCTTATTGTTGTCCCTGGCCATATACAGAAACCCAGTTGTTCTTTTTCAAATGACCTGCCAAGTTCGCTTCTCTGTTTAACTACCTAAAGCCCATGTCTGGGAACAAGGTAGATGAAAAGACTGACATATGGGCATTCTTGTCACAGCCGAGTAGTCCAAAGGCACAGCCTGCTAAAGGTCCGTTCTTCCCTCTAACTCATGGAATGACTCATTTCTCTGTGGGTTTCTTTCAAAGCGTGCTGATATCACCAGTCTGAGCTGGTGCTAGGCGTCCAGCTGGCCATTTCCAAAAGGATGAGGTGTAGTGGGCAGCTGTTCCAGCTTTGACCTTGAAGCACCACCCCTAGTGAGGCAGCAGGTAATGGCCACACCTGCCTGTGACCTGCCCCTGGGGCCTGGTCGAGACGAGACCCTTTAAGACCCGAGATACGTACATGCTGGCTCCTCGTGATCCTGGATGCTGGGTTGCAGACCAAGTCAGAGTTCTCCAGAGAACTGTGCTGGACTGCACCTCAGTCAGATCCTGTAACCGACCCTTTGTTGGTTGTAAGTTACCCTGAAATAAATCTCTTTTAATTACCAGATAAACTATGTGGAATTGCCTCATTAATTGCCACAATAATGAGGAACTTCAAATCTTTAGCACAGCTAATTCTAACTTGCAAGGTGGAGCCATAGTTGGTTTCAGCTTATAAACCAGTTGTCAAACTTATAAAGTCTGGCAGTTTAGCTTTGGTAGAGCTCTTCCAGGCAGCTGGTTGCTATTATAGAGGTGGACAGTTTCACTGACTAAATGTGGACTTCCATTCAACCTTCCTCTTATGATAGAGTACTTCTATGTCATAAGATTCACCCTGTCTTCAGAATATTATTCAAACTTGCAGTTTGTAAGGAAGAAACTCAGTGTAGTGGTCTGAATGAGAATGGCCTCATAAGCTCATATATTTGAATACTTAAATCGCCAGGGAGTAGAACTGTTTGAGAAGGATTCAGAGGGGTGGTCTTTTTGGAGAAAGTGTGTTGCTGGGCATGGGCTTTGACATTTCAAGAGCCCACACCAGGTCCAGTGTGTCTGTCTGTCTGTCTGTCTCCCTCTGCTTCCTGCCATCATGATGATTGGCTAACCATCTCAAACTATAAGCAAGCCCTCAATTCAATGTTTCTTCTGTGGGAGTTGCCTTGTCATGGTATCTCTTCACAGCAATAAACCAGCAACAAAGACAGAAGCTGGTACCAGTGACTAGGGTATTGCTGTGAGAGGCCTGACCAAGCTATTTGCTGATGGAATATGGAAGACTTTGGACTAGAAAAGCAGTTGACCACTCTGAGTGGGGTTTAATGGGCCATCCTAGCAGGAACATGGAAGACAGTAGTGCTGAGCCGATGTGGACTAGGCAAGCCCAGTCCAAGAGGTTTCAGAAGGAAAGAATATGGTAATGTGGCTGGTCTAAAAAGCATTCTTGTAACATTTTGGGAAGGAATGCAGCTGCTTTTTACTCTGTCCTAAGAATCTGCCTGAGCCTAAACTGAAGAGTTTGGATTAATGTCGTTGGCAGAGATTTTAAGGCAGCATTTTAAGTATTGATCGTGTGCCGTGGTTTTCTTAGTGATCACCCTTATGCAGAGCTATGGCGAAAAGGAGCAAGTGGGTCAGAGAAACATAAAATGTACAGTTTAAGGAGAAAAAGTAGTGGGAAATGTATGCAGAAGTTCCAGTGTTCAAGGAGATAAACGTTTCAAGAAAAGTCTGATGCTATAGGGAATAAGGGAGTACTGCTCTCTTGGGCAAGCGCCACCCAGCTAATCCTGCAACCTGGGAAGTGAGCCCCTGGCCCTAGGAACTTCCTAGGCTAAAACAACCATTGAAAGTTTATGCAAATGTATTCTAGGAGGCTGCTAACAAGCAGAAGAACTTGGCCATGTGGTTCTGGATTTAGAGTCAGGATGCTGCTGTCAGGCTTATGGCAGGAGAATCCTTGCCTGCACAGGCTACTGTGTGATAGAGATGTGAAAGTACTGTTGTCTGGCTAAATACAGATCACAAAACATTAGTTTTCCAATTTTCATTTATCAGTCATGATATGTACAAGAAAAACACTCACAGAAACATATACACAAACTCCTTTAAATTACTTCATTAAAACAAAGGTGAACCAAACCATTTGAAATGAAGTAAAATCATGAACAAAAATTAAAATTAACACAGAATATCAATACTTACACATCAAAGTGGTCAGTTACCAAAACAAAGCTAGCATATGGTCATAGAGAAAGACCCCGTGATCGCTACCCAAACGCTACTTCACTTCATTTTTCTCCATCTCCTGTCCCTCAGGCTTCCAACCTTTCACACTGGGGTACCAGTGCAGGAGGCTCCTGGACGTGGCTAACCGCGCAGCAGCTCCCAAGACAGCCGTGGCTGTACTTCGAGGGATGTAGAGCTTCTGAGCAATCTGGTGCTGGGGGGACAAAATCAAAGAGAGCTGGTCTATGGCTCCTTGACTCTCGTCCTTGACCACTGTGTCGGCATGGCTACTAGAAAAATCTTCACTCTTTAGGCTCCCTGGAGAGCTTTCCACTGAAAAAGAGGAAAAACAAGAGTCCTTTCAAGAAGTTCTCCAACTCCCTGCCTGCCCCTCCAGTCCCCTTCTTTACCAGCATGCATTACATATAGGCTTTTCTGATTGGTCAGAGGGACACTACTCAGAAAACAGCCAAGGTTAGGCAGGAAGTGAATCCTGCATTAGCATAAAATAGACACTTCTCAGGCTAAGGGCCAAGAAAGGGAGAGACGTGAGTGAGGAAAGGAAGACTTCCTTTTAGGAATGTCGGAAAATGAATCGGATGAAGCTCAAATCCCAGCGAGAAGCCCAGAGCTCCCTTTTTTTTTTTTTTTCCCAGTACAAAACAAATGGTACTCCACAGGCCCTCTCTACTGCCAATGGTTCTGATTCCAAGTCCATGAGAGAGTTGGAACAGAGGTGTAAAAGGCCACCTACTAACAAGTACCTTCTGTGTTGATTTCTGTAATTAGAAATAGCCACAGGAGCAAAATGGAAATGCTGGTGCTCTAACGCTCCAGCCAGAGTTTCTAATAACCAAGGATAGGGATGCTACACACTCTTAAATGGACATGCTAGACCAGTGCTGGCTCTTTTCCACTGGAGACCACTTTTTGCCTGAGAGTTTTATAGGGCCCTGTTACATAAAATAGACATATAAATCAAATGTTTACTGATAATAAATTTATTCTTTTGTTTTGTTTTGTTTTTGTTTTTGTTTTTCGAGACAGGGTTTCTCTGTGTAGCTTTGGAACCTATTCTGGAACTCACTCTGTAAATCAGACTAGACTTAACTCACAGAGATCCACCTGCCTCTGCCTCCCAAGTGCTGGGATTAAAGGCGTGCGCCACCACCTCCCGGCATAAATTTATTCTTAAAACATCTTTGGTATACATGTAATTTTACTGATTATTAAAGACAAAATCAAACGTGCATGCTGATCTGATGGATGTACTTATTTTTTACACAAAGGACTGAATCTTGGCTGAGCATTTGATACTACGAGGATACAGAACATCTTCATTGTTTACTGAAATGTCTTACAAAAATGACAATGTTTTAGTCCATTTCAGAAATTGTTGGAAATTCGGCCCTTACCTTAATCCTAAAGGCAAAATTCATTCAATTTTTTTTTTTTTTTTTTTTTTGGTTTTTCGAGACAGGGTTTCTCTGTGTAGCTTTGCGCCTTTCCTGGAACTCACTTGGTAGCCCAGGCTGGCCTCGAACTCACAGAGATCCGCCTGGCTCTGCCTCCTGAGTGCTGGGATTAAAGGCGTGCGCCACCACCGCCCGGCTCATTCAATTTTTTAAAAATGAAACTCATCAGTAACTCAAACATTCTAATACGATCCAATCCAAAGACACACTAATTTGATACTTAGGAACAACATTGGGAAAACAGTAAATAAAAGCCTTTGTTTTCTATAATTAAGCCATTAGGTTGTATTTGGTTTTGTTTGAATACAGGGTATCACATAGTACATTCTAGCCTCTGGAAATCACTCTAGAACTCCTGATCCTCCTGACCTTGTCTCCCACACGCTGAGATTGTGGGTTTGTGCAGTTTTATGGAGTGCCTGAGCTTGAACCCAGGGCTTTGTGAACACTAGGCAAGCACTCTATTAACTGAGCTATACCCAGCTCCAAGCCCTCACCTTTTCTTGTAAACCATTAAGTTTCTATGAGCAGAAAGAAACCTGTGTACAATAAAAACACTGCAATGTCTAACAACCTTCTCTCAATTCTGCGCCCAGGTGTCTCAGAGAGCATTTGCTGGCCAGGTCCTACTGCATGGTGTGTTGGCATGCACACTGAAGAGCTGTCATCTTACGTGCACGGGAACAAAGGCTGCAGGGAAATGGTGTGAGGCAGCATGCGCGAGTGTACCGCAAGCACCCCGGATTCACTAAGAGTCTGAATCGAGGAGCTGGAGCAATGGCTCAACGGCTAAGGGCACTGGCTGCTCTTCCAGGGGTCCTGGGTTCAATTCTTAGCACTCACATGGTGGCTCACCAACCGTAGTCCCATGAGATCCAATCCTCTCTTAAGGTGTGCTTATATACATGCAGACAGTACACCCATACATATTAAGTTGATTTTTTTTTTGGTCTTTTTTTTTTTTTTTTTTTTTTTTGGTTTTTTTCAAGACAGGGTTTCTCTGTGTAGCTTTGCGCCTTTCCTGGAACTCGCTTTGGAGACCAGGCTGGCCTCGAACTCACAGAGATCCGCCTGGCTCTGCCTCCTGAGTGCTGGGATTAAAGGCGTGCACCACCACCGCCCGGCATTTTTGGTCTTTTTCAAGACAGGGTTTCTCTGTATAGTTTTGGTGCCTGTCCTGGATCTTGCTCTATAGACCAGGCTGGCCTCGAACTCACAGAGATCTGCCTGGCTCTGCCTCCCGAGTGCTGGGATTAAAGACGTGCACCACCACCGCCCGGTTACGTTAAGTAAAACTTAAAGATGTCTGAATTGCATTTTGATTGTTGCAAGTTCACAGCCTTTTACTACTGTACACTTTACCCCTCACAGTTTTAAGAAGCTGATTTCTAGACCAATACTACCCCAGGTGGCATCCCACTGTGAGAGGAGGGCTGTCATGTTTGGGGGCATGTGGAATAACTTGGCTTTATTCCACAAAGTCCTGCTTTAGTGGAGCATGCTGGGCACATGCCTGTAATCTCAGCACTAGGGAGAATCAGGAGGTTAGGAAATCCCAGACCAGCCTGAACTAGGTGCAAGGTTCAGTCCAGCATGGGCCACAGAGCAAGGAAGACTCTGTCTTAAAAAACAAAAACCCTGCTTAAAAAAGTTCAGGTGAACTTAAATCCATTCAGCAGGACACTCAGTTTGCCGTGCTGCACCAACTCCTGTTATACTGTCTGCAGACACTTGACAGACTAGCACAACTATCTCCAAACATACATTTCACTAACTTCACAGGAAAGTAAGTACAATCCAATCCCTTTTATCTTTGCATGTTAAGCACGTAACACATGATCTATTATCCCTGGTACCTGTGATAAGTTTTTGTCACAGAAGATTTGACAGTGTGTTCTAAGAAGTGATATTCTGACCATAAAATGATTAAGTAGTAGTGCCCACTAGAGAGGAGGAGACAAATACATGAAAGGGGGGACATGTGGTCGGTCACACAGAGAGCTGCAGTGTTGAGCAGAATCAAGCGTTCACTCTCCTGCCCTGAACCATCAGGAAACTGGGCAAACACACGGACAACAGTTCCTGCAGAGAACAGTGCTGTGGGAGGGACTCCTGAGGGAACACACTAGAGGGGGGTGTGTGTGTGTGCATGGGTGTGTGTGTGTGTGTGGGAACCAATGCTGAGAAATGTAACTGCCACACGCCCCTTCCCTAAAACAGACAGAATTCTGGAAGGAATCCAGACAATATAAAATTCTATGTCTGGCATCCAAAGAAGCAGAGTCTGATTTGGAATCAGGAGAAAATAACAAACAGATCCAAACAGGACACAGACGATACATTTCAGAAAGAATCACTAGCCGGGCGGTGGTTGGCGCACGCCTTTAATCCCAGCACTCGGGAGGCAGAGGCAGGCAGATATTTGTGAGTTCAAGGCCAGCCTGGTTTACAGAGTGAGATCCAGGAAAGGCGCAAAGCTACATAGAGAAACCCTGTCTCGAAAAACCAAAAAAAAAGAATCACGAGATAAATGCATTAAAACAGATGCTGGGACGCTCAATAGTTAAGAGGAAAGAAAAACGTAAGCATGATGGAAAATAACTGGGAAATAAAGACTCCAAACAAAAATGTGGAGATGAAGAACAGAGTATCTGGGATCTAAGTCCACGTTGGGACACTTGGGACACAGGACAGACACTACCACAGAGAGCAGAGCTGGGAATGGAGCTATCAGTGAGCTACAGAGCGGGTGACTAGTGCGTGTGCGATCCGATCTGAGAAGGACTCAGGACACTAGCCTCAGTTTTTAAACCTTCCAGCTCTGTGGTTTTATAGTTTCATTAACTCTTATCTACAACTGTTTTTGCACTGTAGCACAGATTCCATACCCGCAAAAATGAAATATGTATATTTGGGGGTGCCAGGGACCAAACTCAAGGGTCTTGTGAATGCCATACAAACCACAATTCAGTCATTCTCCAGCCCTATTTTCTTGACTCCTTACAGCAAACATTTGTTGAATCCTCATTTAAACTTTAAAATAAAGGGTACTGGAAAAGATAAATATGTAAGTAAATAAAATAAAATGCTTTCTTTTTTAAATTTCTTTTTAAAACTGACTATAAAAAGAAAACTAAGAACTGATTATGGGTACATAATATAAAAAGTAAAATATATAACAATAACATCAGGCTGGGATAGGAAAATGCATACTATTCTAAGATTTTATTAGTAGAGATGTGTCAACTTAAAGATATAATGGCATCTAAGCACAGGAAAGCCGGCTAACGTGGGGAACAGAATGACCGAATTGGTTGCAATAGCCCCTCACATTCCACTGTATTGGCAAAGGTAAAGGAATTTTTTAAAAGCTGGGTGGTGGTGGCACATGCCTTTAATCCCAGCACTCAGGAGGCAGAGCCAGGTGGATCTCTGAGAGTTCAAGGCCAGCCTGGTCTACAAAGTGAATTCTAGGACAGGCTCCAAAGCTACACAGAGAAACCCTGTCTCAAAAAAAAAAAAACAAAAAAAAATTTTTTTTTAAATACTATCTGGAGGTTAGGATGTGAAGCAATCGCAAATTTCATACCTCACTGGGAGGCATGTGAATACTACATCCTCTTTGGAACACATTTTGGTAGTTTAAAAAGCTATGCATACAGTGAACATAAGCCCTAGAAAAATCACTTCCAATTGAATAGCCAACAGAAACGAAACTCTACAATATGATGATAAAGGAAAGAAGTCAGATATGAAAACTATATACTATGTAACTCTAGAAATGGCACAGTGGCATGCCAGAGGCCAGCCAGCTGAGGTAGGGACTGACTGCAAAGGGCACGAGGAAACATTTTAGGCTAACGGAAATATCATGACTGAACACATTTGTCAAAACTCAAAGAGCCATGTACTCGAAACTTTATAAAACTGTAAAGTCCCTCCAAAAACTACAAGCAAGGAAGAAAGTGTCGAAGTTAAAGAGAACTGAGCTCAAAACTAAGATGAGAACTTGGAGCAAATGCTGGCACTAGCCATCTTTCAAGGTATGTTCTCAAAGAAATCGAGGTTTTAGCAACAGGGCAAACCTGTCAACTGAGCATGCCCAGGGTACGCAGACCTACCAGAGTCAGAGTGGGTTTCTGGAGAGTTGACCCTGGAAGGAGCTGAGCTGGGCACTGTCGAAGACAGCAGACTGTGCTTGGGTTGAGTCTGAATGCTGACAGGTTCCGACTGGCTCCCTTCTGCCGACTGCTGTGACTTGATAAGAGAGATGTAGAACTCTTCCAGTTTGGGCAGTGTGGAAGAATCCAAAGGATACTGTAAATCTGCTTGCTGCAAAATAGGAGAAATGGGGCAAAGGCATGAAAAGTGCCAGTCAGTACCATAAGAATCAAACCCTCTGTTTTGTTATTTAGATCATAATTTAAAACTTCGGAAAAAGCAAGCTCTTCTCTATTTTTAATAAATATCAAAATTCAATTTAGGAAATCTTTATTGATATTTCTATGAGCAAACTGGTACTGAGTACTACCACACAGTGGAGTCAGACCCTCCTTCCTGCCATGTGCCCGTGTTCAAGTGCATACGACAACTCAGGACCATTATCTTCCATGATACTGAAAGGCATCAACATGGCTAATGTGAATACAAACTAAAGGCACTCACATTGCAGGGGAAAATGCCAAAAGACATTTATCAGATTAGCCACCTAAGATCCAGGAAAACCCTGGCCAAGAGTAAAAGGTAGGACATAACTGTACGAACAGCCAGCCTAGAAATTATGCTCGCTATCGGGAGGAAAAGAGTGATACCACAAATTCCAGAGAAAGATCGTGATTCAGAAAGGAACAAGAGGCCCATAATGATCAACTACAGTGGAAATCAGACAAAATAACGCGCACCAAATTTAGCAGCTAAGCCTGTGAAAGGAAGGTGGGCCCTTCTCCCTGGTAACAAGGAAGCAAGCCTGGATCTTTGTTGTCAACAGTTTGGGCCTTTCCAGAATCTGCAACATGCATGCCCCAGAGCCGGATGCAGGGTTCTGGGCAGGCGGACTACCATGCTCCCGACTGAACTGGCCCTGGCAGTTTTAGAATAGAAAAGAACATGTTTTTGACTTCACCCTGGGTCAACCTCATGTATGCTGTGGTTCCTCCTTCTGTTAGGGCAGCTTCTCTTTCAGTAGACACAAGCATAAGACCTCTGCTAGTCACACTAGACGATAATCTACTAAAGCAGTAAGAGAAATTAAAGTTGATCCAACTGTATGTATAATATTTGTAATGTATAATGTGTATCTATTATATGTGTATATACTGTGTATATATGTATAATATGTATATATTACACCTACAATTTGAGAGGAGTGTCCCCAATGACCTAATTACATCATACCAGGCCCCAACATTTTAATACTGCCATACCAGAGACTATACCTTTGACACATGATACTTTGAAGGAAAAAAACACAATGCAACTCACAGCAACAGAGCATTGTTCCTTCTAATGCAAACAGCCCTTAAGTCGATGCTGAGCATCTAATTTTCTCACAAGAGTGGGTGATATTTTCAGAGGTTTTCTGAAGTGACTATATATTCTCCTAACACATTACTGATATTTATTTTCAGTGAATGTCCTCCAATGTTAGAAATTACAGTCATGATTTTCCTTGTAAAGTTTTGTAAATGGCCTCTATAGGAGTCTAAAACAGGTCTGAGTTATCTCCTACTTCAGAAACACTTTAGAGTTGTCTATCTTTAATACACAGGCCTATTTTCAAATTGTTACAATTTCTTAAAAACAAAATTGAGACTTTCCCTAGTAGATGGTTCCTAGCCCATATTAGGTTTATTAATAACATTGCCATTGCTACTATAATTATTACTATTTTATAAAACTAATGTGTGCTTACTATATGCCAAACACAGCCTTGTGGAATACCTTCACTACTGTGGTGGCTCGAATAAAGAAGGCCTCAGATTGGGGCAAATTAGGTGGTGTGGCCTCACTGGAGTAGGTGTGGCCTTGTTGGATGAGGTGTGTCACTGGGATTGGGTGCTGGGGTTTCAAAGCCCATGCCAGGCCTGGTGTGTGTCTCTGCCTGCAAATGAAGATGTAACCCTCCCGGCTACTTCTCCAGCACCAGGACTACCTGTGTGCTGCCATGTTCCCTGCCGTGTTGATAATGCACCAATCCTCTGAAACTGTTCAAGTCCCCAATTAAACGCTTTCTCTTGTAAGAGCTGCCTTGGTCATGGCGTCTCCTCATAGCCATAGAACCGTGACTAAGACAACCACTTAGTATAAACCTTTGGCAACAATCTAAGTCTTATTTCCTCGTTTAAAATGGCGGTAACAGGGATGAACAGAAAGTGCTTACAACCGCGGTGGTAAACAGTGAGTGCTTAAGCACGTCAGCAGGGTTATCTCTACTAGTGAAAGGGATCATAGTGGTAACAAACCACAGGAACTAAACCCAGATATGTGACTGTAGAGGCAGAGCTCTGAATTACTATGAAGTTCACAGCTCCTTACAGACTAGCGATGGGGAAATGAGCTGTCACTAATTGAAAAGGCCCAGAGTATAGTTACTAAAAGCCCCAGCAGATTCAGACATATTGGGTTTACAAATCCCGATCCCTTGGTGTGAAGATATAAGCTATAAAAATGTTAGCAAGATTCCCAATCATGGCACTCCTCAATTTTACTGCATTGGAAACATTGGACAAATTCGATTTTATAATATTTGAAAGTCCTGGGGAACAAACACAGCTGGGTAAATTGTCAGAAAGTGAAGTGGGTTCCATAGATACCACAGCATTTTAACTAAGGCATTCTCTAATCAGAAATGGGGTTGAGGTCCAAACAGAAGTTTCAGTCTTAGGGTTAATGAGAGAGAGAGCAGATCCTGAGTTGACAACGCATCCAGGCCTCGACAGACACACACACCCCAGAGAAAAGAATGAGAAAGCAGTCGAACATTCTGCTCACCACTCTCTCAAGTTATCTGCCAAGTCCAAAGCTGCAAATTCACAGAGTCTATGAAAACCCGCAGAGATCAGCAGCTGGTAGGCTAAAAGACAGAGAGTGGAGTCTGAGCCTCGCCAAGGTGGAGGGGAAACTGACCAGGCTTTCGGCTGGTGTGTCAAAGAGGAACGCGGAGCGAAGGTGAATGTGAGCTCAAACTGTCCCAGTCAGCTTTGTCAACGGACAGCCTAAAGCAGCGGTTCTCAACCTGTGGGTCAAACGACCCTTTCACAGGGGTCGCCTCAGACCATCAGAAAACACAGACATTTACAATACGATTCATAACCGTAACAAAATTACAGTTATGAAGTAGCAATGAAATAACTGTATGGTTGGAGGTCACACCACACGAGAACTGTATTAAAGGGTCGCAGCTGTAGGAAGGTTGAGAACAACTGCTCTATCGCCATCTGAAGAAAGCCTCGACTGAAGATCTGCTTTGACCAGATGGCCAGGGGTGTGTCTGTGGGTGACTGTCTTGAAAACTGATGCAGCAGGCATACATTAACCCCAATTTCTAGGAACGAAAGTGATTGATCATGTAACGGGTCACATAATGCTAATTGGATTTTACCTTTCTAATTCTGGTTGTGCCAATATTTTTTTCTTGAGCAATGGGCCCTTCAGGTGTTTGAATTCCTCCCTTCATGTCATGTGCAAAGCCCAAGGGCTGCCATGAGTCATCCCATATATCTTTAGATGCGGAAAAACACCAGTCCTGCACAGAACAAGACAACAACAAATCAGGATACGGAGGCACGAGACCGCAAAGCAAGATAAGGTGGCGGCAAAGGAGTGGCGTGTTTTAAACGACAGAAAGGATGTGTGGACTCTCTCAGGGTGACTTCTTCCCTCCAAGTCTGGAGCAAATCTTCAACACTCGGGCTTCATGAAAATAAATACATCACTGTGGGGTTTAATACTACTCTCTTAACTAGCTGTTTCCTGAGCACCTAGTACTTATCTACTTCAAAAACAAAACATGCATTTTTTTTTTTAAATAAATCCCTCTGAATTCCAGCAGGTGAGACTCTCTAGAAGCCTGGGCTACTGAGTTTAAATTTCCTTTGTCAACAGTGATTTGCTGTTTGTTTTCCCCAAGAATCTAACCTTTTGTGTCATTTCTCCATGGGACTGATACTGTTTCTTCCCAACAAGGCTTGAAGTTAACATATGGGAGGCAGGGCCCTCGCCCTTCCCCATTTTAGCCTGTAGAGGGAGCCAGTTCTCATCCCAAACATCATCATCTATGGTCACTGACTCCAGGCATGGCATTCCAGTAGGGATCTCATCCTGGAATATATCAGAAGACAAAGAAATACTATTATTTATATTTCCCAACACAAACACACTTTAAAACTCACGTGCACCATTTTTTCCTGGCTCCAAGTAAGGACAGAAGTTTAATACACAAGACATTTAAGGACATGTACATGATAAAGAGGCAAGGGGAGAAGATGCTGTCTACATCCTGGTTGCAGGAAAGCAGACTTCGTAACTGATTACAGGGTCCTAACTGACCACAGACTTCTGAGTGTATGATGGGAAAAACTGAGACACAACCAAATGTGTATAACATAAAAGTTCAGGAGCTTTTAAAGAGTCCAACTTCAGAAACTAAGTTCTTCTGGGTGAGAGTAAAGAGGGAATGAAAACAAGAGCCTGGGGTCAAAGTCAGGGTAAGAAGCAACTGCATCTCCAGACATCCTGCCCTACTCACTCCTCCTCCATCTGCTGGGGACCAGAGCATCTTCCGGAGGGACTCTGGGAATGTAAACTGAATGTGGAATAAACAAGGAGAAATGAAGGGTTTTGGATCAGCCAGCCAAATCCATCACTGTTCCATCACTCAGAGATAACTTCTAAGAGAAACAATTCAAAAAGAAGACAAGTCTGTTTGGACCCATGGTTTCAGGGTTTCAGTCCATGGTCAACAGCATGCCTGTGAGGGTTAGGGAGGCTAGCAGATCCCCTGGCACCAGAGTTCCAGAACAAAAAATATTATTTAAAAGTATATAGGCAAAGTGTCCTAGCACACTATTTGGCTCAGCAGAAAATAGCGTTTACAGCCATAAATACTGAGTGGTCAATGGAAGTTTGACATACTGTACTAAGAAAGACAGTGAGGCGGGGAATGAAGGATAAGTTTATGCCTGGTGGGGTGAAGGGATGAAGAAGGACTTAACCCTCATCTTTCATGCCAAGAAACCCAAAGACACAAAACTGAAAATCAGAAAATAAATATACTATTTAATAAAATAATTAGAGGTAAATTTCAAAACAACAGCTCAAAGAAAAGAAAATAAATATTTTAGAAAACAGAAAATGGGTCTGTCATGAAGGACTCTAGGCTATGTGCAGATAAACACTTGGTTACAATAAAAATGTGTTCTCCCAAAATGTAGACATATTTCATGATTTTTTTTCTAATATTACTTCTCAAGACTTTGAACACTACCATACTTGACCAGATCGTGGGTAGTAACCTACACATCCAGCCCAGACAGAGCTTTCCTCTACATGACTGGGTACATTCTGTACTGTGGCCTTGGTGGCTGCTAAGGAGATCATTTGACACCGACCTCAGTGTCGTGGAGTAATTCTTGCAGATGGAAACAATGGCACCTAGAGGCCGGCTGATTTATGAATCACTTAGTGAATGTAAAACCATCTCTCCTCCTTCTCCTACCTCGTTGTCTTCCTTTGGCTCCCCGGGCTTCAGGATGGACCACTGCAGATCTCCTTCACAGCTCTTACATGTTTCCAACGAACTGAACTGAGAATCCTTTAATAATTCCTTTGACGCAGATGTAAAGTGACTTAAAGACTTTTCATCATTAATATCTTGCTAGTAGACATAAAAGATAAATCATTTTCTACATTAATGCTGTTTCTAAAATCTGTATTTCTATAAATTTTGGTGGAAATTTTACATTATAGTTTATAGATGCCCATAAGTGTTCCTCTATTTTTTTTAAAAAATTTTACCCATTTCCCTAGGTCTTCCCATTCTGTTCAACTGCATCAGGAAACAAGCATTGTTGAGCACATGTTATCAAGTGTCTACCTGTAGTTACAGAGAATCCAAAGGTCCCCGACTAAAGAACTAAAACTATGGGAAACACACAATCAGGCCATTTGAGTACATTTTTCCTAGTACAACCATTAGAGCTATGTCACACACATTACAGGAAGGAGCCTGTCTGAAAAGATGCAGTGAAGATGGGCTGTTAGGAGTCTTAAAAACAGTAGGAATAGCAAGAGGCTGGGTGTGCATGTGGTGAGCAGTGGATGTGCAGCAGGTCCGCAGTGGGTGTGCAATAGATGTGCAGTGAGTCTGAGGTGGGTGTGCAGTAGGTAGCACACAGACGCTTTGCTATATCAAAACACAAACTAAAGCAGCAGAGTTTACATTTTCTCTTTTGCAAAAAAGATGGTATTTCATTTCTAGAACTAAACTATGATTATTTGAAGATACCAAGAGATATATATTCTAAAAATGTTAAACAATTAATTAAATTCATTATTCAAGAACAATAAGATATAATTCTTCCAATGCAGTAATAATGATTAAGAAATATTTAAACCATATTAGTTAAAAATCATTTCAGGGACTGGAAAGATGGATCACTGGTTAGAGGCACTTGCTGCTCTTGCAGAGACCCCAAGCTTGACTTCCAACATCTCCATGGTGGCTCATACCCATCCATAACTCCAGTTCCAGGGAATTCAATGGGCCCTTTGATATCCATGACCACTACATGCACTGTGGTGCATTACTTACCTGTAGGCAAGATGTTCATAAAGTAAATAAGTGCATCATTAAAATTTTTCATGATTTTTATTTTATGTGTATGAATGTTTTGACTGTACGTGTGCCACACTTGTGCTATGCCTTTTGCCTGAGGAGCCGGAAGAGGGAATTGGCTCCTCTGGAACTAAAGTTAAAGGCAGTTCTGAGCCACCATTTGTGAGCTGGGAACCAAACCCAGGTCCTCTGCAAGAGAAGCAAGTAAGTAGTCTTAACCACTGAGCCATTTCTCCAGCCCCAGGCCAAACTAATTTTAACTAGAAAGCTAATTTTTTTTCTATTTCCTTTGAATGCATCAGGGGACAGTCACATTTTTTGTGTGTTTAAGATAAAGTCTTGCTATGTTGCCTAGGCAGGTCTCAAACCTGTGGTCTCCTTGCTTTGGGCTCCTGAGTTGGCATTATAGGCGTGTGCTGCCATGCTCAGTTCTTATGTATTTTTTGGGACAAGTTAAAATCATAGTAGTCAAAGTGGCCTTGCCTTTGAACCTTTTCAATAATCAGTAAATATTTACTAAAAAAAAAGACTTTACCATCTCCAAAATACACAGACGTACCCATTAAACAAAGGATAACAGTGCCTGGGATAGACTACTAGTTCAAGAACTCTTTCTACTCTTATTTGGGCCGGAACAATACATGTTAGTGGAAAAGATGTTATAATGCTGAGATTACTGGGGGGGCAGGGAGAGAGAGCTGGCCGTTTGCATAGAGTATGAAATAAGAAGACTCCAACAATACCGAGTAGTCCAGGAAAGTGTCAAGGGCAGCAAGGTGCTCAGGGGAAAAGCACTTGTTACCCCGAGCCTGGCTGCTGGGTTTCATCCCTGCGACCCACATGCCAGAGAGAGACCAGTTCCCACAAGCTTTTTTCTGACCTCCACGTGTGCATCGAGGCATGCCTGTGCCTACACACATACACACAATAAACACATGCAATAAAAATGTTTTTAAAAGAATAGCATTGGCATTCGTGTAGGGGAACCACAGCCACACCAAGGGAGCAAGAGAATTTGGTGCATAAGAGGACCCGTTAAAGAGGAAACAGGACTAATGCAAAGGATTAAACTGGCAAAAAGACAAGGTCACTCTCACTATAGTTGTGGAAGGTTCCCAGACCTTGTCTGCAAAGTGTCATTACACTCATCTACAAAATGAGGGTGTAACGATAGTTAACTGGAGTAATTACATCTGCAGAAGCCTTTTACTTGGCTCTACAGTGCACTCACCTTGGACTGCTGCTGTATCTCCCTGTCTTCGTTAAAATAGTGCTGCTGAGAAGGACGCCCCAGCTCTGTGAGGACCGTGTCACCTGCGGCCACTCCGCTGGAGTTAGTGTAGAGCGCTAGTGGGTTGAGATCACTGAAGCCCTATGACAAAGCATCCAATTATATAATAAGCTTGAAAGGGAGAACAAGCTGGCGCTTCACACGGCACTGAAGCCTACGTTCTAACATAAGGTGACGATCTCCACACTGATACTTCTTCAGTTCAAAAACAGCATCAGGATGAGAAATTACGTAGATAGGACTATTACTAATTTCAAAATGTGAATGTAGTTCTTTTCTGGGAAAACATTAGATTAACTAACTATTTCAGGGTTAGAGGGATTAAATCATTTGTTTTAAATACAAGTAGTGTTCACCAGAGGATTAAAGAACAGTTAGCAAGTTGTGGAGTTGTTTCTCAGTGGTGGTGGTAATGGCCAGGTTTCAATAGTCCCCTGAAAACGAGGAGGGTGCTCTGCATTGAGAAGTCAGGAACCTAACAGACATCTCTAAGATTGAAGAGTACATCAGTGACTGCACATACTAAATTGTCTTATATCCTAAAATGTGGCATTTAAATATGTATTTTACCTTGGATGGAGCATTTTCTCGGCATACAATAGCATGGCCCTCTGTCCTCAAGACATGATGAAAGTAGACATCTTCATTTGAGGATGTATCACAAAGAAAAATATTAAGGATTCCGTCTATATATTCATCCACCACCCCTACTAATGGCTTCAAACCACATAGCTTCTGGAAGTGCAAAATAGCTCTGGATGTCCAGTGTTCCTAAAATACAACAGAGATATATTTATGTGATAGATTTATACCTGAGTTAAAGCAATCATATACAAAAATGAATTGCTAATGAACTAGAGTTTTAAGTGAAAAAAAACCAAAATCCTAAAAAACTAGAATATATAAAACATGTATAATTTTAGGGGGAGAAAAAGAAAAAATGGTTAAATAAACATGACTACAAAAAATCATCTGGTGAAGAACTCTCATTTTCAGGAATATATTATTTACTTATATAAATAAGGGATCCAACCATCAAGAAAATGCACATCAAAACCACACAGAGATTCCACTGCACCTCAGTCAACACAGCCATCACCAGAAAACCATAACAAATGCTGGAGAAGTCACAGAAAAAAGGGGCCCTTGTAAATGCTGCTGGGGGTGTGTGCTAGTCCAGTCACTATGGAAACCAGTATGGAGATCCCTCAAAAGGTAAAATTAACAATTCCACACAACCCAACTACACTGCTCCTAGGTATACACTCAGAATCTATGTCTGTCTCCTACAGGGCCAGCTGGACACTCATGTGCACCATGGTACTGTTACAGCAGCGAGGTCACCATGGCACTGTTACAGCAGTGAGGTCACCACGGCACTATTACAGCAGCGAGGTCACCATGGCACTGTTACAGCAGTGAGGTCACCATGGTACTGTTACAGCAGTGAGGTCACCATGGTACTGTTACAGCAGTGAGGTCAGGAAGTCAGTCGGTGCCTACTGATGGATAAAGATGAAGGGATAAAGCAATCGTGTTGTACATGCACAACAGAGTTCTACTCAGCACCAGGAAGGGTTAAATCACGTAGTTTGCAGGGAAATGGATGTAGAAATCATCACATTAAGTGAATTGGGACAATCTCATAAAACAAGCATTCCATGTTCCTCTAAGGTGTGGAATCCAGGGCTGGGCATAAGAATAAAAGGGGTAATATTAGAGCTACAGAAGATAAAAGGGGAAGGGAGTATAAGAATATTATATAAACACAAGAAAATCTCATAATAAAAACAAAGGAATGGGGCAAATATGATCAAAATACATTATATGTATGCATGAAAATGTCATAAACTCCTTATTTTATATTATATATGCTAATTTAAAAAGAAAAATAATGAAAAGGTTTGGAAAACGTAAATAATTATCCACTGAGTAAATCTCATTTTTTAAAAAGTCAGTTAAAGATTATTAGGCTAACCCTTCCATAGAAAAAAAATAAAAATTCTGGGTAAAATATTATTTTAATATATCACAAAAGACCAAAGAACTTATAAAATAGCAACAAATTGTCATGCCAAAATGGAAGGGAAAGTGAGTTCTACTTCTGCCTTCAGAGTACCTGCAGATCTGGGCAAATCTGAACTATAGTTTTGATGATCCTAATGAGTCCAAAGGGACAGATATCAAAACCAGGGTCTACAATGGCTGGGAGTCTAGAGAACTTTCCTTCCTTAAGCTAATTTCTGGGAGATACGCTCCCAGGAAAAAGGGAGGCAAAACATATACTAAGCTTCACATGGATTTGTGGCTCCGTTTTCACCCCACCAGCGTAGTCTAGCAATCTTCAGGTTGTTCGTTTCCATCAGCATAGTACAGCATAGTAGACCTTCTGGGCACCTGGCGGAGCAACTATAAACCCTCTCTGGAGACAGACACCATCCAACCATCCTGACACAAACTTTCAAGAGAACAGCAGTATAAAGGCAGATACAGACACAGTGTGGACGTCTGAGATTGCTCCACAAGCCTGACGAACCTGAGTTTGATCCCCAGGATCCACATGATGGAATAGAGACCCAACTCCCACAAGCTGTCCACTAACATCAATGTATGGCATGCATGCACACACAGATCCATGCATGTGCTGGAGCATGAGTGCACATGCGCGCGCACACACACACACACACAAAATTAAATGAAAATATAAAAATTTTATCTAAAATAAAGCCTAAATAATGAACCATATATATGCGAACAAGTAGAAACCACATAAAAAAATCCTCAAAACCTTAAAGCATTTTCATTTCTAAGTAATTATAAAACTAACTTTACACTTAAAGCAATACTAACAACAAAAAAATTACCCAACTTAGTTTGAAACTTTTGTAGAGATTAGCAATTTATAAAGATTGGTACAGGTCGGCCAGCAAGTTGTCTCAGTGGGTAGAAGCACCGACCGTGCATGGGCCTGATCACCCCAGTTTAACCCATGGATCTTACAAGGTGGCTGGAGAACTGTCTTGCTCTCACCCCTGCTTCTACACACACACACACACACACACACACACACACACACACACACACACACACACTTTTTAAAATTGATACAATTGAACTAAATTTCAGTAAAAGTACAATTAACAAAAACTAAAACCTTCCCGAGTTAATTCAGTAGCAGATTAAAAAGGATTAAAGAGTACACTAGACAGTGGAAGATAATTTAGAAAAAAACTGCCTACTATGTAAAGACATGGACATAAAAATACAGAAGACAGCTAAAAGATTTGGAAGAAAAACTTACCTTTAACACTTTAAATGTTTGTTCCAGAAAGAGAGACACACAAACAGAGAGAATAAAAATATGAATATGGAGCATAGATAATAGTCAAAGAATAACAACTTCAAATTCACAAGGTTTAATGAAAACTAATAACCCACAGATTATTACTAAGTGCCCAGTGAGAAAAGTAGGATAAATAATAAGTTCACACACAAGTAAACATATCACATTTTACATAAACACTCCCTGAAACTGAATGTAAGGGACACAGGGAGGAAGATCTTTAAAACAACGAGGACAAAACAGTGTTAAGGAGTTCCACAGGAAGAGTCACTAGACTGACAGTGACTTCTCTAGTTAGGAAGACCAGAAGCTAGCGTAGCCTCTAGTGTGCAAGAGAAGCTGATGCCAGCCCGGAGCCCTACCCCTGGCAAACCTGTAATGGGCCTGGGGTGGGGGGGGGGCTCTAACAGGCGGTACAGCCCGTGCTTTGCAAGCATGAGGCCCTGCCTTCAATCTCTAGCACATGCACCAAAATTAATACAAAATAATGATGGGTTCTGGTAAACATTACTAAATTTGCCACTGCATGACCCTTATGAGATACTAAACAGTGCAGCTCAAGTGGGAAAATATTCCCAGGCAAGGAGTGGGAATAGATGATGAGTTTAAAATATGTAATCAGATCCAAATAGACACTATTATAATTTTTTGTAACCAATTTCTTATTTTTTAAATAAAAACAATATTTCTTAAAACAATAAAAATTCTAACAAAACAAACATCTTCAAGTTAATTTCAGTTTCATTATTTTCTTACATTCCTTCAAGAAAACTATTTATTGTAATTGCATATTATATATTAGATCATATATAGAGACTAGATTCTTTGAACATCTCCCTTTTACCACTGTGTTAATTTTTATTGAACTATATAGCATAAAAATGCACTTTTAAGAGATCACATTGGAACAACACATGATTTATCATGTTACATGAATTACTTGAAAATTACAGTTTTCATATTTTTAAGGTATTATGTAAGACATTTATACAAAATAAATACTTTGACAAAAATAACATACTACTGAATGTTAGACATTATAAAATAACTATATTTATGAAATTGTTAATAAAAGCTTGATCTATGAGGACATGTTAAAAATAGATTTACAGATACTACAATGGTAGAGTGTCACATTCTTTATGCTATGTTCCATTACATATAAAGGTCATTTAAGGTAACATAAAAGAAATTAATCTCTCGCCGGGCGGTGGTGGCGCACGCCTTTAATCCCAGCACTCGGGAGGCGGAGGCAGGCGGATCTCTGTGAGTTCGAGGCCAGCCTGGGCTACCAAGTGAGTCCCAGGAAAGGCGCAAAGCTGCACAGAGAAACCCTGTCTCGAAAAACCAAAAAAAAAAAAAAAGAAATTAATCTCTCAGCAGCTTCCAAATGTAATACTTCAATATGTACACTGTAATCAATTTGGATAATCTAACAAAATGCTAGAATGAACATTAGTTTTTCATTAATCTACAGTCTTACAATTCTAAACTTAAGGTTTGAAAGATTCATATCCTACTGAGACCATGTTTCCTGGCTAGTAGACAGCCTCCTTGCCATGGGCTCACACACAGAGAGAAAGAGGTGAGAGAAGAGAGTGGGAAGAGGAGGGAGAGAGGAAGAGGGCATGTAAATGGTGGGCTCTGTATCATGCAAGGGAAGCGGGGATCTAGTGTACAGGAGGAACAGGAACAGAATTGGGGCCCCATCCCAATGATGCTCACTTTTAGTTACTTCTTTATTATTTAATTTTTATTGTAAGAATATACTAATTGAAGAGTTTATATGTATTTTGCTTAATACAATAAACACATTAATGCTCAATGCTTTGCCAGGATACATACACTCACATACAAACGAATCCCTCAGTCATGAACAATGAGGTAACCTGAGCTAGCTCATTGAGGAAAAAGAGGAATTGATTTCTGGCTTTGTCTAAAAAAATTCTAATAGTGTAGCTCAGTGAATACTAATTTTTAAGCAATAATTTTAGCATAGTAATATAGGCATTATCAAAACATAGTATCACAAAAACAAATTAATTCATCTATACTAAGATATAAATCCAGGGGCTAGAGAGATAGCCCAGTGGTTAACAGCACTTGCTGCTCTTGCAGAGGACCCTGGTTCATTTCCCAGCACCCACTTGGAGATGAAAACCATCTGGAACTCCAGTTCTGGGGGTTCTGACACCCTATTCTGGTCTCTGTGTGAACTGTATGTACTTGTTAAGCATACACACATTCAGACAAAACATCCACAAGCATAAAATTTAAAAGGAAAGATTGTAATTCATAGCATTGATAACATTATCAATGGTGATAGACCCTAAGGTTGCTCCATCAGTCAGGAAGGGGAATTCCAAGAGGATGCACACCTTATGATCATGTTTTAAAAGTTTATTCTAATTAATGTATAGTACATTAGAAAATTAACTTTAAATTTTTATTTGTTAATTTACTCCCACTTTGAATTTCTTCTAATAACACCCTTTAGAGTCATTATTATCTTTTATCACACATACTTTGTTTTTCTTACTTATAAGAGCCATCCAACATGGGAAGTAAAACTATCATGTCTAATATATAAAGTCAAGTATCACGTAACTACATGCCAACATGACTCATAAACGAAACAAGAAAAAAGAACAACTTGAATTATCACTTATTTCCATGGTGTTCAGTTCTACCACCATAAAGGCATTCATACTGTAAAAATATCTGAGGGGTTGTCATATATAGCCTCCATTATGTTAAGAAAGTTCCCTCTACCCCTACTCCAGGACTTTTTTCATGAAGTCATGTTGGATTTTGTCAAAGGCCTTGTCCGTATCTATGGAGACGATCATGTGATTTTTGTCTTTAAGTTCATTTATAGGATTGATTATATTTATGCTGAGGCACCCCTTCATCTCCAGGAAAAGCCAGCTACAGCCAACATCATCCTAAATGGAGAAAAACTCAAAGCAATTCTGTGAATGTCCGTAATGAGACAGGCTCATCTCCACTCCTTTTCAACAGTGGTCAATGTCCTAGCTAGAGAAATGAGACAAAGGAAAGAAATATGGGCGCGACTAGGCAAAGGCGGCAAATCTGAAGATTATATGACTTCATACATGAAGGTCCTGAAAATTCCACCAGAAAACTACTAGAACTGATCACCACTGACAACGTGGAATGATAAAAGTCAACTCAGAAAATTCAGTAGCCATTCTATATAATAACAACAGACATGCTAAGAAAGAGATCATGCAAACACTTCCGTTCAGTGTAGCATCAAAAAATAATATATCGCCAGGTGGTGGTTGCACACGCCTTTAATCCCAACACTCAGGAGGCAGAGCCAGGCAGATCTCTGTGAGTTCGAGGCAGCCTGGTCTACAGAGTGAGATCCAGGACAGGCACCAAAACTACACAGAGAAACCCTGTCTCGGAAAACCAAAATAAAATAATAATAATAATAATAATAATAATAATAATAATAATAATAATAAATCTAGGAAAACACAGAACCAGGGATATGAAAGGCCTCTGGAATGAAAATTTTAAACCTTTGAAGAAAGAGACTGAGGAAGACACTGGAATATGGAGAGATCTTCTGAGCTCTTGGGTGGTAGAGTTAATACTGTTAATATAGCCATCCTGCTAAAGGCAATGTGCAGATTCAGCTCAATCCATATAAAAATCTTCATAATGTTCTTCACAGAAACAGAGAAAATCCCAAAATACACATGGAAACACAAAAGGGCCTGGGTAGCCCAAGCAATCCCAAGTGCAAACAACAATGCTGAATGGATCACCACTCCAGAATTCAAGCTGTAGTACAGAGCTGTAGTCATATAACCACTATAACACGGGCACAAAAGCAGACGTGTGGACCCATCAAAGAAAAGAGAAGACCCAAACATGAGTAAATGTAACTACAGACATCTGATCCTGCCAAAGACGCCAGAGAAAATACAGCATCTTCAACAAATGGTACTGTACCTCATTTATTTAAGTGATTATATGATATTATATAATAAAAACAGGTCAGGAGAGATCAATGACGTTGAGTGCTCCAATGTCTTTGCACTGGTATACGCAAGTATTTTTTTTTAAAATAATACAAAGTAAAGTCAGGCGGTGGTGGTGGTGCATGCCTATAATCCCAGCACTCGGGAGGCAGAGGCAGGTGGATCTCTGTGAGTTCGAGGCCAGCCTGGTCTACAGAGCTAGTCCAGGACAGGCTCCAAAGCTACACAGAGAAACCCTGTCTTGAAAAACCAAAAAAAAAAAAAGTAAAATTTACTGAAATTAATTTTTTAATCTTCAAAATCAGGAATGCTAAATTAAAAAAGAAAGAACAAGCTAGAAAGTATACACATACATATAGATAGTTTAAATGAACTTACGCCACTTGGGATGATAACGCCTTCTGCAAGAGTTACAGACTACCTAATAAAACCCCAGCATGAGGCATGAGAAACCTCTTTTGAGTTGCTGGTCAGGGAGTCCAAGAGATTCCAGAAAATTTAGGCTTCCCTGTTGCCCCTGATTGCTTCTGAAGTTGAAGTTCAGATCCTAGTGTTGAAGACACCACACACTTTGGACAGGACTCAGCATTACAGCTGGATCTGACCCAAAAGTCTCCTCCCTGACTGAGGACTAGCTTTCATATACACCAAAAGGTGCTATGCCAGTCATCAATAATTCCACCCAGCTGTGACGCCCATGAACTGCCAGCCAGCACGAAGTTACCCCAAAGACACAATTACCCACAGGTAAGTGCAGCTCTCGTCCCTTACCAAAGAAGCCTCTTTGCAGCAGATCAGAAATCCCTACTGCTTAGTAACATGTTGTGTGATGACATCATAGCACAACAGAGCACTCATTTGTGGTGATACTGGTATAAATAAACCTGTGCTGCAAGTTAGGTCAAAGTTCACCAAGTGCAATTATACACAGTGCACAGTGTTTGATGGTAACAACTGCTACTTGTTCATAGATGAACTTAGTCACCCCAGCTTATCCTGCATTCTGGGCACAGAATGTTGTGCTCAATGTTTGTGCTCCTCTCCCTCTGCCTGCAACGTCTTCTCTTTTTGCCCTTTGAGTAAACAAAAATAGGCTTATTTCCTTTTGCTGTTCTTTTACACCACAGCAAATGACAGAAAATGTGACATGACGCAATTCCTGCCCACACGTCTCTCTCTCAAATGACCCACAATCATTTCAATGTTATTTCTGTGTCCTGAGAACTCAGAATTGTGACTGGCATAAAGTAAGAACCAAATCTTTGCTGACCAATGAGAAACAAGTAAACGTACCTCTGCTGGTCTCACCCAAGCCAAAGAGCAAGGTATAGCCTGAGCAGGAAGCTTTGTGTAGCAGCATCTGCAGAATCAAAGGTATGACTATTGAATCACATGTGTACACTGCTTTTATCGAGTCTCTGATCCATTTCTTGTCTTGTTATTCACACCATTTTAATTAATTCACCACACTTTAAATTAATGCCTTGTACTTGAAAAGTAATTTAAGAAACAAATTATAAACAGCATGTTTTTGAAGAGAACCATGTCAATCAAAGCACCAGTCAAAACTGTTCAACCCCTGGGCATCTAAGTATGCCTCTTAGCATGACCCTGAGTTACTTTCTTAATAAAAGACCAATATGTATTCTCATGGTCCATTCAAATTCATAATTAAGTGACAGAAGACAAGACAGACTACAGACCATCCATAAAACGAGTGATCAGGGGCTAGAGAGACAGCTCAGTAACTAACAGTGTGTGCTGCTTCTGTGGAGGACTACCTGTAACTCCAGCTCCAGGGGCTCCTATAGCTTTGGCCCCTGTGGGCACCCAATCATACACATACACACAGTTAAAAACAATACAAATAAGTCTCTTAAAAATACAATAAATGGATAGCCAGGTGGTGGTGGCGCACGCCTTTAATCCCAGCACACGGGAGGCAGAGGCAGGCGGATCTCTGTGAGTTCGAGGCCAGCCTGGTCTACAGAGCGAGATCCAGGAAAGGTGCAAAGCTACACAGAGAAACCCTGTCTTGAAAAAACCAAAAAAAAAAAAAATACAATAAATGGCCGGGCGGTCGTGGTGCACGCCCTTAATCCCAGCACTCGGGAGGCAGAGGCAGGTGTATCTCTGCGAGTTCGAGGCCAGCCTGGGCTACAGAGTGAGTTCCAGGAAAGGTGCAAAGTTACACAGAGAAACCCTGTCTTGAAAAAACAAACAAACAAAATATATTAAGTGATCATTTGCCAACTATGCTCTATGATAAGATGTAAAGAATGGATGGAAATTGGCAAGAGAAAGAAAAGATCCCAGCTCAAAAGTTCCATGATTCAAAATTTCATTTTTCCAGCATTCTTGCTGAATTCAACTCACTTGAGGAATCGCAGTGAGGACTTCTGAACAGTTCCAATATTTCCAAAGTCTGGGTAGAACACTTCAACTTCCTTTTTCCCGAGGATTCGGTGGATAATAACCCGATACCACCACTTGTCCTCAGAAATCCTTACACAACAGAGATGTCCTGGTTGAATAAAATATTCTGGCATGATGTACCGATCAGAAACCAGCTGGTTAGAATAACAGCGCCTGTAGAATTCCGTAATACAGGAAAACCCATAGAGTAAGAGAAAAAATGTTAATTTTTACTGATGTATCAAGAACAAGAAAGTCTTAGCAACAAGCAAAGAAAAAAATTTAATTTTCTTTGATTTGTTAATATCTATTAATGTCAATTCCTTTATCAAAATCCTTTCATCAGCAAACTCCTTCCAAGTACGAAAATTACACACTTATCTTGTTATCTTACATTCTCTGAAGATAATGTAATCCAACTTCATTCCAGAGAATTTCCTAAAATGGATACTTTCCTGCATTTATGGTTCGGGAAGATCTTGGATGAGGGACAAAGGACTGTAAGAGCCAGAATCTCAGGAAATGTGCTGTGACAGTCTCACCTAGAGTTAGCCACACAAACAAGATCAGAACAACGGCAGTGGAAGGGGAAATTTCGTGGGCTCTCACCCTAAACAAAGAACTTCAGGCAGCTGTGACCGATTCCTATTTTCAACTCTCCAGAAGCTATGCTAAATGTCCTCTCTCCAGACCCCTTCTCCTCCCTTCTTCCCTTAGTAATAAGATACCCTTATTTTAACTAGCCATACAGACTTCCCAGGATCTAAGCATGGCTATTTGAATAGAAAGTTCTAGCTAATAGGATATTTGAAAAAGGAAACAAAGATGAAAAATTACTGTATACTTTATCACAATTTTCAAAAACTTAGAATGTGAAAACTTCAAGTCCTGTCTTTCGAAGCAACGATATTTCTCCCTCTCGTTAGCTAAGAAGGGGACCCTGGCAGACGTGTGGCTAACTACATCCAAAGGGTCAACACATCATCTGGAACGAGAGAAAACATCGATGTCCTGGCCACCGTGGAGCACCCACACTCACAAGCAAGCTTCTGTTGGGACTTGAGGGAGAGAGAGGCAGCCACGGCTAAACACAATCCTAAGACTGTCAAGTCTTCAGTGCCGACTGTCTGCTCCTCACCTCAGAGGCAGTGAGTGGAGTGTGGGGTTTCTCTCACCCCAGCTTACACCTCCTCAACCTCTGCTCAACAGCCTTCACACTGAGAGTAGTTCACACTCTCTCCACTATTCTTTCTAGTCCCTTTCTTACCAACTGAGGTGTGACTTTCCTAAGTTCTCTCCAGTTTGTCCATTTGCTGACCTTTTCTTCACCTCATTATTTTCTACACTATGACTGGAGTTATCCTTCTAAAACAAGCCGTTGTCTATATCAAAATACCCAGAAGAAACAAGTGAGGACAGCTTCAGGGACTTTGGCTACGTCATTTCTCTGGTGAAGCGGAACATCGAAGGGAGGAGGGGTGAAGCAGAGCTTTTACCTCATGGCAGCCCATAGGCAAAGAGCAGAGAGAAATGGGTCAGGAACAACCTATATCCTCTAAGGCATGCTCCCCGTGACCTACTACCCTGTGACCTACTTACTTTAGCAAAAATCTCACCTCCTATTTTGAACCACTTGCCAGTAAGATCTCTAAATTATGGCGCTATCAATGCATTGATCCATTGATGAGGTCAGATCCATCATGATCCAGTCACTTGACTAATCACTGAACACTGCATTGAGAACCAAGCCTTTGACATGTGAGCCTTTGGGGACACTCCCTGTCCTGACTATAAGGAGGTCCTCCCCCAATCTTTAAGCAAAAAGGTTTCAGTGGCTTCTGTCTGTAAGAATGCCCTCCCATGGCGCTCACAACTCAGCTCTCACATCTCCGATTTCGTATCCAGCCATGCCCTACCCACCCAGCCATGCCTCCCCACATGACTAGTGCTAACTCTGCTTCCTTATTGTTCCCAAAGCCCACCACTTAATCCTTCATTAATGCTGACCTAGTGCCACAATATGTCCACTCCCATCTCTGTCGGAACAGTCAGAAGAATGATGACGCATAGTGAACAATGCCTTGGGGAACTCTGGGAGAGGCTCCAGGGAAAAAGGCAGCGGGCATTTTACTTCCCTAGATTGTTCGTGGACTTGATTTTGTGCCTCCTGAATAAAGCCTCTTTGCTAAAATGTATTCGTGGTCAGACTGGCGAATCTCTGAATGACCCCAGACCCCTAACACTAACACTGCAGTTCAGAGGTGAGTATTTGAAACACATCTCCCAAACTTCACTTCAAGGAGAACTACTAAGACTGTACATTGTCAATGATAGAATCCAAGCCTTCAAGCCAGAGTTAGGACTTGGAAGTGCTGCATTCACCACCACAAACAACAAATTCTGAGAGTTAATGCTGTTCTGACCGTATCGGTGGTAATAAAGACAGTCTGCTTCACAGAGACTGAATTCACTCAACCCCCACAACTCCCTTACTGGTAGGTAGATCTCAGTTTCTTACCGTTTTATACAATAAGTGGGGTTTTTTTTCTTTTCAATATCATGGAATGAAACACATCTACATTTGGACAAGCTGCATCATTTGGTAAAGCAGCATTTAAGAAAGGGCCCAAACATGACATTATAAAATTATACGTAGGTACAAGTCACTCAGGGCTGCTTTCCATGTTTAGAGGAGCCCCAAGCTTGCCTAAATTCTCCACGATTACTATCTTGAAATTCTTATTTCTAAACAAAGGGCCCTGTATTTTAATCTGGTACTAGGGCCAAAATTAGATAGTTCATTCTGGATCTTTTCAAAGAGCTCAAGCAGACCAATCAATTTTAAATTAAGAGCATATGAATTTTATGAAGAATTTGTAAAGTTTTGACATTATCAAAAGACAATCTTCCAAAAAGACTATTAAAACATTCATTTATTAGTTACGTATTAATAAGGCCAGAGGACTTAAGTTCCTCCATTATCCATAGTTTTCACTTACCACGGTCTCAGTTACCTATGATCAACCACAGCACAAAACTATTAAATGAAAAGTTCAAGAAATAAGTAATTCATAAACTCAAAAGTGCACGCTGTACTGAGTGGCATGATGAAATATTCCTCTTCCTCTTTCCAGCCCAGGGTACAAATCACTCCTTTGGGAGTGCCACCGAGCTACGTGAATTACCTACTACGTCAGTTATCAGCCCAGCTTCTACCACAGAATATGGCTATCATTGCTCTATTTTACTGTTAGTTTTGTGACTCTCTTAGTGTATATAATTTACAAGTTAATTTTAGCAAAAGTAAGGGTGTATGTGAAAAAACAGTATACACCTACATATATAGAGAAAGTTTGGTATAACCCAAAGTTTCAGCATCCACAGAGGGATATAGATATATACACCATATATGCGTATGAAGGGCTATTGTACATGCTTGGATTAGAAAAAGGTTTTTTTTTCATAAAATATTATTTACAGTACCACACATGTTTTTTTTTTAAACTAATGTTTTAATTTTCTCAGTTTAAGTTTCTATATGATAAGAGCATCAGCAAGCAAAAGCATTTCGTTGCTTTAGGAGTCCTGAGACCAAAATGTCTGACAATTACTAGTAAAGACAAATGAGAACACAAAGCATGAGGCTCCTACCGCATTTCAATCATCATATCTTCAAGCAACTCTGACGAGTCTCTGCTATAGATCCGAATGTAGAACTGGCTAGGAGAGATTATATATTCCACAAAGACCCCCACAAGGGTACTGGTGTCCAATGGTGGAAGTCTGCACAATTTCTTTGCACGGACAGCATCTGGTGGGATATCATGGTTTGCCACCGACAAGCTGAGCTGGGGCTTGTTTATTTCTACTTGCTACAGGGGAGGCAGGGAGAGAGAGAAATCATAAAAAACCTGTAAGGAACATTTCAAATCTGGTGACAGTATCTCTCAAACGCTATTTCATAAATCATTCTTACCACAATCATCTGGGAAATTATAAAAATCCAGATTCTTGGTCTCAAGCCAGAATTATGATTCAGAATACTTTAGAACAGAGCTCACAGCCACACATTTTACAACATTCTTCAAGTACTACATTATAAAAATACTGAGCAAAAAGTTAAGAGTGTTAAGCAACCATCCTCAACAAAATGGGCAACATGACATCTCAAATATTCAGGCTGGAGTAAGGTGGGTTTCCATCCTACCTAAGCCTACCAGAAGGCAAAGGTTATCTTTAAGGAATGGATCAAATTCAGACTAGTTCTCCGATCAAAAGCGTTTGCAAGCACATGCATTCTAAAATATGCTATTTCTCTAGGTCTTCCTATTGTCCTGAAGAAAATACAGCAGGGCTCTCAACTGCTCATTCCACTGAAGAGCCAGCTACCCTGAGGACAAAGAATTAATTCCTTAGTAACAACAAAGTCAGAAACAGAAGATGAAAATACAAAAGAGATGTGTGAGGATGTCAGTGAGGAGAAAAATTAAACGAACCAGGTGAGAACGGGCACAAAGGCATCTGTGGCCACTGCTGAGACAGGGCCAGAGCAGGGCTCCTGGACTCCTAAAGCCCGAGGATTGCAAGCCTCCACCCTGAGGCTCAGGATAGAGAAATGAACAGTGCCATCAGGAAAGAATTTAAATCTCAACCATGTGAAAAACTTTACAATTAGGTGTGTGGGAAATGAAAAAATGAAAACGAGAGGAAATGCTCCATAAAGTGGTGCTGGACTAAAGAACTGGCCTCTTCCAAGGAACGATGTTCCTAGAAATATGTTTCCCTAAAGAGCATTTTGGTTTAAAGTAACATTCATTCAGTTATTTGGTCTACTATATGAAGTCCAACAACCTCACTCACCAGCTGTAAAGGCTTTACCACAAGGTTAGGCTTCTTGTAGATTCTCTGTTCTGGTTCCTTGTGGTTCATCAAAGGGCAATCCCACGTAGTCTTCTTAACTGCTACAGCAGACAGTGGATTCCTGGAGGGACTGGAGACCCAGGCGCTGGCTTCTGTTTTCTTGTCTGGTTGAACTAAACACGAATTTCTGACTGATGAAAGTGTTCCACCTGAAAGAGCCAGAGTTCCCGCTGTGTGCCACGGCCGGAACCACTGCCACTATGCAGCCCCACGAGCTGGGCAATGCTAACTTGTCCATGCAAACCATTCAGATGGAGGGACACAAGGGAAGTTGTTCTAGAACAGAAACAAGCCCTAACATTCTCATACTGGGAAAACAGGAGCTGTTAAACCCTGGTGAGCAACTTTCTCAACATCCTGATTTCCAATTTCTCCTTCTAACTAAGCAGTGAGCAGCTGACAGTGTACATACTCTATGTATGTATGTACGTACGTACGTATGTATGTATTTACTTATTGACAGGGTTTCTCTGTGTAGCCCTGGCTGTCCTGGAACTAACTTACTCTGTAGACCAGGCTGGCCTCGAACTCCAGAGATCTCCCTGTCTCTACCTTCTGAGTGCTGGGATTAAAGGTGAGTGCCACCACCACCCGACTATATATATTTTTTAATATTATGCCTGAACTCTTAGAGAATTCCTCAACCACCACCTATTTTGTTGAAATTTATGCATAGACGAGCACCTGAGGCTGGCACAATCCAGGACTCCTCAGATCTATGCCTACAGTGGGTCCAACAGAAACGAACTCACAAGGTACAAAAATATTTATCACAGGGCTGAGGATGTTGCTCAGTGGCGAGAAGCTTGCCTGGGATGAATGAGGGCCTGAGTTTCAGCCCCTGAACAGCAAAATAAATAAAAAAGCCGGGCGGTGGTGGTGCACGCCTTTAATCCCAGCACTCGGGAGGCAGAGGCAGGTGAATCTTTGTGAGTTCAAGGCCAGCCTGGTCTACAAAGCAAGATCCAGGAGAGGCGCAAAGCTACACAGAGAAACCCTGTCTCGAAAAAAAAAAAAAAACCAAAAAAAAAAAAAAAAGGAGGCTGGAGAGATGGCTCAGAGGTTAAGAGCACCGACTGCTCTTCCAGAGGTCATGAGTTCAATTCCCAGCAATCACATGGTGGCTCACAACCATCCGTAAAGAGATCAGGTGCCCTCTTCTGACCTGCAGGTGTATATGCAGACAGAACACTGTATACATAGTAAATAAATAAATCTTTAAAAAAAAATAAATAAATAAATAAATAAAAAACTAAAACTACTAGTCACGATGCTTTTATAATGTTAAAAATGGAAACAATCTAAATGTCCACAAACAGGACACAGGTTAAATTAAATATATAAAAATGGTGCAAAGGTAAAAATATACTAATATGGAAAACAATATATTACACATAAAAGGCAAAGACAGTATTTATATAATACTGCATTGTATAAGGAAATTGTCATAATTAAGTATATAATATAGAAATACACTCACTGTAGCTATAAGCATTAACTATCTCTGTGTTATTTGATTTAAAGAGCTTTTGTGATTAAAAAAGTCTATGACTTCAGATCAGCTCTAGCTCAAATCTTCCAAGTCCTGTCTTCAGAGTACGTGGTGTCTTCAGCAACAGGGACTTGTCTTCCGGCTCTGCGAGGCAACCAAAGGAAGGCAACAGCCTGTACTGTTTCGGGTCACTCCTCTGGCTACCCTGACCCAGCACTGGGGTTTTCAGCTGCCAAGGGAGGCAAACCATCATGGGTACTCCTATCCAGCTGTGACACCCATGAACCATAACGATGACCTGAACAAGATGTCCTTAAGGTGCAAGATGGTGCTCTTATCTTGGCAGTAAATCAATGACAGAATATGGAATGGCAGTTGTTCATCAGAACCTCTTTCAAAAATTTATAAAATAGACTGGGAAGGGGAAAAAGCTGTTGGTGAAATCTTGTCTTGCAGACACAAGGATCTCAGTTGACACCCCCCTCCCCAGAATCCACATTTAAAAAAAAAAAGCCAGGCATTGGGTGTGCATGCTTGTAATCCTAGTGCTGGAGAAACAGGGCCAGGGGATTCCTGGGTCTTCCTGGCCAACTAGTAACTTCAAAAATAAATAAATCAATCAATAAAGAGGTGGGTGGTACCTGAGGGACACACCTGGGACTGTACTCGAGCTTCCAAGTGCAGCCCCACACATGCACCTCCCCACACACATCTTATAAAAGTACCCTATTGTTCACACCATTGCAGAATGTCACCACTGAGGGAACTGCGTAAGGACACACGGGCTCTATCTACATGATCATAGAAAGCTATCTCAATAAAAATTCTATAAGAAAAACAAACAGAGCTATAAACAGAAAGACAAAATACAATGCCCTAGATCCAATGTGGTTTCCTAAAGTAAATACAGAAATAGAAAAAACAACATTTTTAGAAAAACTGGAGTTTACTGTAAAGATATAAACGTAGTGTTCCTCATACACACTTCATACACTCTGACTGCACATGTCTAAGAAGCTTTCACTGCACAGCCTGAGAAGCGTTACTTATCAACCAACTATTTCAGACTTATTCCTTCAGAATTACTAATAACTGGACAATAAAGAAAATAATAGGCAGGAGAGATGCTCAGTGGTTAAGGGCACTTACTGATCTTCTGGAGGACCGTGGTTCGATTCCCAGCACCTACATGGCAGCTCATCACTGTCTGTACTTCCAGTTCCTGGGGTTCTGATCCTCTTCTGGCCTCCCCAGGCACTGCTCATACATGTTGTACACAGACACACACGCACACAAAACACCCATGCACATAAAATAAAATAATTTTTAAAAAAGAAAAGAAATTGCTGGACGTGGTGGCTCATGCCTGTAATCTCAGCACTCAGGAGGCTGAGGCAAGAGGATTTTCATGTGTTTAAGACCAGTTGGGGTAACACGGTGAGTTCCAGGCCAGCCTGGGCCACATAGTAAAAATCTGTTTCAAACACTCAAAAAATAAATAAACAAGTTAAATTGTGAAAATTCATTTTTAAAGGTAATAATACAGGTTAACTTTACTACAACATCACTAAGGAGGAGGTCACTAGTCAAACATTTCATGGCTAACGTGTTTGGGTCATGTGATTCCAATGATGACTGTTAATGTTTTCTTCTTCCTGTCCTCAAAAGCACAGTTAGGAAGGAGGTTTGTAGTATACCAATGTAACTCACCAGGTGGTACTGGCTTCAGATCAGCATCAAACACTAGCAAGTCCTGCTTCTCTTCACTGAACTCAACCCGGAGAATGTCACTGAGAGCGCCAACAAGTTCTGTCACATTTAAGAACCCTAACTGTTTTGGTGAAAGTTGCTCTTTAAAAATTAGCTGTCATAAAAACAAAAAAAAGAAAAGCATAAAAACTCTGGATATATGTTAGACAAGGCTTTAGTTGGGATTTTGTCAACCTAGACACTTAAGGTTCAGTGAACTCATGGATACAAGCCTGTTTCACAGGCGGCCAATCTTAACCTAACCACTGAACCCCAGGTCCCAGAGAGATCCTTCCTCAAGACACAAGGTGGAGAGACAGCTCCTGAGGAATGACACTCAAGGTTGACCTCTAGGTGCCACATACATAGGCATACAGGTGAGAACATACACAAACATGCACACACACATGCACATACATCTGTGCTGTTCTTAATACCAAGTTTTCATCTCTTGAACCAACATCAAGCAACTGAGCTAATTACAGTTACTCTCTCCTGCCTAGGCCTTAAGGAAGCAAAGGCCTGCTTCTAACTACATGCCTTCAGGTACCAACACTCTAAAGACTGGCCCCTTCCGGGGTAGCACAGCTGTGGAAGAGACCTTGTCACGTGATGCTCTGATGTGACACTCAATTCTCTGGGACTTCTCCCACAGAACACTTGGGGAATTAGGGGTCTCAAATCAGTCAGATCATTTAGAAGGTCACTTTTATAGCCATCAGCAAACCAAAGGAAAAATGGGCGGGGCGGGGGTGGCGGCAAATTAGAATTAGCATCTCTATTTCTTCACGTTATGTATTAAAACTTCTTTTCCTGTTATGTTTATCAGTTTCTCAAATAATTGTGTTTTACTGTGAAGTCATAACTGAATATAAAGCTAGGGTGTGGAGTATTAAAATTATAAAAAGTAACTACTTTTTTTTTTAGATTTAATTTTTCAAAATCTGCATGTGGGTACAAGTGCCAGTGCCCTGAGAAGCCAGAGGTGTTGGATCCTCTGGAGCTGCAGTTATAGGCAGTTAGGAGCCACCTAACATGGGGGCTGGGAAGGAACTCAGGTCCTCTGAGCTCTCTCTCCAACCCCCAAATTAGTAATTTTTCATAGTATATTCAAAAGGTCCAAGCAAATATTCTGCAAAAACAAGTCTCAGGAGGGAGAAGGGGATAAAACTGATGATGTGGCTGATCTAAGTTATATATGGGGAGTGGTGAAAGAATAAACAATTTTAAAGAAGAAATTTATGATGAAAATTCTCACAAATAAAAAATAACCTCATAAAAAAACAAGTCTCTGCTCATCCCCAAATGCTTCAGTCACCTGTGGGAACCCATTTTCAGGTTCCTTGTGGCTTTACCCAGCAGGTCTGCATAGAGAGGATGATTAGGACCACAGGCCTGAGTGCAGGTGTCTGAGATGGTCTGCACTTGGCTGTGCTGGGGGAGGAGGTCTTTTGCTCCACCCCTTGGCGTTTCTATAAATACCCTGGGGCAGAGACAGTCAGGGCTCTTGGAATAGGTTCCAGGCCCTCTCGAGGCTACCCTTTATTTTCTGTTTATCTCCGCAATCTAAATCCTTCTATCTAATATTTCCTGCTGCTCTCACTCAAGAAAACTCTGGGGAACCGTGGGGTTGAGTTGGTGGGTAGCCGGCCCGCAGTCACCTAGCAATCATTTCCCTAGAAATAACTATTATTGCCATTTTCTGTATAACTTTGCAGAATTGTCAAAACTTAAGTTCTTTGATATACGATTATATAAGTTATGCACCTTGCTTTTTCAGTTACTATAAAGGTAATTCCATGGTGTTATTATATGAAACACAGCTTAGGTGTACTTTACAATCAGCTGAGTCAATTCATTGATATGTCAGATGTATTTTATTCTAATTCTTTTGGTATGCTTTCTGCTTTCCTAGCTCCCAACAAGGAGCAATAAAGAAGTTGGTAGAGTTCTACTCCCACACCCCTTCTTTTCCAGATTTATACTAAGGTTTTCCCATGTATTACATCATCTCATGTTTTAAACCTAGCTAGAGGTCATCATTTTTTATTTAAACAGTAATGTTTTAATCGGTACAGGAGAGCAGTCTTTTAGACCCACTTACATGTTCACTTTAATCCTCTGTTCTTCAACCCCCTTGAAGACTCAAGTTCTTAATCTGGCATCATTTCATTTACCCTAAAGTACATTATTTGTCTTTTTTTACAATACAGGTCTATTTACACTTCTCCATTTTTTTTTATTATCTGAAACGTCTTTATAGTGCCTTCATTCTTAATATTATTACTGGATATAAAATCAGGACTGTATATGGGGTGTTCTGTTTTTATGCATCTCTTCTTGGTACTGTCACACTTCAAAAATATGTTAATCATTATTTCAATGATGTTATAACAGTAAGTACTCTTCCTGTCCATAACCAAATATTTGTTACTGGCCATATCCTTAACTATCATAATTTTTTAAAGCCACTAAAACACAAAACAGGTGGTTTAAGTGTTAAAGGCACAGACTTAGAGGATCCAGTAGGAATAGCAGACTCTGTCTATCATAAGAAAATGAAGCAATACAAAGAGCAGGCTGGTGAGAAGAAAACTCTTACCTCAAACTCTCCAAGCAGTTTAGAAATAAACAAACCTTGTGGAAACTTCGATACAACCTAATCAACAGAAAAAACACAGATAAAATTGAATATTAAGAGATAAAATATTAAGATTGTTTTCATTTCAAAAAACATTACCATCATAAATATTTCATTTTGCACATTTACATAATTTTTAGGACAAGTCCCTAGAAGTGGACTTGCTTTAATTTCAACACAGTATAAAAAACTTTGTGCCTTCCTAAATCTTCTAGATATAGTATTTATAAAACTCTAATTCACACATCAAAGGAAAATATAAAGTAAATATCCCTTTAAAATCTTGTGACCAAGAGACAATCACTGCATTTCAGAACCATCTTTCAGAAAGACACACATCCATGCTCCACTACTCATCCTTTTCCATGAAAGGACAATGCCAACCATGGCACTCTAAACCCTGTCTGAAGTACAGTAGCATGTGCTGGACACATTGCCTTGGAAACCAACAGCAACAAGAATAAACTTTCTTAGGAGCCACATGATAATCCTTAGTTGAATGAATCCTTTATCAATGAATACTTTTCTTCTTCTTTTTTTTTGGTGCTGTATTAATCGTGAACATCTTTGAACAAACAATTGTTAGACATTTGTTGAAGTTTCAAAAACAACGAGAAGATGGCTGAGTGTGTCGGTTTGACCTACCTCCCATCAAAGTCGCAGGAAGTGCAGTGAGATAATGTAAGATAGTGGGAGCTATAATGGCATTCTGCTTACACTGATCAGGACCAAAATCCTCAAGGCAGACTAAACCCCCTGGCCCAATTCCTAACAACCAACGGGTTTCCATATATTAATAATGCAAAACAATGAAATGGCCAATCATATGAAAGTATAAATCAGTACCAAGGACAGAAAAGGCTAGCTAATGTAAACTTATCATTTAAAATGTGGCTGAAAGTAAAGCTGTCTGCGGAAGTGTCCTTTTCTTCAAATCTTTTAGAGAGTAATATAGTAATTTTTATCTTCAACAAATCAAATGTCGGTGCCTCTGATGGCAACCTATGCTACATAAATGTTCATGGACTTCAAATGCAGAATTTTTCTAAATAGCCAAGGTCCAAAGCAACTCAGATTTAATCCCTCCCAGGTCCTCCTAAGTGGAACATGGAACATAGACACACTGGGCTGGACAAACTGTTTGTAATAACATTACATGTTCAGGAGAGAACACTGGGTTAGGAAGACCCTGAACGTTTGTCAACAATGATGTGTTGAAGAACGGACAGAAAGGAATGAGAAGAACACTCACAGAAGAACCATTTTCTAAACAATTTCACATGAAAATTTCCAGTACAATTTTATTGATGGCTTTTTCTGATTTAAAAACTAGTATATATGTGTGTGTATATATATCAAAATTTTAGAAAAGATGAGGTATAAATACAAAAATAATAACCGTTGTAGACAATTAAATTCAACCACACATGAAAACCAATTATTTTTGTTTCCCAGAAATGGAAAATACTTACAAATTTTATCTTATGTTTTAGGTCTGGATCAATAGTCCCACCAGGTCCAATCTGGGCAATAACTGATTTGAATGTGTTCTCCAACTATGAATAAAAGAAAAAGTCAAATCACTAAAAAGTCAAAGATAAATGTAAGCAATCTGTAAAAGGAAATGTATTTCAACAAACGGGTCAAATCCTGTTCCTAAAAAGTGGCACTGAAGGCCACAGAGATGGCTCAGTGGTTAAGAGCACTTACTGCTCTCGTAGAGGACCGGAGTTCAGTTCCCAGACTTGGACCTCTGTGGCATCTGCATTCACATGAATACACACACACACAGACACATATGCATACACACAGTTAACTAATAAACATTCTTAGTATCATTGAGACATTTTATATTACATAAAATATGCAAATAGAATTTGTGTGATACTAGACATCGAGGAATATTCCAAGATAGACAGCATTATCTATTACAGATTCAACAGTCTTTAGTTAATTGGATACTCTTGTCCAGAAAGGATGCTTGCCATTCATTTTCAAAGGTACTTAGTATTTATTAAATACTCAGTGACTGCCTAATACCCGGAAGGCAGGGCTGTTAGAAGTTCTGAAAGGTAGGAAGGAGTGTTGAGTCAGGGAATAAGGAGCATGAGTGGCCCTCTAAAGAGCAGGGGAGGAGAGCCCCTTTACGTAATATAAGCGAAGGATGAAGGAAATGATAGGAAGGGCTGTGCATGTGCGGCAGTGACAGAGATACCATCTAATGTTTCTGGGAATTTGGAAGCACAGGCCTCTCCTAAGAGCACAGGTGGAAAGGAGGACGGGTGAATATTTGAGAAGCAGTGACTGAGGAAGATGCCCATCATCAACCTCAGATCTCCACACACACCCACATGAACACATACTTAACACACGTATGTAGTTCCCACTCCCACCATTTCTTTTCACAGTAGGGAGCCTAGCCTAGCGTGAGGGGAGAGAAGGCAGACATACTGAAAAGAACAAAACTGGGGCAAAGAGATCGCTCAGTGGTTAGGAGCACGGGCAATGGTGGTGCATGACCTTCATCCCAGCACTGGGGGGCAGAGGTGGATGGATCTCTGAGTTCAAGGCCAGACTGGTCTACACAGCAAGTTCCAGGACAGCCAGGGCTAGCAGAGAAACTTCCATCTCAAAAAACCAGAGAGAGAGAGAGATCACACTAGCTCACTGGCTTCTTTCCCAGGGTTCAATTCCCAGTATCCACATGGCACATGGCAGGTCACAACTGTCTGTAACTCTAGTTCCAAGAGATTGGACACCTTCTTTTGGCCTCTGAAGGCACCAGGTGTACACATGATGCACAGACACATGTGCAGGCAGAACACCAACACACATAAAAATAAAAATAACCAGATGGCACTGTGAACTTTGAGAAAAACCTCACCCCTACAAAACAGCCAGCAGAATTATGGGAATAGTCAAACCAAGCTTATTAAGCACCTCAACTCAAGGTTCTAAGACACAGCTTATGTATGAGCAATGATTAATCTGAAAATATCATTTTTTTGGGAGTTTTTCGAGACAGGGTTTCTCTGTGTAGCTTTGCGCCTCTCCTGGAACTTACTTGGTAGCCCAGGTGGGCCTCGAACTCACAGAGATCCGCCTGGCTCTGCCTCCCGAGTGCTGGGATTAAAGGCGTGCACCACCACGGCCCGGCCTGAAAATATCATTTTTAATACAATAAAAATGAGAGGTATAAATAGTAAGTTTAATAAAATGTATACAAGCCATATACATTAAAAACTAGTATACACTGTTGAAAGAATTTAAAGATAAAAATAATGAAGATATGTGCTGTTTTCTTGAATTCTGGGACTTAATATTAGAAGACTATTATAGTTCCTCAAACTTATCTATAGTATTCAATGACATTCTAATCAAAATCATGAGACTTATTTTTAATAAAAATTTAATCAGATTTATATACAATTAAATATATACAATGTAAAAATGTAGAATAGCCGCCGGACGGTGGTGGCGCACACCTTTAATCCCAGCACTCGGGAGGCAGAGCCAGGCGGATCTCTGTAAATTCGAGGCCAGCCTGGGCTACCAAGTGAGTTCCAGGAAAGGCGCAAAGCTACACAGAGAAACCCTGTCTCGAAAAACCAAAAAAAAAAAAAAAAAAAAAAATGTAGAATAGCCAAAACAATTGTAAACAAGAACAAAACTGTTGGACACAATTTTATAATTTCAAGATACTATAAAGTGGCAGTGACCAAGGAGCCCCAGGTAACAAGGGACTTCAATGTGAAAAGCACACCTGTCTAATAAACAGCATCACCATAACTGGCTATCCTTATCCAGGAAACTTCATAGCTGGCATATTATACAAAGATTAATTTGAAATTGGTAATAGTCCCAAATATATATATATATATATATATATATATATAGTAAATCTCAAAAATTCTAGAAAAAAATGTAGAAGAATTTCTTGTTATTTTTCATTCAGCAAAGATCTATTAGGTGAACAAGAACCATATGAGAAAACTCTGGAAACAATCACATCACCAGACTTAAATTTACCAAAGACAAGATTAGGAAAAGGAAGAGTGGGGCTGGAGAGAAGGTTCAGTGGATAAGATACCGGATTTTACAGAAGACCCAGGTTCAATTCCCAGCACCCACCTGCTGGCTCTCAACCATCTGCAACACCAGTTCCATGCAATCTGATGGCCTTTTCTGGCCTCCATGACTGCCAGGCATGCACATTTGCCAGGCAAAACACTCATACACACAGAATAAATAAATATAAAAAAGAATTTAAAGAAGCAAACCATAGACCAGGAGAAAATGTCTGCATTACATGTTCATGTTAAAAGACTTATACTTGCCGGGCAGTGGCCTTTAATTCCAGCACTCAGGAGACAGAGGCAGGAGGATCTCTATGAGTTCAAGGCTAGCCTGGTCTACAGCTCAAGTTCCAGGACAAGCTTCAAAGCTACACAGAGAAACCCTGTCTCGAAAAAACAAACAACAACAACAAAAAGACTTAAAAATGATAAACTGCATAATTTGTTCAAAACCTTAGAAGGTGACAAGGACTTAAATAGTCCAAGAGAATTATCACCTGAAGCTGAGAAAGAATTGGCCTTGGTAGAAAAGAAAGTACATGAAGGACACGTGGATCGTATTGATCCAAAGCTGGATTGCATTTTGGTTATTTTACCTTCTAGGCATTCCCCAACAGGAATATTAATGCAGAGGGAAGATATTATATTGGAATGGATATTTTTACCAAATAAACCAAATAAAAAATTAAAAACTTATGTAGAAAAAATCTCTGACTTGATTTGGAAAGGAAAATTGGGACTTCATCAATTAGCAGGAATAGACCCAGCAGAAATTGTCATACCTTTAACTAAGGAGGACATTGAAAAATTATGGACAGAAAGTGAACCTTGGCAAAGAGCTTGCAGTAATTTTTTGGGAGAAATTAACAGCAAATATCCCAAAAGCGATAGAATTGATCTTATAAAGAGAGCTGATTGGATCTTGCCTCGAATTGTACAGGAAAAACCCATATCTGGAGTTTGAACATTTTATACAGATGCCAACAAACAAGGAAAGGCAGGTTACAAATCAGAAAATTTAAGTAAAGTGGTTCAAAGTCCTTATAATTCAGTTCAAAAATCAGAACTGTATGCTATTCTGTTGGTATTAATGGATTTTTCAGAACCTCTCAACATAGTAACTGACTCTCAGTATGCTGAAAGAGTAGTATTACATATTGAGACTGCAGAATTTATCCACGATGGTTCAGAATTAACTTCACTATTTATTCAATTACAAGATACAATGAGGAAAAGGAGTCATCCTTTATATATAACTCACATTCGATCCCATACTGGTCTGCCAGGCCCTCTAGCACAAGGCAATGATGAGATTGATAAATTGATAGGAAATGTGCTGGAGGCCTCAGAATTTCATAAAAAACATCATGTCAATAGTAAAGGTTTAAAAAAGGATTTTTCCATAACCTGGCAACAAGCCAAAGAAATAGTAAAGAAATGTCCTACTTGTTCCTTCTACAATCAAACGCCATTACCAGCAGGATGTAACCCAAAGGGTACTCAAAGGAATGAAATCTGGCAGATGGACGTGTTTCACTTTGCAGAATTTGGAAAACTGAAATATGTACACCACACTATTGATACTTATTCAGGATTTCAGTGGGCAACTGCTTTGAGTTCTGAAAAAGCTGATTCTGCAATCACTCATTTGCTAGAAGTTATGGCCATCATGGGTATACCTGCACAAATCAAAACTGACAATGCTCCAGCATATGTCTCTGTTAAAATGAAACAGTTTTTTGCTTATTATAATATAAAGCATATTACAGGCATACCACATAATCCTACAGGTCAAGCAGTTACAGAAAGATCAAACAGAACTCTAAAGGATATGCTACATAAACAGAAAGGAGTAACAAAACCCCCAGAAACAGACTGCATAATGCTCTATTAATTTTGAATTTTCTTAATGCCAATGAGAAAGGAACAACAGCTGCAGAGAGACATTGGATAATAGAAAAAAACTACAGAATTAAATCAGCCTATATACTTTAAGGATGTGCTGACCTCAGAATGGAAACCAGGGTATGTGTTACGTTGGGGACGAGGTTTTGCTTTTGTTTCTACAGGAGGAGAATAAAGCTGGGAAGTGGAAGGCTGAGTCAGAGAGACACTGCCAGCCGCCGCCATGACAAACAGCATGTGAAGATGCCAGTAAGCCATGAGCCACGTGGCAAGGTATAGATGTAGATGTAACCAACCTTCTTATTAAATAAGAAACACAGAACCAATGCAAAGAAGAAAGCCAAGAGGTCAGAGCTAAGAGCTAAAACTTTACCCTTCCTCCTGCAGTGGTCCTACCTCTCCGAACCAGAGCTACCCCTGTGTTAAAGTCTTTATATAGAGTTCCTGTCCTGCCTTCTCATTGGTTGTAAACCCTACCACATGACCACCTCCTCACGGCCTGTCTGTATAGGCCTCCAGGTTTTCCATGATTGGTATTGAGATTAAAGGCATGTGTATCCAATAATGGCTGTATCCCTGAACACACACAGAGACTTACCCAGCTCTGCCTACCAAGTGCTGAATTACAAGCTTATGCCACCACTGACTGCCCTGCTTTCCTATGGCTTGCTAATAGCTCTGACCCCCGGGCAACTTTATTTATTAACATACAAATAACATTTTAATACAAATAAAATATCATCATATATAGATGTATAGAAATGGATTAATTTAAGATATAAGAACAGTTAGCAAGAAGCCTGCCATGGCCATACAGTTTGTAAGCAATATAAGTCTCTCTGTTTACTTGGTCGGGTCTGAGCGGCTGTGGGACTGGCAGGTGAGAGAGATTTGTCCTGACTGTGGGCCAGGCAGGAAAGCTCTAGCTACATACTCAGAATATACAAATTCTTCTATTTCAATAAAATGACAACCCAACCTTGTAAAATGAGCAAATGACTCTGACATTTCAAAGACAATATATAAATAGAAACTATGTATATAAAAAGATACCTAACATGAGTATTAGACATAGTCTCCAGCATGAAGTCAAATGACATTATACTAAACAGAAGCTGGAACTGGAGGTGCAGCCATGGAGGTGTTAGCCAACACCTCCCAGAAACAATGTAGCTGATAAAACGCCTCTCACCTTTTCCTAATCACTGTAACCACAGGAGGGCTGATCAATGAATGGCTGGCTTCAACCTTTCATTTTTATTATTGTATGTGTATAGGTGAATGCTTGCATGCATGTCTGTGGTCTGGTCTGGTACCTGCAGAGGCCAGAAGGGGACATCAGATTCCCTGTAACTGGAGTTAGAGGGCTGTGGTCCACCATGTGCTGGGAATTGAACCTGGGTCCTCTGTAAGAACAGCTGGTGTTTTCAACGACTACACCACTTCTCTAGCTCCAGGTTTTGTCAACTTTCTCATCGGGTCTAAGTGATGACACACTGAGCTCAAAAGCCTATTTTTGGCATATTTCTCTCTCTCTCCCTGAGTTCCAGCACCTTACCTGGTTTAATTTTTCAGTGTGGTTCAGCCTTGAAATCTCCACTGTATTAAATGTGGGCATCTTCTCCATGTTCAGTACTTGCTTGGGTGGTTCCATATTTGAAGTGGGTTGTGAAAAGCGTGTCTTCGTTACTGGGAATCCAGTAGAATAGGAGCCCTGTTGTTTCATTCTAAATGGCTGGGTAAAAATTTTACCTTTTGTAAAGAAAGAAGAAAAAACAAAAAGTGATTAGCAATTTCCCAGAGATTTTATAAAAAAAAAACTACTGTGAGCTAACAGCCCTCAACTTAGAAAAAAAATTAAGGAGTGTATATATTCAATAAAACTTACATACTATAAAAGTGATTAGTCATTTATTTAAAAAAATACTAAGAAACTATGTTCCTGAAAAGATTGTTGCTCTCTAAAACTCCATATAAGGTCACCTGAATATAACTGAGAAGTAGCATTTTTAGGCAAAACCTTGAAAACTTAACAGTTATTGTGGTGCTGTTTACTGGACAGGCATGCTTTCCACATTGAAGTATCTCATTACCTGGTGCTCCATGGTCGCTATCACTTTATAGTATCTTGAAATTATAAAATTGAGTCCTACAATTTTGTTCTTGTTTACAATTATTTTGGCTATTCTACATTTTTCATTTTTACATTTCCATGTACATTTAATTGTATATAAATCTGATTTTTTTTTATCAAAAATAAGTCTCATGATTTTGATTAGAATTTCACTTGATACTATGGACGAGTTTGAGGAAATAAAATAGTCTTCTAATATTAAGTCCCAGAATTCAAGAAAATAGCACATCTCTTCATTATTTTTATTTTTAAATTCTCTCAACAATGTTGAGAGCAAACAGTGTCCAACTAAAAAGTTTGCATAGAACTATGCTTCTCATGGTGGGTGACCACCTTCTAAGGAAAGGGAGGAGGAAATGCTACGAGGTAAGACATGGTTCTAAAATAAAAGTTCTCATCAATATCGGGAAATGTACTCTGTAGTACAACATGTATCTCTGAAAAAAAGCACAGCCTAGTGCTTTCTTTACCCCAAGATCAAGTTTACCAAACATACCAATTATGCCTGAGATAGCTGAAGATATGGGAGATGAGCCATGATGGGAAATGTGAACAAGTCAATCACTGGGAAGGAATATCTACTTCTACTGTTCAGGAAACATGTGCAAAGTGCTTTACATAATATGGTTTTTTGCCTGTTTTCCTCTTCCAGTGCTGAAGAACAAACTCAGGGCCTTGTACAGGCTAGGCAAGAGCTCTACCACTGAGTTACACCCCTAAGCCTTGTAAGCTTAACCCCACCCTCCCACCCCCACACAGTTCCAGGACAGGCAGAGTGAACTACATCACCCACCAGTTTAAACACTGCTTTGTAAATTCATGACGCACTCTCATGACGCACTCACTCTGATCTAAATGCAGACTCTGGAGAAAGGGGTCAGTGAAACTGACATACAATTCTCTGAGCCAGGCCCCTGCCCTGGGCAGTGGATATTCTGTCTAGGGTCTAAGTGATGATTATATTACTCTGAGCCTCATCTGCCACACAGAATAAACTTACTAAATGCCAGGCTCTCTACAGACCTTGTCTCATGTGAGGTCCTCAGTACAAATCCAAATTCCATGTATTATATTATATACTTTGGAGATCTGGAGACCAAGGCTTATGCAGATTAATTAATTTGCCTAAGATTATTCAACTTAGTGGAAGACGGATTTTAACTTTAACAAACTCATGGAGTTTAACCCTTCAATTACCTTTCCCTATATGCCAGGATTGCTCTACCATGGGTTCATCCACAGAACAATCTTTTTTAAAAAATATTTTCTGTGTATGGGTGTTTTGCCCGCATGTATGTCTGTGTAACACATGCATGATTGGTGCCCACATAGGCCACAAAAGGGGATGAGATCCTCTTTAACTAGAGTAACAGACAATTTTAAGCTGCCATGTGAGTGCGGGGTACTGAATACCGGCTCTCTGGAAGAGCAGTCAATACTCTTGTCTGCTGAGGCGTCTCTCAAGCTCCACAATTATGATATCACTTCTACTTCTCCCTCTCCCCTCTAACTCTTCCCCTATCCCCCATCTCCCTCTCGTTTGTGACCTCTTCAATTACTGTTACATACAACACACACGTATATAAATACGGCCTGCTGAGTTCATTTGGTGCTGCTCACTTGTAAATATATATAGGGCCGACTGCTTGGGATTAGAAAACCCACCACAAGCTGGGCAGTGGTGACGCACACCTTTAATGCCAGCACTCGGGAGGCAAAGGCAGGCAGATCTCTGTGAGTTCGAGGCCAGCCTGGTCTACAGAGCAAGTTCCGAGACAGCCAGAACTGTTACACAGAGAAACCCTGTCTCCAAAAAGAAAAAAAGAAAACCCATCATAGGGCTTGTCTCTGGAGAAGATGGATTCTTTCTCAGCAGCCATTAACTGCCTGTAGCTCTTCATCTTGGGGTGGAGTCTTCTGAGAAGTCCTCCATCACACTGATGTATCAACTGCCGTTGTACTTGTGGGTGACCATATTTTTGAGTGTGTGGCCACGACCCAATTGTTAATGCCGCCGGGCTTACCTGCTGGCCATCCTCTCTGCTTTTCCTCTGAGACACTCTTTTTTAGTGTCAACAAAGAACCCGCTCTGGTCTGCTCTACAGAAATGACATCGGAAGCTGCATTGAGCACTTCAAACAGAGAGAGGAATCCGTACTGCATGTACTGGAACGATCGTCCGAAACGCTTGGCAAACGCCTTTTCAAAGTCAGAGAGGAGAACAGGGGACAAGGCCAGAAGGTCTTTCAACTCACTCTTCACAACAGCCGGAAGTATAGGGGGCACCCTTCCACGGTAAGGTATGCGGCCAGAGCAAGCACTGCTTCTTCCCTTCTGCATGGAGTTTCGGACCTTATGGCTCCTCCTCTGCTTTGCAACTAAACTTGCTATTCCTTTGGTGGACTCATCTGGAATGGCTAAGGAGATATGGGGGGAAAATCACTTTCAGGCAAAAGACATACTCCATGTATCCTAACTGCAATTGTCTCTCCAAGGAGCGTAACATAAAGCTCTTGGTTCCACCATTTTTACATTCTGACTAACAGTTTCCTAACTCCTCTACCAGGAGATGCAAAGAGCCCACGTGTTATTACTGTTAATGGCACCTGGAAGTTGTGAGACTCTAGAAATGAAGACCAAGCATGCCTACAATGACATTTTTGTGCTCCGTGAAATTTAAAATGAGTTTTAGACATTTAAAAATCAGTAATCTGAAATTGTACCAATATAGTTTTGTGAATATCCACTTTTCTGGAGAATGGGGATGGGGGGGGGGGGGTGTTTTCCCATTACTCTCTCTTTGCCCATAACCTCAAAGGCACCAATGACCACAACGCAATGACATCCACCACCCTGGGATATAGGATAACTGTACAGCTAAAACAACTCTGCACTGAGTGATATGTTTTAATTATAAAGCTTATAGACCTTCCAAAGTCTTACACGTACCTTTCAGTATGATGTTACCATCCCCAAAGGGGCAGACACTAACCACATCAGGCATATCCAACACCAGCTCCATAGTGGACCGATATCCAAGGATTCGGAGCGGTAGATGGTTACCAACCATCAAAAGGTACTCCTTCTCCAACTGTTGTGGGGTCAAACCATCTTTAGTGGAAATAAGAAGTGACCTTATCTCTTTCCTCAGACAGTCCTGTATACGCTCTTGTTCAGACATTGTGCTACAGGATTTAAGACAACAAAAATCGCTTTTGAGAGAAAGGAGTCAAACCCATGGCAAGACAAAAATAAACAAAAACCCTTTAACAACCAGCCATGAAATATAAAAACTCAGATGTGAAATGTATAGATCATAAGCCTGAAGCAATACCGTGAGTTTTCACAAGCCCTCTCCTGCTACACTCCCTACAGTAACCCCAATGCTCAGCTTGTAGGAAAGAGCCTTCCCAATCATTGCCAGTGGCTGGTGTGAAATCGCAGCTGGGCCGGGCCGATTAGTATGCTTACTCAAGGACCATCTCAAGCTCCCTAAGGGGTGTCATTCCCCCGTGCAACCCAGTATCAACTGGAATCTCTCAGCCACTCTTTGGGAACCAAAGGTCTTAGGCCGCCATGCAGGAGCGACCCGGAGAAGCGGGAACCGACGGACGGCAGGCCGTCCCATCTCCTCGCTCCTCGGGCAGGGGTCCCTCACCGCCCCAGCTGGTCCTCCCGTCTGCCCCCACGGCCTTCCGGTGACCTGAGACGGGAAGGCGTGCTGAGGGCGGCAGTAACGCATCCCATCCTCTGCGGCCCGCCACTACCTGTCCGCGGCTCGTCCGCCTGGCTCGTCCGCCCGCCCGCACCCGCGCTGCCGTTGCGCGCCGCCCAAGTCCGGGCTGCTCCGGGAGCGCCGCGGGGAAGCCGAGCCGGCCAGGGGGTCGCGCGCCTGCGCACCACGGGCCGTCGGGGCCCGAGCGCCGCGTTCCACGCGCGAGGGCGCGGCCGGTGTGACGGTTAGCGGAGATCGCCGCCGTGCGGGTGTGGCCGAGGCCCGTCTCCCCGTCCGGGGCGGCGCTGTGGGCTGCCGCGCTCACCTCCTCGAAAGCGGTGGGAAGACGCAGGGGTGGCCGCTGGACCGGCCCGCACCCGCGCGAGGCAGGGTCGTCCCGTCCTCCCCCCCGCACCCCCCCCCCCCCCCCCCCCGGGCACGGAACCGCGGCGGCGGAGGCTCCTGCCGATCTGGCTAAGCCAGGGCAGGTGGCCCCGTCGTCACACCTGAAGATGTGCTCGGTCCGTAGGTCTGCAGTCATTTGAAGGAAAATTAAGAGCGAGTCTGGTTCTGGCTTAAGAATCACTGATGAGCTGGATGAGACTTTTGACGCCAAGAAGAGAGGAATGGATGGGTGGGAAGGCTTTTGGAATGAGTAAAGAACATTCCCGGTGCAATGGAAATAAGAGAACTGGGAGACCAAGGAAGATAATTTTATTTGGACAGATTTGTTGGATTTGTAGAATAAACCAAATTGACCGTCTCCTCAAAAACTAGCAAGTAGAAACTCAGGGTCTGAATAGCTTTCCCTTAACAATATGCAATCTTAAATGGACAAACTAAAAGATAGTCAAAGAATTCAAATTAAGAGACCGGAAGCTGGGTGGGGCACACCTAGAACTTGGGCGATGGAGAGAGGAAAAACCCCAGTTGGCGATCAGATGGGTTGCAAAAGGGGGTGTGAAAGGGAAGCGCGCGCGCGCACACACACACACACCCCTTCTGCCCAAAGCCCATAAGAGAACAAAATGTTCCATCAATGAACAAAGAATATTAAAGAAGTTCTTAAAAACAAACTAGAAAACATATATTCGGCTTACAGTAGAGGAGTGGCTGGTAAGTAAATTAACAGAAAAGAAAATTCTAAGATGAAATATGGACCCAAATATCGCAACATTTCGATGACGAGTTTTGGAACATATCTTCTTATTATAAGAAGTCCTCAGAATAACAAAACAAAAATCCCTTTTTAGACAAAACCTATGTGAAAAGGAATCAAAGATTTTAGGTAGAAACAGCTATAAGTCAATGGAAATTAGACTGCCATTCAAGCCCAAGCTCAATGTTTGCCATTGTGTAACAAAACTTTTCCTGAGAAGATGCAACACTCACGCCTACTCATCCCACATACGAAGCCCACGGCAGACCAAAGTACAAGTACAACCGCCACCAAAGTCCAGCTTGGTGAACCAGTGAGTTTTATTGGAGTTTCCTACAGGAAGATGGGTGAAGAGTCACAGGAGCAGAAATGACTCAAAGACACCTGCATCACCAAGCCTATGCCAGCACAGGGGACAACTCACAAAAGCTGGGAACCTGGAGCACACTGCACAGCCTGCAGGCAGCTCAAGTCAAGAGTGTGTCCTTTCCAAGTGTCTCAGTTGCTCTAAACCCCTTGCAGGCAATGGTGGTTTCTGCTCCTCCCAGAGAAGCTGGGCTGATGTCAGTCTTCTTTGCAACTTGGCTTAGCAAGATCAGATGGACTCTCAGCTTTTATGGACTCTGGCAGAGAAGGGGGTGGGGCCCGATGTATCTGGTCAGTTTCAGGGACTTCTTGAAGCTGTTTTCCTTCCTGTTTACCCGTAGGCTGGAATGTTTCAAGCTTGGAGGGATTTATTTTAAAGGCTGTGGATCTGGAGTTAGTGCTCAGAATTGTTAAGTCTTGTCTTTGTAGGATGTAAACAGACTCTATTCTCAAAACATAAAGCCTGTGTTTTGCTAGTTTTTGTTGGCGCGCGCGCACGCGCGCGCGCGCGCACACACACGTGCATACGTACGTATAAATAAGTTGTTTGTGGAGTTCATTTCTTGAGCCCTACATTTAACTAGCACCAAAGAACTGTGTAGGCCAGCCCACCATTTGTTTTTCCTCTGTGTTATGAAGACCAGTAGCCTATTTGTCTGGTAATTAAGTGCCTCCACCTGGCCTACTCCCAGCACTGCTTCCAATCTGGGAGTTAATTTCAATTACAGCTGCCCCTACAAGTATTCTTGCCTTAGGAAAGTCAGGAAAAGCTAGGGGAGCTTTTTGACAGTGCTGAGGATTGAACCCAGGGCCTTTGTGCATGCTGGGCAAGCATGGTACTCTGAGCTACAATCTCAGCCTTAGAGAAACTTTCTAAGAGCATAGTGAAGGACTGGTGATTGAAAGATCAGGATAGAATCAATACATTATTGATAAGTATTAATATCCCCCCCCCCCCGTAGTGTGTAACTCTGCCGATGATGCAATAAGTCAGATCAGGCCAAATTAAACCGAATTAAAGTATTCCCGGGTGGTCCAGGGAGAGAGGGGAAACCATAGACCTTAAACACCCTGTAGGCTGTCCTGAGGAGCTCGGGGAAGAGCCACTACTTGGAGGCCTTTCTTTGGGCAGGGTCTGGAGAGGGCAGTTCCAGGGGAGGAGCCACCGCTTGGCATGCTTAGGTGGGGTTTGGAATGCCGCCCCCTCCCCTCTCCCCCCTCCCCCTGCGCTGGAGATCCCCAACAATTATTCCTACCTCCCAAGCTTTTGAACATTAAAGCCCAATTTGGGCCATTTGATAGCGAGTTCAAGTCTGTTGCCATAGAAATTCCTCTAAGCCTCTGACTCCATCTTAGACATCTTAATCTGCTATTACCCCACCACTGGAAAACTATGCTCTAGCCCCGTTGAAAATGTACGTTTTCATACAGAAACCTCCTCAGCTCCAGCCCAGGCCTCCGCATTGGCCTCCCCATGTCTTTCCTTCAGGTGTGTGTTCCCTTCCCCTTCGTTCTATTCCCGTAGCACTGGATGGACCACAACTTGGCTCTTCGGCTATCATCATTATACAGTTCCATTTCCATCTCCGTGTAGACTCCTATAACATAAAATTATGTTCTGATTCTTTTTATCTTACATAGAGAGAGCCAAGGAGGGAAAAATCTTCCCGTGACCTACATCCCTCTCTTCTCGTTCACAGCCAAACCCTTGAATAAACAGTCCACGCTAGATTTTTTTTTTTTAACTGTTTCACCATTCACCACTTGGTATAAAGCATTCTGCCCTTTGCTCGCCGAGGAACGTGTTAAAAACGCAGAGTCTCGGGCTCTAACCCAGCTGCACTGAATCAGAGAGGAAGCTGGCTTTGGGAGTGACTTAACAAACCCTCTTCTAGGAGGTGGGTCCACCAGAGAAGCTGCAGTTATGACCAACTGCGCCGAGCAGTGGTGGCGCACGCCTTTAAATCCCAGCACTCAGGAGGCAGAGACAGGCAGATCTCTTGAGTTCGAGGCCAGCCTGGTCTACAAAGTGAGTTCCAGGACAGCCAGAACTACACAGAGAAACTCTGTCTAAAACAAAGACCAAACTGCTCAGCTTCTAAGTCTCCCCTCAAGTCTCTTGTCAAGTCCCATAATCTCAAGGGTTGCCAGGTGCTTATATCACTTTACATACAACAGATACAGAGAATCATCTGGTTATCTTTCCTCGGAAGTATTTCCTAAGGCCACACATCCCCATCTGCACCCTTGGATCAGGCTTTCATCTGCATCACTTCCCTGGACACTGCTGTTCTCCCATAGTTGGTCAATCTGACATCTGAAATTTGGGAAAGTCAAATTTAACACATCTTTGTAGCTGCCAGATCCCAAACAGTAACATCTGAACTTCTATCTTTTATGTTAGAAATTTTTTATGTTTCATGAAATAATCTGTAGAGATATATATCCACCCCTTCTTTTCTTTGGATATCAAATTTGAAGGTACTACATGGGAATAAGTATAGCGTCTTACAACCTTTCCAGCTCTTTCATCTTGCACTCAAGTCAACCATGAGCTCCTCCTCCTCCTAGCTGCCCTATTCCTATGGACATCAGCCTCAACAAAGAAGGAGTAAAGTATTAAAAGCTTATGAGTACGTAGAATAGTTCCAAGAAAGGTATGAGCAGCATTTTCAATTAAAAAGGAATCTGAAGGAAAACATCAGCCCTGTTATAACCGCAGAGGAGGTCGGCCAGCAGCACTGGCCGCTGACTCTGCACTGCCCTCCGCAACCCCTCCACCTTCCAGAATGCTAAGTCGGCCGTTTATCAGGGACCATCATGCGTTTTTCTTCAGATACTTTCATCATTGGTAACCCCAACCAACGAGTAAACAGACGCTTATATTGCTTTAGATACGGACAAGGAAATCATAATGCTTTTCCCTCTGTGAATCAAAGGCAGCTTCAGAACTTTTCTCTGTGTGCTGTTCTAGACAGGAAGTGCTAATTGAGCCAGACTTTTGAAATATTTGCCCTCTCATGTAACTTGTGCAAGAATCATTGTCAAGGGCTGGAGAGATGTCTCAGCAGTTAAGAGCATGGCTGCTCTTCCAGAGGACCCGGGTTCAATTCTCAGCATCCATATGGCAGTTCACAGTTGTTTATAACTTCTGTTCCAGGGATCCAATGCCCTTTTCTGGCCTCTACAGGCACCAGGCATACCCAAGGTACACAGACATCTATGCAGGCAAAACACCCATACATAAAATAATTTTTAAAATATTTTAAAAATCAGCCTCTGAGGTTCATTTAATTTCAAGTTACTTGGTTACTAAATATTTATTGTATTCCCATGGATATATAAAACACATGAAAAGAAAACAATAGTTTTCAAGGTCAATTTATTTCAGGTTCTCATTACTGCAGTTTTTTATTTATAATTTTGGTTTTTCAAGACAGGGTTTCTCTGTGTAGCCCTGGCTGTCCTGGAACTCACTCAAGTAGACCAGGCTGGCCTCAAACTTGGAGATTCACCCGCCTCTGCCTCCCAAATGCTGGTATCAAAAGCATGCACCACCACTGCCCAGCTACTAAAGTTTTCTAAAAAAGTTTTTGAGGGGAAAAAAAAAAGGTATGTGTGAAATCAATATTGAAAACTAAATAAATGAACATTTCTATCAACGTGGGCTAATTCTATTGGAGTAGAATTGTGAACTTTGCTTTAAAAGTCATAGAGACATTTCTGTTTCAGACAGAAACAGTGGAATACAAAGAAATCTACAGCCGTGTCACGTTCCCCAGAAAAGGATGAGACAGCTCCTGGGTTTTGCTACTGGAAGCAGTTTGGCCACTGAACTTTGAAAACCCCTAACTCCAGCCTTCAAGAAAGCATGGGAACGGGACCTTTCTAAACACAGAAATTAAAGCAGATCCCCTACTACCACGTGTCCTATTTCACGCCGCTGTTAACCAGCAAAGCAGAACTACCTTCCTTTTCTAGTTCGCGGACCTGGTCCTCGAAGCTACCGGGTGCGGAGGCACCGAGACTCTCTCACCCAGGTCCTCTGAGAGCATCCCACCCTGTCTTGGAGATCCAGGGGCTCTGTCCAGACCCTCAAAGGAACAGCAGTTGAGTTTAGTGTGGAGGGAGGATGGAAGGGGGTGGTCACCCAGGCCCCGCCCCTCGCCCCTCCCTCTCTGCAGCTCGGTCCTACTTAGGGTCCCGGGGTCGCTCCCCAGCAGCTCAGAAAGCTCAAGCTGCCACTCTGCCAGGCCCGGGGCTGCACCGCCGCGCTGAGAATGGACAGCAGGGCGCGGAGCTCTTCCAGAGAGGCCCACGGGCGAGGTGGCAGGTCCCCTTCCAGGGAGGACAAGAGGGCGAAGGCCGGGAGGGGCAGCGGAGGCCGCACGCGCCCGGAGGCTGGGTCAGAGCGGCGGAGCTCCGGGCGAACCCGGACCCGGGGAGAGCCCCGAGCCCCCGCCGCCACCGTAGTGGACGTGGACGAGGTTCGGGGCTTCGGTGAGGAGGGCACCGAAGTGGTGGCGCTGCTGGAGAGCGAGCGACCCGAGGAAGGTACGGAGGGGCAGACCCGACCAGAGGAGGGTGTGGAGGGGCAGGGGAGAGATGTCAGACAAGTGGAGTGAGTTGACCCACTGTGACAAGTCAGATAGACTGCGTCCGAGATTCGTTTCCGGGAAAAGAAAAGCATGAGTTAAGGCAGTTACTGAGTGGTGGAGACCAAAGTGCATCAGACGAAATACAAAGAGCAACATCGGCTAAATAGTTTGTCCCTTTTTGCCCAATGGATGGGAGGTGGAAGAGAGAGTGGTTCAGGACGGGCCCAGTCAATGTGCAAAGGAACCACAGCGTTGGCTTTTGTGGTCATGGAAGGACCTGTGGACACAGTATGATGGCTCTGAGTAACAACCATGTAGCTCTTCTCTCATCCTCGCCCATCCGTCTTACCCAGGAGTATGGTAACCTTTCTTTGGACCGGCCTCCCCCGCCCCACCCCCTAACCGCAAAGGCAGCAAAGCCCACTCAAGAGCCAGACCTGAGTTTAAGTTTCAGCCTAGCCACTCGCCCGCAGTGTGACCACAGAAGGAGCCTTCGCTATCGGCCATGTGACCACAGTGTATGCTCATAGGGTAGATGTGAGAATGAAATAAGCCTTCCAATGCATCTTGCGCAATGTCAGCTAAATCCTTCAAGCCAAAGGAGAATGCCACCATGTCACAGGGGAGGATGCAAACAAAGGTGTCCCTTTCACCTCCGTGGGTGCCACAACTCTTAGGAGAAATGTATCTACTTCCAGTCCTTTTCATGGCAAATGTAAGAAAAAGATCATTGTGCTCGAATTAAAGAATAACAGATGCTTGACGGAAGTAAGAAACAGCATGTTACATTGCTGTCTGCTGGCCACGTGGAGATTTAGCATATCCTATTACCTGCAATGCAATACATGCTAGATCATAGAGAGCTACTATTTGTGGAAGCCTCGTGCAGCTGGGCTATAGTGTAAATGGACCATGCTCAGACTTTTTGCCTAAGTGATAACCCTCTGGTCCTTAGGAGAGTGGTTGGGTTCAAGGCTATAGAAATGCAAGTTAGTTTGTGCCAGATCACATCAAGGAAGTACGTAAGGGAGGAAGCCCCATTTGTGGAGTCCTTTCTATGTGGCAGGCACAGACTGAGTGTTTTGTTTTTTAATTATTTAGTTACATACCATCACAGATGAGGAAAAATGCTTTGAGAAATTAAATAGCTTGCTTGTATTGGGCGGAACTTTCTAGAGGAACAGAATCAACAGAGTTGGGTTGTAGGGGGTTGGCCTACATGATGGTCTGGGTAGAAAGGCAGAAAATCAGGTTTCCATTCCAGACAGTGGAACACCTTAACTGTCACAATCCAGCCCTGAAAGCCCAGGCATTCTCTGGAGAGTCGTTGATGTTGAGTCAAAGCAATGTGGATGTGAAAGTGCCCCAGTTCCATATCACCTTTTTACAGACACAAACCAGATTATGCCAAATAGGTGATTTCCAAGGACCGAGAAACACCTCACTCCAATAGAGGGACTCTAATGGAAGAATCTCAGACATGAAAGCAGGCAGGACCAGGGACTTCTAGACACTTCACACAGTAAAGCCTGGGACGTGTCAAGCATGAGCTGACATCTTTATATGTGTATGCCATTCACCTTTGTACCAGATATATCAGCTAGAGCTCATGGACTAGCTATTATGGGATAGTAATTAGTCAACATCCCATTATATAGGTGAGGAAATTAGGCTTTAAAGAGGTCCTATGCCCTGCTTAAAAGTCATCAATGAACATGATTGGAACCAGAACTGGAACCAACTGGCCCCCCTGGCCTCCTGGTCCCCCAAGTCTCCCTGCCTGTCCAGAAGTTTATTCCACCTTCCATTGGCCCACATGTCCATCACACAGACAATACCCCAGACCTGGGAATTCTGATCATTCTGTTACCTGGCTCATACCAATTTTTCCAGACATGTCTCCAAACTGTTCTGACTCCAGTGCTAAGCACTAGACTGACAGATACTGCTCAGTAAATATGGTGATGTTTCAATCTAATTGTTTTCCTAGGTATCAAGTCCTCTGGGCTAGGGGCCTGTGAGTGGCTGCTTGTCCTCTCCTCCCTGCTCTTCATCATCATAACTTTCCCTTTCTCCATCTGGTTCTGCATAAAGGTGAGTGTCTACATGAACCCAAGAGGTGATTTCTGTTGTCTCTCATAGAACATACTAGGCCTGCCTGCCTTCCAGAAGAGCGCTGCTTCCTTCAAGACCTGGCTCAATGTAACCATGAAGCTTCCTTTATTCTCCCGACCTATAGGTCTTCTGTCATGGCTAGAACAATATGTTAGCAAATCGTGTGTGTGTGTGTGTGTGTGTGTGTGTGTGTGTGTGTGTGTGTGTGTGTGTATGTAAGGATGACATGGATGGATGGATGGATGGATGGATGAATGGATAGATATATGTCCCTGTTAGCCTGAGAGACCCTTAAGAAGCCACATCTAGTTCATCCATGCTCAGTGACACAAAGAGCACCCCAGAATGGATCATCCACTTTGACACTACAAGCAAAACGTCTTGGGCAACTTCCACAGACCAGGAGAGACAATTATCTTTGGTCCCCAAGTGTTTTAATTATACTAATCCAGAAGTAAATGAAGACCTGGGTAGCTCAGGAAGCACATGCTGTGATGAAATTAGAAGCTTGAGGCATTTAGAGGAGAGAGAACAAGAATAGGCAGAGGCAGGCAGATCTCTGTGGGATCGAGGCCAGCCTGGTCTACAGAGTAGGTTTCGGGACAGCCAGAACTGTTTACACAGAGAAACCCTGTCTCAAAAAAAAAAAAAAAAAAAGGAAAAGAAAAAGAAAAAAAGAAAGAAAGAAAGAAAGAAAGAAAGAAAGAAAGAAAGGCAGGGGACATCTTTGATGACATAGTTTGACACTTGGGACAGATGAAGCGGGAGAGCTGGACAGAACGAACGCTAGACTGTGTGCGTGACCACTCTCAGATAGCCACAGCCCACTTGAAAGGGAACCCCAGAGCAAGGTTGGCTTCATGGTGGGTAGAAATGGTCAGGCCTCGGCACTCCTGCCGTTCAGTTTTCTCCATTGGCTGGAGCTGCCAGGGAGGAGGGATGCGGTGGCTGGACGCTGCAGACGCAGTTAGTGCTGGTGCTGGTCCTTTTCCTCCCAGCGTACAGCATACAGTGGCTTTCCTAACCCCTTCTCCCACTCCTCCCACTAGACTGACTGCACGGGATTGTATCCCAGGATTTTTTTGCATCTGTTTAAATTTTCACATGGTAGCTAATCTTTATTCTATATTTTAGGATGTCAAATCCCGCTTGGGGGCCACGGTGATAGTTCAGTTGATAAGGTGCAGAAAGGGCTTCACCTATTGGGCAGCTCTCTAGCTCCTACCTGCCCCCCATTTGAGACAGAGTCTCTGTAACATCAGCTGTCCTGGAGCATGCTATGTAGACCACAGGTGATCCTCCTGCCTCTGCCTCCCCCAAGTGATGAGATATTGGGTATGAACCACCATGCCTGGCGTTGTTCTTAGTTCTCAAAACAAAGGGTTTTTTTTGTTTGTTTGTTTTCTTTTTGAGACAAGGTCTTACTATGTAACCCAGACTGTCCTGGAACTCTCTATGTAGATCAGGCTGGTCTCAAACTCACAGAGATCCACCTGCCTCTGCCTCCCGTGTGCGACACCACACCTGGATAGCAACAAAAAAAAAAAAAAAATTCTGTAGCCTAAAATCATTCCTATGCAAAGGTCTTTTGACTCCTTTGTTTTCCTTTGAAATCATTTCAAAGTATTGCTTTTCCCTTCAGGTTGTACAAGAGTATGAAAGAGTAATTATATTCCGACTGGGGCATCTGCTCCCTGGAAGAGCCAAAGGCCCTGGTAAGAATTACCCTCCATGAGTTTTAAATTCTTATCCCACCCCATGATTTGTTGATGATTTCTTTAATCCATACATAGTTCTAATCCATAGCGTAGATTACATGAAGTTATTTGAGTCACTGTATCTGTATTTCTAATCTGTTCATTATAGGGCAGATTGTCCTGAAATTCTCCAGAAAGCATTACTAACAGGTCACAGGTGGCTAAGAGAGGACAAGCCCAGAGAGCCCCCACCAGGGCCAGTCCAGTTGGAACGGCAAGGCATCTACGGACCTAGAGCTAATGATTGGTCTGAGTACAGCGTGTGTATAGTCAGAATCCTGAGACTTCTCAGAGAAAATCTGAGCTAGTTCAGAATTGGGGATGGAGGCAGATTAGCTCATGGAAGTCAAGCAAAATTCAGCATCTAGTAACAAATAAGTCTTTAGTTGGTAGAAGAGGCATATACTGAAGCCTTCCATTGTTTTAGACTGTACACTGACTACCAGGGACTAGAGGAATAAGGCATGGTCTCTGATCTCTAGGACCTGAAAATCCAGAGGAGGTCCAACCTGAGGGGAGGGCATATAGATAGAAGTGTGGTTAGTCTGAAAAACCTAGTAGTTTGGATTTGGAGATCTGAGACAGCCAAGAAGGCCTACGAGAGAGTGAAGTCCCACTACACATATACTGAGAGGCTCTGAGTTCTCAGCCATGCCTGCACGAACAAGTTAAAAATGGAAGGCAGTCTAGGAGACACAAATCAGAGTTTCAGGGTTCTGAACCCAATATATAAGTCCACACAAGACAGAACCAGACTCCAGAGCTCCAGGGTACATACCATCTTTCTACGGCCCTGGTTTTCAGGAACCTTCTCTGTTGAGGCTGAGAAAGGTCCTAGCTGGCTGCTTTCCCATACATCCTGGGCACTTGAGCTGCTACTAGTTTCCACAGAGTTGTGGCTCTTGAAGGGTGCCTGTCCTAGTCACTGTTCTATTGCTGTGAAAAGACACCATGAGCAAGGCAACCCTTATAAAAGAAAGCATTTAGTCAGGGACTTGCTTACAGTTTCAGAGGTTTAGTTTGTTATCATCATACTGGGGAGCCTGGCAGCATGCAGGCAGATGCTGTAGCAGTAGCTGACAGCTACATCCAGATCTATAGGCAGAAAGAGAGAGCCTAGGTCTGACATGAACTTTTGAAACCTCAAAGTCCACCCCCCCAGTGACACATTTCCTCCAACAAGACCACGCCTCCTAATCCTACTAATCCTTTTAAATAGTGCCACTCCCTGGTGACTAAGCATTCAAATATATTAGCTTATGGGGGCCTTTCTTATCCAAACCACCACAGTCCCAAATCATCCACGGGGCTTTAGGAAACTTTCAACTAACCAATCTACAGATACTGCATATTGAATCTGTGTACTGTCTGGGGTAATGAGAACTAACTGGCCAACACAAAGCTGCTGTCATGATATTGCTACTCTGATGACCCTGGGGCTCACATTTTCAGAAATAACACCCAGAAGTTGTCAGATCTAAACTGATGCACCAGTACATTTCACATAGTAAAACAATTTTGCACAGTACCTAAAAGGCTCCAAGACACATTAAGGTTAATGTTCATGCATATGGCGCTGTACTTACAGAGCTTGAGTCTAGTAGAGAGACAGGTATGTAAGAGATATAGACGGGTCAATATGATGCCTCAAGTGACCAACCAAGTGGTCTAGTTTTCTGAAATACTCTTTGTTTATACCTGATGTGCTGAACTTAGTTTTAATAATAACCTCCCTTTTACCTTCAAAAGTGTCCACAGTTGAATAATGAGTTATATGACAATACTTTAGTTACAAGGAAGCTGCCCAGTGGTCTCTGGGTAATGGAGGCTAAGAAGAGCAGAGCAGCCTGGCCCTGAGAAGACAGTCCCCAGCAGTCTTCACACTTGCTGTTCACCTGTTATTCTCCTCATGCCTTCTTGTAGGCCTGTTCTTTTTTTTGCCATGCCTGGACACCTACCACAAGGTTGACCTCCGTCTCCAGACCTTGGAGATCCCTTTCCATGAGGTGAGATGCACAGTATGTTCGCTTCCTCTTGACATTTCTATGGTCTACTGTCCTAACTCAATCCCGAGGCAAAGTAACTATGCTCAAAAGTAGGAAAGAGAAGCAGAGATGTGGACTACATCAGAATCAAAAGCATCATTATCAAAGTATACAACCAACAAAGTGAAAGGTAGCCTATGTAATGGGAAAATGTATTTTCAAATCATTTATCAGAGTTTAATATATAGGATATAGAAAGAGTTCACTCAGGTCAATAAAAACAACAAAAGCCACAACCTAATTTAAAAATGGACAAAGGAATTTATAATAGTTAATTTTATCTATCAATTAGACTAAGCCTCAGTTATTTGGCCTATATTTAGTTAAACAAATCTGGATGTTATTGTGCATGTATTTGATAGATTGGATTAGTATTTAAATCAGCAGACTTTTAATAAAGCAGTTTACCCTTGATCATGTGAGTAAGCTTCATTCAGTCGGTTGAAGGTTTTAAAGAACTGTCTTTGGCTTAAAGAGGAGGAAGTTTTCTTCCAGTAGGCAATATATATAAACCTCCAGGCCCACCCACACATACCGACTCCAACAAGGTCACACCTCCTAATAGTGCTACTCCCTATGAGCCAAGCATTCAAACACATACAGGCCATACCTGTTCAAACCACCACAGGTACCAAGTGCCAAGTATTGAAGAGAATGTGGAGAAGCTAGAATTCATCCATTACTGGTGGGACATAAGATAATACAACACTGTAGGATGCAGCTATCCAACAGGGTGACTTCTCCAAAACTTAAGAACAGTATTACTGGAAGCTTAAAGTTTCAAAGAATTGAAATCAGGATCTTGGAGAAATTTTTTCCCCTCAGTGTTCATAAGAAAATGTAGAATCAGGAACAGGAGAGATGGCTTAATAGTAACCTGCTAATCTAGCAGAGGACCAGAGTTCTGTTCCCAGCACCTGAACTGCCCCTAACTCCAGCTCTAAGTGATCCAGTGCACATAGATGTGACATACACTCACACAGACACAGACAGACATACAGACACACAGACACACACACAAATAAATAAATAAATAAAAATAATCTTTTAAAAGTAGAAGCAGGGGTTGGAGAGATGGCTCAGTAGTTAAGAGTACTTACTGCTCTTCCAGAGAACACAGGTTCAATTACCAGCCTTATATGGTGGCTCACAACTATCTGTAACTCTAGTTACAGGGGATCTAACACCCACTTCTGACCTCCAAAGATACTACATGTAAATGGTATATATGCAGGAAAAATACTCACATATATCCAGTAATAAGTTTTAAAGATTAAAAGAAATCTCAAAAAAAAAAACTTTAACTGGAAGAGCTCAGATGTCCAATGATCGCTGACTAGATAATCAAAATGTGGTATGCGTCTATGATTAAATACTGTTCATCCCTTAAGAGGAAAGATATTCTGACATGTTCTACATATAACGTGGATGAACCTTGAGGACATTATGCTAAGTGGGAATGTCAAATCAAAAATTCAAATAGTTTTATAATCTACATCCAGTAACTAGGTAACTCAGTTTTCCTAGAGTATCCCAATTCACAGGGACAGAAAGGATGCTGGGACTCTAGGGAAGTGGGTGGGCAATAATGATTTGATTTCAGTTTTGTAAAATGAAAGGCATCCCAGAGGTTGATTGATCCGCTAAACTCTATACTATGGATGGTATATAACATGACAAAATTGTAGACTAGAGGTGGCATATTTTATGTTATATATTTTACCACAATTTAAAAATTTAGAAAATACAAAGTAAAGACAATATCCATATTTCTCTAGCAGAGATTTGGGTTAGTAAGTCTTTCCCAGTCTCTTACCTTTTCAAAGTTCTGTCCCATTCTTTCTTTTGGTAAATATAAATGGTTTCCTTTCAAAGATGCTTACTTTTGATAATAACATTTACCAAAAGGAAAAGAACAAAACAAGTCTTGAGGAGGTGTTTGGATGCTGGTGTATTATCCGTGAAGCTCAAACACGGAAGCAGTCCACGTGACTGTCAGCAGAAAGTTCATAAGCAAAACGTCAGCTCTACACAGAGTGAGACTTACTCAGACTCAGGGGACATTCTGACGTGTGCTACAACATAGATGAGTCTGGAGGTCATTGTGCTAAATGAAATAAGAAATTCCAAAGGACAAATTCTGTGTGATTTCACATTTGTGAAGTGCTTAGAATCATCAGAATCATAAAGACAGTATAGTGGTGGTCTTTAAGAGCAAGGGGATGGAGTGGGGAGTTAAATAGGTACAGAATTTCCATATTATAAGACAGATTCACAGAGATGAATGGTTATACAGCGTTATCAATGCACTCAATAAAAGGTTTGCATACGTGCATTTTAACACAATAAAGCACTGGTAAATACTTCTCCCTAATACTACTACCCATAGGTACTTACTGGTATTTTGGAGTATAATCTTCTAGACTTTTCTATGTACATGACTACCTTTATAAATTACCTATATATTATATGCTATTTTGTAGCCAGTTCACTTTTTATCCAACAATATACTGAAATCACCTTTTCATATATTAGCTTGTTGCTGCTGCTATATATGTATATATACAAAGTAAAGACAACATCCATATTTCTCTAGCAGAGATTTGGGTTAATAAGTCCTTCCCAGTCTCTTACCTTTTCAAAGTTCTGTCCCATTCTTTCTTTTGGTAAATATAAATGGACACACCACATTTTATTGTGTGAATGTACCATGGTTTATTCAACCAGTTACATATTGGCAATTATTTCCGATGTTTGATTCCAGTAAGCAGTACTGTGAATAGCAATTCTTATAGCTAACGCCTTAAATACATCCCTTTGATAGATGTCTATGGATGGAGTCTTAGTTATGGTTTTTATTACTGTGATAAACACCATAACCAAAAGCACCTTGGAAGGGAAAGAGTTATAGCTGAGAGAAGCCATGATGGGAAGTCAGGGCAGGAACTTGGGAGGACCACTGCTTACTGGCTTGTTCCTCCCAGCTTGTTCTGTTTTCTTATACAGGACCACCTTCCCAGGGGTGGCACCACCCACAACGGGCTGAGCCCTCCCACATCAATCATCTCTCAAGAAAATGAATCACTTTGGCTTGCCTACAGGCCAGTCCTATGGAGGCATTTTCTCCATTAAGATTCCTTCTTCCCGCCGGGCGGTGGTGGCGCACGCCTTTAATCCCAGCACTCGGGAGGCAGAGCCAGGCGGATCTCTGTGAGTTCGAGGCCAGCCTGGGCTACCAAGTGAGTTCCAGGAGAGGCGCAAAGCTACACAGAGAAACCCTGTCTCGAAAAACCAAAAAAAAAAAAAAAAAAAGATTCCTTCTTCCCAGATGATCCTAGCTTGTGTCAAGTTGACATAAAAACTACCAGAACAGATGGGCTTTTGATGGAAAGCCCCAGCTTGCCCTCTAATATCACTCCAGTAAGTGTATGTGAGAGTACCTATGTCTTAGAACACGACTCTCTTCCAGGAGACCCACTGGGCATCTGTTTAGGAAGGCCTTGACATAAAATCAATTGAATGTTTTCATATGAGAAAGTTAGTCTTGGTTTCTTTTTTTAAAAAAAGGATCTGAGCCGGGCGGTGGTGGCGCACGCCTTTAATCCCAGCACTCGGGAGGCAGAGCCAGGCGGATCTCTGTGAGTTCGAGGCCAGCCTGGTCTCCAAAGCGAGTTCCAGGAAAGGCGCAAAGCTACACAGAGAAACCCTGTCTCGAAAAACCAAAAAAAAAAATAAATAAATAAAAATAAAAAATAAATAAAAAAAGGATCTGTAACAAAATTTCTTAAATTATGAGTTCTCAGCCGGGCGGTGGTGGCACATGCCTTTAATCCCAGCACCAGGAGGCAGAGGCAGGCGGATCTCTGTGAGTACAAGTCCAGTCTGGCCTACAGATTGAGTTCCAGGACAGCTAAGGCTACACAGAGAAACCCTATCTCGGGAAAAAAAAAAATTATGAGTTATCTGTATTTGTTCTGAGCCTGGGTTGTGTTCATGTGCTCCCCATTCCCTTCCCCCACCTTCCTTCCTTCCAGAGGCAAGCATCACCAGGCCTGAGTCCTTAGTGTGCATGATAAAACCTTCATGCATTAAAAAATACATATGTCACCGGGCGGTGGTGGCGCACGCCTTTAATCCCAGCACTCGGGAGGCAGAGCCAGGCGGATCTCTGTGAGTTCGAGGCCAGCCTGGGCTACCAAGTGAGTTCCAGGAGAGGCGCAAAGCTACACAGAGAAACCCTGTCTCGAAAAACCAAAAAAAAAAAAAAAAAAAAAAAAAGAAGAAGAAAAAAATACATATGTCTATTTTGAATAAAGAATCAATTCTCCCATTACTCTTTTCCTTTCCCCTACTATAGTCTTACTCCTGGAAAATGCACTTAAAAGCATTTAGTTCCCCTCGCCCACATAGGAAGGAGTCCAGGAATCTAGCCTGCATTCAAACTCTCTTCTGCTTAGGTGGTAACCAAAGATATGTTTATAATGGAGATAGACGCCATCTGCTACTACCGCATGGAAAATGCCTCTCTTCTCCTGAGCAGTCTTGCTCATGTGTCCAAAGCCATCCAGTTCCTGGTGCAAACCACCATGAAGCGCCTCTTGGCACATCGATCTCTCACTGAAATTCTCCTGGAAAGGAAGAGCATTGCCCAAGATGTGAAGGTACCAAGAGGAGTTTAATGATGAATTGGTCATGTGTTAAATTTGCCATGTGCAAGGCATTTGGCCATTCAAGATGCCATTCATTGGGGAGTGGACAGTCAATGACATCATTAGCCTGGGGTACAGATTTGCTGCCCTCCCTTCCCCAAGTCACTCTCCAGTGACCTTAAGCACACTGTGAAATACCAGCGTAGTACAGAGTGTTGGAAGCAGCTGTAGGCAGGAAGGGTAGGAATGGGGGGGAATGGGCAGGATGATTGAGGGCGATCTACTAAGATGAGGAGGCATGGTTCCCAGATGCCCAGTCTCGCTGGGGGGATGAGCATAGTGTGCCCAAGGGTAAATAATAGTAAATTCAAGTCAGACTTTCAGAGTCCAGATATCACACACCCTTTCATGGTTAATTGCCATACTTAATTGGTTTGGAATTAGACGGGGAAGTAAAAGTAAAATCTGCCACTGGAGAAATGGCTCAGTGGATAAAATGCTTGCTGTGGAAGCATGAGGTCCTTAGTCTAGACCCCCAGAAACCACGTGAACAGCTGTGTTTGGCAATGCATGTGCCAATGTGGCCCGACATAAGAAGGCAGAGCTGGGCCGGGGAGTGGAGTTCTCTAGCCGACTAGTCTAGCCAATTAATGGGTTTCCAGTTCAGTGAGAGACCCCATCTCAGGAAACAAGGAGAAGAACAATAGAGGAAGACCCTCAGTGTCGGCCTAGGGCTTTCTTATTCACAAACATGGGCACATGCACGTGTGCGCACACACCACACACACACACACACACACACACACACACACACACACACACACACACACACACACAGCAAAACAAAAAAGAAAACTCCCTTCTAAGCAGTCTTACTGAGTCCACAGGCAGCCAGCTCTGCAGTCTCATCCACAGCCAGGGTAGATGCCTCTATTACCAAGACAGGGTGACAAGAGATACTAAGACCGAGAACAAAGCAGGGCTGTGGGCAGCTGGCCAGTCAGGTGGCAGTTACCACCAGGGACCCAGGCCAGTACTGAAGTCATAGGCACACAAACATTGGGATGGGGGGGCTATTAGGAAGAAAGACATGAAACAGAGGAACCACCTGAACCAAAGGCTTTATAGAACCTGAAAAAACACAGTGTCCAGTGTTTGTGACTTGTCCAGAGTGTTGCTAATCACTAGTGTTCATATCTGGAGGGGAAGTGAGGAGCTGGAAAATACAGCGAAGCAGGAAAGAGGTAAAGATGAGCAGCACAGACACTCCTCCACTGACATCTGAACCACTCGGCATGCTCCCACTGTTCCTTCAGCCTCATCCTTGTTCATCCCTCTCCTCTGAAGGATAAAGGCCGGGCTGCTGATAGCCAAGCTCAATTTTGTTGCAACGGGTTATAATTTAGGCATTTGTACACCTGTTTCCCCAGATTATGAATTCCATGGACTTGGCACAGTGCCGAATATTTGGATGAGTTGAGAAATGGCCCAGCTGTTGTGGCCTCACTCCCTACCACCCTGGCTCCACAGTCCAGCACCTCCACGTGCTTAGCATTCACCCTCCATGCAGCTTCCACTCCTCCGGCTTCCTCTTGAGCTGTTTCCTCTGCCTGGAATTCCTGCCTTCTCTCCAGGACAAACCTTGTCTGTTCCTTACGCTGCCAGCTGGGCTCTGATGTCTTTCTCCACATGTCTTACTCACACCTGCCCCCGCTAAGTAGTTGCTCCTCCCAGGGTTTGCAATGCACTGGGATAGTATTTAGCCACTAGGAAATGATCAGAAGGTGAGTTTGAAATGAACATGATCCACATGAAAGGGCTCTAAGCCCTATCCCTCACCCATTTCCAGAACCCAGTTCATTTGTTCTTAGCTCCATTTCCAACTTCAGTCATGGAGGGCAGAGAGGACTAAGAAGCATGGGGAACAACATCATAGGGGAAGTGGAAGTACCCTAAAAATGTTAGTCATTTGGCAGGGTCTCAGCCCAGAGACGCTGGTTATTTAAGGAATGAATTTTAAAACAAACTGGAAAAAAAATGTACCATCTGTACTGGTTCCCTATTTGCTCATGTAACAAATGTTCCCAAACCTAGTGGCTCAAAACAGCACAGCTCACTGAACTCTTGTGGTCCTGAAGATCAGAGTGCAGAATCAACTTCACCAGGCTTAAGTCCAGGCATCAGCATGGCAGATTCCTTCTGGAGGCTTCGAATCCAAGACTTTGCCTCTCTCGGCATCTAGCTCCACATGCATTCCTCTGCTGCCCCCCACACCTATGCCCCCAAACTCTCTACCCCCTCTACTTCCCACTGCCCCCCACCCCCAGCTTCACAGCGCACCAGCCCCGTCCTGCCCCCTTCATTATGACACCGTCTCTTCTGGAGTCAAATCTTCTCTCAGATGAAGACACTTGTGATTATATCCTTCAAGAACCTTTGGTTTAATCACATCCTAACAGCTCTCTTGGGTACCAGTCCAGGTCTAGGGACATGAGCATCTTTGAAAGCCCATTATTCAGGTCCCTACATCCTCTTTAGATCCAGTGATTATTCAATGGCACTGTGCAAGTTCAACAACTCTGTCCCAGACACTGTGACATTAAAAAAAGCAGTGCCCTGTGAAAGGACCTGTTCTGAGGACAGAACAGTGGCCCTTGGTGTGTGGGGGGAGGGGAGTGGGGGGGTAGCGCTTGTCTTATTTCCACTGGGGTGGCAGGTCTCACTGGCATCTCACCTCTTCCCTCCACAGGTTGCCTTGGACTCAGTGACCTGTATTTGGGGCATCAAAGTGGAGAGAACTGAAATGTAGGTGGGGAAATAACCAGAAAGAACAGTGTCTGAAAAATCATTTCAAATACTGTAGCCACACTGATACTAGAGAAAAGTGACCTAACACCTCATAGCCAAGATTCAATTGCTACATCCTCCAAGCAAACTGTCCTTGTGGTTTTTAATTTTGCATTAAGAGGTCTTTTTACATAAAACTTAGCATTGATCATGTTTTGGTATTAGCTCAGTGGTTTTAGTCCTGACTTCACATTTCTATCACTCCCCAAATCCTACAAGCAAGAACTCTCTAAACCATTCCCCTTAGCCCTTAGCCCCTCGTTCTCCTTCAACGGATATGCCTGTCATTCTGAGTAGTTCACAGAAGTGGAGTCACAGCATAAAGACTTCTTGTGTGGCTTCCTTTCACGTGCATAATTTTTCAAGGTTCATCCCTGGTATGGCACGCATCCATACTTCATTCCATTTTATGCTTAAATAATGTTCCGTTGTATAACCATACAAAATCTTGTTTTTACATTTCTCAATTAACCACTTTGGGACTATGGAAAGTGCTATAATGAAATTTTTTTTTTTTTTTTTTTTTTTTTTTTTTTTTTTTTTTTGGTTTTTCGAGACAGGGTTTCTCTGTGTAGCTTTGCGCCTTTCCTGGAACTCGCTTTGGAGACCAGGCTGGCCTCGAACTCACAGAGATCCGCCTGGCTCTGCCTCCCGAGTGCTGGGATTAAAGGCGTGCGCCACCACCGCCCGGCCGAAATTTTACTTTTGTGTCTTCTTTTATGCAGTATACTAGAATTATTCTTATTTGTTCGTTCCTTCTCCTCAAATTCATTCCTCTTTTATAAACTCAGATGAATTCCTCTGGTTTTTGTTTTTAGTTGTATGGCTCTTCAGAGTTGTTTTTCATTATTCAAATTTCATAGCTTGGATTTACACAAAATCTTAAGTGAGAAAGATGACCACAGATTGTGAACACAAAATATGGCCTGTGTAATTAGAGTGTCGTAGCCCCACGTAGCCTCCGTAGCGGTCATACCTGCACTTAGGGGACTGCCCCCGAACGTGCTCTTCTCTGCCCGTCTTCCATGTCAGAACTCTAGGAACAGCTCTATCTGCTTGTTTAGAATTTACTGTTTGGGGCTGAAGAGATAGCTCAGTGGTTTAGAGAATTGGCTGCTCTTCCAGAGGACTTGGGTTCAATTCCCAGCACCCACCAGTCAGCTCCAATTGTTATAGACAACTGTCTATAACTCCAATTGCCCTCTTCTGGCCTTCATGGGATATAGGCATGTATGTGGTGCACGAACATACATGTAGGCAAACATACCCATACACATAAACTATAAATCTTTAAATAAAAAAAGGGATTTGCTATTCATAGAGCAACAGTAGGCAGGGTCAAGTCTGTGAGAAGGCCCCGGCTGCTACCGTCAGGGCACACACCTATGCTGTCTGTCTTCTTCTGCAGTAAGGACGTGAGGCTGCCGGCCGGGCTGCAGCACTCTCTGGCCGTGGAAGCTGAGGCACAGAGACAGGCCAAAGTGCGGGTGAGCCCTTCCTGAGCACTCCACCCTCCCACCTCTGCCCCGGAAGAGCATCTGAGAACCCAGGGGAAGGCCTGCTGGTGGAGACCATTTCCCCTGCACTCTTCCTCACGGGCCCAGGAACTGAGCGGAATCCGGCTGTGTCCCCACCACTGTTGACAGTGTGTCCACAGGACTAGCCGTCCAGTACCTCAGCCTCTCCCCAGACTTCCTGCTAATGTCCCCCCCTTCTGCTTTCATCCTCTCTCCTTAAAGTCTTCCCTTGCCACCCTCCCTCTCGCGCTGGGATTGTCCCTGGAGAACCGAGGCCTGTCATCCCTAGGATAATGAAGGGCTGAAAAGATACAGATTCCTCTCAAGTAACTGAGTGGATGAAGAAAAGGACTCTAATCGCATAGAAGAACCAATAACAAAAGACTCGGAAGAGAAGGAGGGAGGGGGAGAGGAAGGTCACCTTTTGGGGTACAGTTGCATCTAAGTCTCCAAACCAGTTACCTGTGCCCAACATTCAGTGGCATCTGTGAAACAGGCCCGAGAGCCTTCTCTTCGGAAATGCTTTCCCATTCTTTTTTTTTTTTTTTTTTTTTTTTTAACCAAGTTATAATACATGTCTGTCCCCAGAACTCAGACCAACTTGTTCTCCATATGGCAAGCACAATCCTGAGTTTTCAAGCCTACCATGCATTAACAGTACCCCTACAGTTCATGTATACTTGTCATGACCTATAACAGAATCCACCTTCAGTTTTGATTGCTAGTTTAATCTGTTCCCTCTACCTCACAATCCATCTGAGAGAGTCTTCGTCTAATGCCCCAAGTTTAACAATGCCTGCACGGAGCAGATGTGCGGTACTTGCTTTCTGGGTCACACTGAATGGTTAGCACTTAAAACCCTCATGACTCCAGGTGGTGGCGCACGCCTTTAATCCCAGCACTCAGGAGGCAGAGGCAGGTGGATCTTGTGAGTTTGAGGCCAGCCTGGTCTACAGAGTGAGTTCCAGGACAGCCAGGGCTGCCCAGAGAGACCCTGTCTTGGAAACAGACAGACAAACACCCTCATGAAGTGAAGCAGCATGGTCACATTGCTCTCTTCGTGTGTGTTCTACAGATGATCGCAGCGGAAGGAGAAAAGGCCGCTTCTGAGTCCCTGAGGACGGCAGCTGAGATCCTGTCAGGCACCCCAGCTGCCGTTCAGCTCCGATACCTGCACACTCTGCAGTCCTTGTCCACAGAGAAGCCGTCCACTGTGGTTTTACCTTTACCATTTGACCTGCTAAACCTTCTGTCTTCTCCCAGCCCCAGAACGCAGGGAAGCATCAGCTACCCACATTCTTCCAAACCTGCCGAACCGCTCAACCCCAAAAAGAAGGACTCTCCCATGTTATAGGGGTGAGTGGGCAGAAAGCGATGTGAGTCTACCGTGTAAAACTCTATCCCCGAGTGAGGCATTCAGTCCTCCTGCTCTTGTTGGGTTGCCAAATAGGCCTTTTGGATGTGTGATGTCGCAAGATGGCCACGTGCATGAGAACACAGTGAAATGCCAGTGGCAGAGAAGGCATCTAACTACATCATAGTAATTACAGGAAAGAGATTTAGAATTTTGAATCTGTATGTGGCTCGATTTTGATTTCTGAAGACTTAGTTCACATATCTTCCACTGCGTGTTACCTGGCTCCCTTAACAAGGTCTTTGCAGGCCCCACAGCCTTTTCTATGAGCACCTGTCAATGTGCTTATCACACCGAGTGCTTAAGTTCTACCTGGGCTGGAGAGATGGCTCAGAGGTTAGAAGCACTGCTGTTCTTCCAGAGGTCCTGAGTTCAAATCCTAGCAGCCATCTGTAACGAGATCTTGTGCCCTCTTGCAGGGATACATGCAAACAGAACACTGTATACATAATAAATAAATCTTAAAAAAAATAGAGTTCTACCCCCTTTCAGCATTCTTCAAAACTCCCACTGTAACAGCCATTAGGCTCTGCTGCTGGCTTTTAACAACCTTTCAAGCCTAAAATCCCAAACTCTCCCACAAAATAGTGCAAAGGCATAAAAGCCTCATGGTCAGGCTTGTCATGGGAACAACCCCATTTCCTCAGTACCAACTTTGCTTTAGTTTAATTTCTGTTTTTATGATAAAATATTCTAGCAACAAGAAACTGAAAGGAGAAATGGTTTATTTTAGCTCACAATTCCAGGTTACAGTCCATCACTGTAGGAAAGTTAAGGCAGGAACTTGAAGCAACTCTTGGGCACATCATATGTGGGAATGCCGGCAGAAACCTGGAGCAGCTGGTCACATCACAGTCAAGTGCAGAAAGGAATGAATTCGTGCTGCTTAGTAACTTGAGTTCAGCTCAGTTTATTCACTCATCCAGTTCTGGGCTCCCTTCCTAGGGAATGGTGTCACCTACCATGGGCTGGATCTTCCCACGTTAACTTAAAACAGTCCCTTACAGACATGCCCACAGGACAACCTAATGGAGATAATCCCTCATCAGCCTTTTCTTTTTTTTTTTCTTTCTTTTTTTTTGGTTTTTCAAGACAGGGTTTCTTTGTGTAGCTTTGCGCCTTTCCTGGAACTCACTTGGTAGCCCAGGCTGGCCTTGAACTCACAGAGATCCGCCTGGCTCTGCCTCCCGAGTGCTGGGATTAAAGGCATGCGCCACCACCGCCCGGCCTCATCAGCCTTTTCTGGGGTGAGTCTAGGTTTTTTCAAGTTGGCAAACAAAGCTAACTGTCATATCTACTTAGTAACACCGTGTTTCAAAGCCGACAACAAAAAAGAGTCACTTGTGCCAACATTTCAAAAAGTAACTAAGGCCTAGAGCAGTGGCTATCAACCACTTTGAAACAGTTCCCCATGTTTCGTGACCCCTCAACCATAAAACTTCTTTTTGACTACTTTGTAACTGTAATTTTGCTACTGTTATGAATTGTAATGTCGATATCTGTGTTTTCTGATGGTCTTAGGTGACCCCTGTGAAAAGGATCATTAGACCCCAAAGGGGTCATGACCCACATGTTGAGAACCATTGGCCTAGAGGTTATAGAGAAATGGTTCTTATGGATGGTTACCTAACCCTAATGCCTTCCAACTTTGGCTCCTACTTGTATTCTGTTTGTGACATTTGTTTCAGACACAGGCACACTTCAGACATTCGATGTGTACAAATATGTGTTGGAGAATTCCCTTACTGGTAAGAAGTTATGCTGATAATCAACCAGGGGTATGTGTCAGGATGCTATCCTTCATGTGATACAGACCTTAGGGCTATGAGAGTTACTACTGACAGTAGGGAATGATAGGGCACTTTCATACTCTGTATTATAAAGACACACTTGTACTCAATATTGGAGAAAAGAATCTGCACATGCGTATATTGCTAGCTTAGCATATCTACACTGCTATGGTTTGTTCCAAGTTAACCACCCTTCACAGCCAGGTGCTCCTGGAGAACACTGTTAAATAGCAACAGAAACCAACTTGACTTTCCAGAAGTGTATAAGCCCAAACATCTACAGAATGAGGGAAAAAATACAAAGAATGATAGCAAGAGATGCACAAACGTCCATCACGAGTCTCAGAAATGTCACTGACCTCCTGACCAGGGGGACAAGACTGAGTCTGATTGGCTGACTGCCTCTGTCCCTCCTCTTCTCAGATTGCTTGCTCTCTGAATAAAGTACAGTTTTATAGCTTAAGTCCTGTTTTTCATTGACTTCTCTGACAGGCAACACAAACCAACTTCCATTTCCACTAGGAAGTGGTGAATTACGGAAGGTTAAGCCTAGCTGGAGGAAGTGGATAGATGAGGTTATGCCTTTGAAGGGTATATTTTGTCCCTGGACCATTCCAGTTACTCCCAGCTACCTATTGGCCTTGATATGAATAGTTTCTACCATATGCTCCCACCACCATGATACTCTGCCTCACCTCAAGCCCCAATATACTAGCCAGTCCTGGACTGGAACCATGAGCCAAGAAACCTTCCTTCCTGTTAAGACATTTTTCTCAATCATTTGTCATAGCCACAGACAGTCAATCAGTTTCTTTTCTACTAGAGATGAGGTCAGCCTGGCTGTGTCTGCCCATCTGACTGTCTGCCTTGACACAAATAGCTTCAATGGCCTGATGCCAGGGATGGACAACAAAGAGTTTGTCCCTCTACATCTCTTGAGAGACCCAAGAAAGTACAGCAAGGTCTGAAAGGCTGTAAAACTTCCCACAAAACATCTGTCCTGTTAACTTTGGCTGTCAACTTTACACATCCCTGAGTTCACCCAAGAAGGAAGTCTGAACTAAGAGATCACCCATACCATATTGGCCTGGGCGTATGACTGCAGGGGAATGATTTCATTGCCCTGTCTACTGTGGGCAGCACTATTCCCTGGGCAAGTGGCTCTTCACTATATAAGAAAGCTAGCTAAGCATAAGCCAATGAGCAAGCCAGCAAGCAGCATTCCTCCATGGTTTCTACTTCAAGTTCTTGCTAGGCTTCCTGCCCTGATTTCCCTCAGTGATGGACTCTGAAATGGGAGTGAAAGCTGAAATATGCCCTACTCCACCCCACCCCAACCCGAGTTGCTGTTGGTAAGTGTTTTATTCAACAGAAAGGAAACCAGAACTGCGTCTTTGGTATATCTATGGTATGGCCTTTGACCAGGAGACAGACTTTTCTCTCTCGGGAACCTGAGACCTTGGCAGAATAAGATAAAGAAGGAGAGCCGGGCGGTGGTGGCGCACGCCTTTAATCCCAGCACTCGGGAGGCAGAGCCAGGCGGATCTCTGTGAGTTCGAGGCCAGCCTGGGCTACCAAGTGAGTTCCAGGAGAGGCGCAAAGCTACACAGAGAAACCCTGTCTCAAAACCCCCCCCCAAAAAAAAAGATAAAGAAGGAAGAAATGATTGGAATTTGTTTATAGTAATCTGGGGTGAGATGGTAAAGCAATTATTATACCAGAGATCTTACAAAGATGCTTGTGATCACTGGTCTCATCATAGTTTTTAAAGATTTCAATTACTTGAGCTCCCCCAAATCCTTCCAATAAATTACCCTGCAAAAAGAGGTTTCTGTGGCTTACAATCAACTAATAAAGTTCTAGATACAAAACATCCCACTGCAATCAGGGTAGCAGTAGACACAGCACTTAGTGCCTTCTACCTGATGGAGTTGATGTGATTTGACACATGCTAAGGGACATGGCTCGTGTTCACAGATGGGGTCTACTAATTTGTATGGGAATGCCCATTCATTCCTATGGAGTAGAAAATTAATAAAAACCATAACCATGCAGGACTAAAAAGCCCTCAGATTTACCAGTGTCATCAAGGGATGTCTTTTGGAAGGAGGAAGGCAGGGCTGTAGCCTAGCGGGTGGAAACTGTAAGCAAGAGCTAAGGCTTTGGCCATCAGTTGGGCCATGAGCACACCCAACTGTCTGAAGAATTTCATGTTTTCTTGCCTATTAGCACTAAGTGTAGTTGACCCTGTCCAGTAGGCATAGGTAACTCCTAAGCAATGTTGAACCCATCCCTCATACTCTGTTGGTGGCCAGGGGCAGACCTGTCCAAGGCTGAGGACTCTGGAGTCAGTGGGTTTCTGAGGATGAAAGCTCAAAGGTCTATAATTCTAGGAGAGAAAGCCAAAGGAACAGCAATTGTATGGAATAAAACAGATGCAGCAACCTTCCTGACAACAACTGAGTCCCAGAGGTATGCAAACCCAAGCAGGCCAGACGCAGTGTAGGAGGGAGCCCTGCAGAGTGACAGCCACAGCCATTTGACATTCACAGCTTACTTTTACAGGACAGACCATCTTCTGTGCCGTACAGACTCTGGGACATGAAAAGTGAAGGTGAATGAGGTCGTCAAAGAGAAAACAGTGTTGAGTCTCCAGCAACACAGAGCTGTGCTAAAGAAGCCATGGAACCATGGCTGGGCAGACAGTTTAGACAAATCCAGCCAGGTGCAGATTCTGACACCAATCAGATCTGTGGAATCAGGAAGACTGATAACCATTCTGGGGCTCAGTCTCATTTTCTGAGAAACAGGATTAACAGCATCTCCCCTACCTAGCCAAAGGATTATTAAGATCAGAAAGATCAGAAAGGTGCCTGAAATCAGGAAACTCGAATCTCTGACTGAAATCTAGGCAAATGAGCAGGATCCTCTCTGCTGAATCAAAACCTAAAGCTTCCTAATTCCTTCCCACCTGATCTGAGTCTACAGCAGTATTTTCTTCTTAGAAATGAACACTTTTGGTAGAACTCTCGGGAAATCAACTGAAGAGGCCAGCATACTTTTGCATGAACTGTTTTTAATCTGGCAAGTAAACTCATGTGCTGACTCCCTGTGGCCTCTCTGTGCCTCTAAAGGAAAGTGTTGGTGACTTGGATGGTGTGGCTTTTCTAATGGCTGTTGCTAAGGGAGTCCATCCATGCGAGCAGCATGGCCAGCTCCACAGCTCACATATCTGTGCACGTTCAGGGGCATGGCCGCTGTGAACCCCGGTCTCTTGGGAAGCTATTTGGGTTTGGCCTTAGATTTAGTCCGGGTTCCAGACTTAGAAGAACCATCCTTGGGCTGTGCTTCTAAAAAAGACAAAAACAATTAGACTATTATTAGTGACTGGTGTCTTATATGTACTAAAGGCTTTTAACTTTAAAAAACTGTTTTTAAATTCTATTTGGCCTGAGTAAGTCCAATCCAATTAATAACCCTAAATTGGTTATTGAGATTCAGAATGTTTCCCAGCATTTATGTGTGGCCAGTTAATTATTTGATTTCCTGGTCCTAGGATAAAGGATTATGCAGGCAAGTAGCAAAGAAGAGAATATTCAAACAGAGTGAGTCTTCAGCATCCTCACTTGTTCATTCCTGCGTCCCTCTGCCGTCCCCTGCATCCCTCTACCGTCCCCTGCATCCCTCTACCGTCCCCTGCATCCCTCTGCCATTTCCTGGATCCCTCTGCCGTCCCCCACCCTTTCTCTCCAGCCTCCTGAACACACACACTCCATGAGATGCACCCTTGGGATCCAGACAAGAGGCCTCTGCTCTATCTAGCAAGGGCTTTAAAAGGTGACTAAATGTGAAGGAAAGCTGACAGAATCAGAAGGATTCAGCTGAGGAGGCTGGGTCTCATCCCCACCTCACATTAGCCACCTTTGTTTGCAGGCTGTAGTGTGTGTTTGTGGGGGGAGGGGTGTATTGGGGGGTCATATGTGTTATGGAGTATATGTAGAAGTGAGAAGACAGCATTGTAGAGTCTGTTCTCTCTCTCTACCTTAGGTTCTAGGGACTGAAACTGGGTCATCAGTCTTGTGCCTAAGTGTTTGTAGACACTGAGCCATCTTGCCAGCCATAGTTATTTATTTTTACGATGGTGTCTTGCTTTTGCCCAGACTGGTGTCAAATTCATGCTATCAAAGCAGTGCTCTAGCCTCAGCCTCCTGAGTATCTGGGACACAGGGACACACCACAATGAAATCACTAGATAGAAGTAAAGGCAAGCTTTAAAGGAATTGCTATATGTACTACCAAATTTTACATATGTTTCCCCACAAGTGTATTTATAAAACTCTATTGCTACTTCTTTGTGTGTGTGTGTGGTGTATGCATGTATGTGCAGTGTATGTGTATGTGTGGGGCGCATGCATGTGTGAGTGGCATATACATGTTTGTGTGGTACATGCACGGGGGAGGAGTCACCCATACATGTGTGGAGACCAGAGGCTGATATCAGATGTCATCCCCTGTCACTCTCCATTTATTTTTTAAACTTTATTATTTTGTGTGTATGTTGTGTGCACATGGTGAGATGCACACACATGTGTGTGTGTGTTGTGTGCAAACACATGTATTGTATGTATGTGTAGCTTCCCCACAGTAAATAAATAAATGTAAAATACTCATGCTCTTTTAAAATTTTGTGGTGCAATCATGTTTTCTTGATAAAAATGTGAAAGTAGGTCTCACCTTTCTTTGAGTGTTTAGGGGATTTTTTCCCGTGTCTGTGTTCCTCTCCTTCTTGGCTCCCTTCCTTTTGTTCAGATTCTTCTTCCTCTTCCTCCTCCTCTTCCTCCTCCTTGGGGCTTTCTATTCTTACACGTGAATCTTTCCTGATTTTCTTGGCCATTTCTTCTAATTCCTTCTCCAGATCTCTGTTTCTTATGAGGGTGTGATGAAGTTTCTCGTTTACATCATCAAACTTCTCCTCCGCCTCTCTGGCTCTGCTGTCAATCTGTCTGATGTGGACGAAGTCCAGGGAAACACAACAGAATGGAGAGGAATGAAAATGTATCCTTCCTTCATACAGAAACTCCTGTGAAAACCACCATGGGAGAAGACGAGCCTGGCTAACGGGTGCCAACATAGGAAGGGGGCTTCGGTGGGCCAAAGAGCTACGGCACGTGACAGACAGCTAAAGTTATGCTGTCACTTAAGAATACAATGTAGACCTCATTTCTTAATGAGACCTGACTTGGTATATGTGAATTCCCCATCAATAGCCAGAGAATCCTCATCAGTAGTTCATTTTAGATTCACATAATCAATAGAACTCAACAAAACCCATGATGTCCCTTCTTTTCTAACACTCCAAAGGCAGAATTTACCATCCAGAAAGCCAGTTTGGATATGATTTTATATTGTGAGAGGATATGTCAGGACTGGTGAGAGGACCGGGTGAGTAAAAGTACTGCCGAGCCTGACGACTGGAGTTCAATCCCCTGAACCCACATGACAGAGGGAAAGAACGGACTTCTAGAAGCTGTCCTTTGACCTCCACATGCAACACAGTCACACAGACACAAACCCACATACACACACACAAACACATACACTCACACATACACACACACACACATACATGCACATAAAGTAAATAAATGTAACAAAACATTAAATGTCGGATATATATATATATATGACATATATGTATGACATATATGTATGACAGATTCCTCTCAGTGTCATCAGACATCTTAACTGTGTTATCCTTTCAACTCTGGGTTGGGTAACATTCTTTCTTAAGCACAGCACTTTCTCCCGGTTCCATTCTTTTCCTTAAGTCATCTCCCAAAAATACACTCATTGACTTGGATCATCCCATCCCTTTCCTGACAAATGTACACACTGCAAAGATCCACACCAGCTCCCATCTCCACTGTGGGTCGAGGAAGGACTTTCTTAGCACAACAGTGTAGCTCACTGCCTCTAGCCCAAGATTTTCAGTTGTTCCTCCCGCTAGTGAGACCAGAACCAGCCAGACAAAGGTAAGCTAACAGTATGGATTGCTCAGCCAAGCTTCTGGCCCACAATCTTTATCCTCTTACCATCATGATACTTCATACTCACACAAGCTTCTCCTGCATGTGTTCAATGACAGCCATTACTTCAAGATACTTTGGCTCCAATACACCTTTGTAAGCTGGTTCCCTCTGACAAAGAAAATATGTGAGGTGACTGAACCGAGAGTCCCAACAGTTACTGGTCTGTCTTCAGGAACTGTCTAGAATATTCTTTTCTATTGCTCATGTTTATCTAGTAGATGATTACTCACAAGCCTAACACCAAAAAGGCCAGAGACACTCACTGTCTGTGGCCAAACAGCACAGCAGATTCCAAATTATTCACGCGACATGTAGGTGTGAAAGACATTAGCATAGAAAAGAAAGGTAGGAGAAACAGTAACCAAAGGAAATGTGGAAATGCTTTAAAAGTAAGAAGGGTAAACGTGTTTCTCTAATGAATCAAAGAAAGAAAATAATTCAGTTAGTTATTAATAATTTACTGCTAATAATTTTATTTCATATATATCATTGCAAAATCCCATAAGATTTTTATATTCCTGAGGGAATGTCATAATAGCTTAAAGGTGTAAATCTTGCCAGGCAGAGATGATGTCAGGGGTAGGCTGGAGCGCCTTGTTTGTGTACATGGCCTCCTTCCGGCATTTACAGTCTTCACCAAGTGTATGACAGAGATAAACATGGAGGCACGGCTCTGAAAGGTGCATTTGGACTCTGGCTGCCTGTGCACACACACCCCCACTCCCCCCCCCCCCCCACACACTGTCCCTTTAGGCCAGGCTCTGTCTGAGATCTCCCTTCAGCATTTGGTCTCACCCTTCCCAGCTCTCCTAAGGGCTTTGGCCTGGACTAACCTCCCTGGCCTGGAAGTGCCTCCGATAAGGTGTGGATCCAGGCCAGCCTCCTACAGCTACAGTTTTCAGGACCAAACTCCCTGCCCAACATTGTGTGAGCACTGTCTGCTTAGGACATACTTTTCTGGAGTCGTGTACTTTGAGGGCCCTTTCCTATCATTGTTATAAAATCGACAAATTGGTCGCTGCTCTTTTTGTTTTGGTTTGGTTTTTTGTTTGTTTGTTTTTGTTTGTTTTTCCAAGACAGGGTTTCTCTGTGTAGCCTTGTCTGTCCTGGAACTCCTCTGTAGACCAGGCTGACCTTGAACTCACAGAGATCTGCCTACCTCTGTGTCCCAAGTGCAGGGATTAAAGGCATGTGCCGCCACTACCACCCAGCAAGTCACTGCTCTTACTGTCTATTCCTGGGGTATATAGTATTGTGGTAGGAAAATCAAGACCAGTCCTTTAGCCCAAATGACAGGCAAGGGGAGAATGTCTAATCTTGAGTTGAAAACACTGCTGAGCCCAAGTCTGCCTCCTGTTTGTCTTTCCAAGGATAGTCACATATGATGCAGCAAAACTCGAGACATGCCTATGACTCTATGGACAGTCAGGACCCAAGAATTTAAGAAGACTTTTATGTGGCCTGTTTCTAGCGTGGTGCTTGCTGGCTAGAGTAGCTGGGCTCCAGGCAGCCCTATTCATACAGCTGAGCACCTGAATTAAGCCAGTGTCTGGTACAGCCTGCTGAATTTAAACATTCCGCATCTCCACCAGTTAGGTGGTCTGAAATCTCCCAGAGTTTGAGCTGTGGGTTCTGTGATAAGATCTTGGGGGCCCCCTGGCGGTAGAATCAGAATCCATCCCTGGTGCATGAGGGGGCTTTTTGGAGCCCACTGCCTATGATGGGACACCTCTTGCAGCCTTGAGGCATGGGGAAGGGCTTGGACTTGCCTCTACTGGATGTGCCTTTCCATGGGAGGCTTTGCCTTCTTGTGGGGGAGTAGAGGGTGGGTTGGGGAGGAGGCTGGGGGGGGGTGTGGTGGGAGGAGGGAAGAGGGAGATCTTTGATTGGTGTGTAAAATGAATGAAAAAATTTTCTTAATAAAAAATATTGTCACAGATTATTCATGAATGAATAAATATATGTAAATTTTTTAAAAGATCTTGGAATGATTGTGACCCAGTGAAGGCCCCCAAACGCTGCTATGCTAAAAGCTCTCAGGATTAATGAAATTGAGCCTTCCCTGGAGGTAAGAGTAACCTTTCCCAGGGAGGAGAGGCAAGGCTTAATGGGTCTGAAATGTCCCCAAAGGCCATACGCTAAAGGCCTGGTTCCCAGCTGGTGGCAGTATAGGACGTGATGGAGACTTTAGAGGCTATGGTCACTGGTACCTACCCTACCTTGAAGGGTATAGTTAGCACCTTTTTTCTCTCCCTCGTCCTCCTTTTCTTTCCTCTCTCCCCCCTTCTCTCTTCCTTCTCTCCTCTTCCTATCCCCTTCCTATCCTTCTCTTGCTCTCCCATCTCCTTCCACTGGGGAGGCAGCGCTGCTCCAGGCATGCTCCCTGCTAAACTGGCTCACTCCCTGCCGTACTGCACACTGGACCGAGTGACAGCGGACTGAGACCAGGAGCAAGACAATCCTCTGAGCTGGCCTTCTCGGGCACTGTGTCACGGGATACAAAGCTGACTAACACAGGCTGCATCCCAGAGCAGTAAGTCCCGTCCTATCAATGATCCTCAGTGAGTCCAGCCCATCAATGGGCCTCAGTTTTGTCCCCAAACTGCAGGCTTCCAGCTCCCCTCTGCTTTCTGCCTGTCTCCAAAGCTGGATCCGAACACCTCCTCTGGACAGAACAGCAGGGTTTTGACTTCAGGGAAACGAGTTCAAGGCAGAACAGCTTTGCCTGGGACTAGTGGTTTTGTATTTTCTTTTTAAAGAACTTGTCTTAAGACTCGGTGTCCCATTGGTACTGTTACTTCCTAAATCTGCCTCAGAGTGGTGGTGACAGATACGGAGCATTATTTCAAAAGCGTCTTACAGGACTGCACTTGGGGAATGTGCTTATAATCCCCCATGTACTCTCCTCACCCCAGCTGTGCCCTACATGACTTCTCTGAGTTCTTTCTGCTGTTGGTGGGTTTTATTATCTACAAGGTCCTTGTATAAACTCACTGCCAATCCCCTCTCCTCTAGGCCTGACCTCCACCTACATGCTGTCTGCCACCCTCCACTGTGGGGCTCCTCGGTCCTGTGCTCAGCCACCTCGGCTAATGACTCACACCTCCTGACAACTGCAAGACTCCTGATTCTTTTGGTTGAGCAATTTGGTGACATATATTGATCCCCTCCCCCAACCCAGAAAATACACACATAAAGTGTAGCACCAAATTTCGGGAGACTGGTGGAATGAAGTCCACCAGAGACTCCTACAGAGAGACAGAAGCCCAGTAGAGCTGACCTAAGTCTGCCACGGTCCCAGAATGAGCTTTCTATGGAGACATAGAGAATGAGTTGGGTTTTTGTTTTTGTAAAGTCAAGATGGAAAAACAAATAAGAGTCTTCTAAAGTTAGTGCTATAAGAAGAAAAAAACTGCAAAATGCATTACCCAGGAGTCACCTGAGAGGAACTAAAAGTTAGACCCATGTTGTTTTCAAAGAACGTTAAGGGATAGCTTTTGGACTTCCTCGTTGGGTTTTAGTTACATACCCAGGATGAAAATATATCTTCTTCAAACAGAGGTTTGGAATGAATGTTTTCATCTTTCCCGATGTATCGAATGGTTTGTTTGTTGTCTGTAGATGTTGAAGGTTCCTAGAGTCCAGAAAAACCAAGGACTTGTTAGCCCGCTGACACGCATCACACAGCAGGGCAAGTCACCCAGAGCCCCGTCTACAGCCTTAGCTTTCCACTGGTCTCCATTCAGCAGACAATGTTGGAAGGCCTGCTCTGACCAGGCAAGGTGGAGACGAGGGTGTGGGAACAGGAGGAGCTGGTTATGATCAAAACAAAGAGGTTCAGGCCAGCACTCGAGAATGGTCATGGCTAGTCTTGGTTGTCAACTTGACTAAATCTGGAATCAACTAATATCCAAACAGTTGGGGACATCTGTGATGGGTTTTTCTTGATTAAATCATTTGAAGCAGGAAGACCCAGGTTGTTTTTTTTATTTACTTTTTAACATTTATTCTTTGTGTCTTTCACATCATGCATCTCCATCACATTCATTTCCCTGTCCCTGTGTATCTGCCCTCTGCCCTTGAACCCCCACCCCCAAAATAGAATTAAATTTAAGAGGAAAAAAGATAAAAAAAAAAAAAAGGGAAAGGAAAAATCTCATCATGGAAGCTGTACTGTGACACAGTGAGTCACACAGTAAACCCTTTTATCCATATATCTTTACTTGCAAGTGTTCATTGCAAAGAGTCATTGGTCTGGTTCAAGGCCTCTGGTTTCCACTACACTATTAGTGCTGGACCCTCACTGGGACTCCTCTTGAGCATCCTGTTGCTGCTCTGTGTGGAGACCCTGCAGCTTTAGGTCCTGCAGCTTTAGATCTGCAGTCCTTTTCCGTGCTCCTGCAGATTATGGATGTGTGGATGTTTGGAGTGGGCCAGCTCATAACCCTGGATCTGCACCTGGGTAGTTGCAGGGTTGGTCAGCCCACCAGCTCTCCCTTGTCCTCACCACCAGGGTGAGCTCTCCTGCATTGCCCTGGCTAGCTCACCCTTGCAGTGAGGAGCAATTGGCAGGCCAGTTCTCCTGCTCTCCTGCCCTCAGGTTTCGCTCTCCCACACCTGGACCATCAGGGCCAGCTCTACTGTGATGACCAGGCAAGGTGCAGGGGCCATCTTCAAGTGCTGCAGCTGGTGAGGGGCAGGGACAGCTCTCCTGCTCCTATGACTTCACAGCCATCTCTCCCACCCACCACAGGAGGCGAGGGTTTTGGGGGGGGGGGGGACTCTTCCCCACCCACCCCACCATATGGCAGATGAGGGGTGGGGCCGGATCTCCTGCATTCACGTTCTCGGGGTGGTTCACCTGTATCCCTGCCAATAGGGTCAGCTCTGCTGCTCTGCCCAGGTGAGGTGCAGGACCCACTTTCCCAAGTGCTGCAGCTGGTAAGGGGGATGGTTGGCTTCCTTGTCTGTCAGAGGCAGCAGGGAACAAGGGTTAAGGAGAGACATCTCTCCTCTGCCCACACCGCCACATGACAGATGAGTAGTGGGGACAGCTCTCCCACACTCACAACTTTGGGACTGGCTCACCCACACCTCTACCAACAGGGCTGGCTATACTGTGCTGCCTAGGCGAGGTGCAGGGCCTGCTCCCCTGAGTGCTGCAGCTGGTGGGGGGCAGGGGCAGCTCTCTCGCCACCTTGGGCATGGGTGGGGAGGGGAATCTATTGCCCCCCCTCACCCCCACCCATGCAGGGCCAGATGTCTCATGCTCATGTTCTGGGACAGTTCACCTGCACCACCACCAACAACAACAACAACAACAACCCCCACAACACAGACAAGGTCAACTCTGCTGTGCTGCTCAGACAAGATGCAGGGCCCACTTTCCCGAGTGTTGCAGCTGGTAAAGGGAGGGTCAGCTCACTTGCCAGCTGGAGGCAGTAGGAGAGCAGGGAGGGCATCTTTCCCTAGCTCCCGTCACCACAGGGCAGATGAGGGAGGCAGCACCACTGTGCCCCTCTCACGCCCTCAGGGCAGGCTCACCCACACCCCTGTCTACAGGGTCAACTCTACTGGGCTGCCCAGGCCAGGCACAGGGTCTGTTCTCCTGAGTAGTGCAGCTGGTGAGGGGTTGGGTCAGGTCCCCCACCTGCTGCAGCTGGTGAGGGGCGAGGGGAGGAGGGCATCTTTCCCTCACCCATGCCACTATATGGCATACCAGAGAGACTAAGACCTGCTCTCCTATTCTCATGCCCTCAGGGCCAGCTCACCCATTCCCCTGCAAACAGGAAGACCCAGTTTTTATTCAGATCTTTTTAGTGGAAAGATCCACACCTCTAATCTGTCCACACCTTCTGCTGGCAGCCTATGTAAGGACATGGAAGAAGGAAGCTTCTCTCTTTGTCTGCTCTTGCTGGCAAGTCCATTCCTTCACCAGCATTAGAGCCTCCTTCTTCAGTGAATACTGAAGACCAGCTGAGACATGACTGAACAACTACTGGACTCCTGGATCTTCCACTGGTAGACAGCCATTGCTGGACTACAGCCTATAAGCCATTCTAATAACTATACACACACACACACACACACACACACACACACACACACACATGAACATACACATAAAGTGTAGCACCAAACTTCAGGAGGCTGATGGAATGAAGCCTACCATAGACTCCTAAAGTAACGGTGTTCTGCAGAGAGACAGAAACCAATCAAGAGCTGACTTAAGTCTATCATGATCCCAGAATGAACTTTCTGTGAAGACATAGAAAAGAGAACGAGAAGGATTTTCTATAAAGTCAAGATGGAAAAATAATCCTAACCCCTAACCATATAGAGAGAATGAATATATATTATACACACACACACACACACACACACACACACACACACACACACACACACATATATATATATATATATATATATTCATTTTATAAGTTCTGTCCCTCTAGAAAACCGTGACTGATACAGAAACTCAGCACAGAAGGAAAGGCAGATAAGAAGATGATCAGTCATGGCATATGATGGCTGTTAGCATAAAGGTGTATTCTAAGGGCTGTATGTACACACAAGGGGGCCCTGCTCACAGAAAAAAATTATATTTGAAGACTGAACAGGTACTAGGAATCGGTAAGGGTTCTTCTGCCACAACTGTCTAGGTTTCAGTGCTGATTCTGCCATTTGAAACTATGGTTTTAGGTGAATTTGTCAACCTTTCAGAGCTTAAGTTTCCTGTCTATAAAATGAGGCAATATATACCTAAGATGTCATCCTGGACAACATGCACAGCATAGAACTCATGATCTACACTCAGTTCCTGGTAGCTGTCATTGTATTATCACCACTATAAACGTTCAGGTGGGTTTTTACTGCTGCAGATCTTCCAGCAGGAGTAGAGAGAGTCGGAGTAATGAGAAAGTTAGAGACAGGAGGCAGGAAAGGGCGGCAGAGGAGCTAAAGCAGAGGCCAAGGGAAGACTGGACTTCTTCCGGGAGATCTAGCCATGAAGGGAGAATGGAGCAGCAGCAGGGAGTGAGGAGGACCGTGTTGTGTTGGGGGGTGAGTGAGGAGGACCGTGTTGTGTTGGGGGGGTGAGTGAGGAGGACCGTGTTGTGTTGGGGGGGTGAGTGAGGAGGACCATGCTGTGTTGGGGGGTGAGTGAGGAGGACCGTGTTGTATTGGTGGTGGTGAATGAACGAAGCTAATGGGAAAATGTGGATTTAGGGAAAGAGAAAGTCACAAGATCAGTATCCCGTATGTGTGGCTACATCTGGATGGGGAAAGAGAGAGGTTGAGCGGTCACTCCATGACACCTGCTTCCAGCTTCTATGGCTCTTATCATCTTAGTCTTTGGAAAGATAAAGGGAAGGGATAAACCAGTGCTAAATAATCGCACATCATTTTTGCTTGTCTTCTTGGTGTTTTGTTTGTTTTGAGACAGGGTCTCACTGTGCTGCCTTGAATTCCCGGGCTCAAGCGATCTCCTGTGTCAGCCTCCCAGGTAGCTGGCTCCCATCACTATGCCCAGCAAACATTCTTACCTCTTCCTCCACTTCTGCCTCTTCCTTCACTTCTGCCTCTTCCTTCACTTCTGCCTCTTCCTTCACTTCTGCCTCTTCCTTCACTTCTGCCTCTTCCTTCACTTCTGCCTCTTCCTTCACTTCTGCCTCTTCCTTCACTTCTACTTCTTCCTTCACTTTTACTTCTTCCTTTTCTTGAATTTCATCCTCCTTCATCTCAATTTCGTCTTCATCATCACCAATAAAAGGTTTTTCTGGGTCAAAATAAATTTTCGTAGCTTCCTATACAATGTAACAGTATTATAGCTGTAATTCATGTGTATAAATATTAGCAATTCCATAGAAAGTGAGCACTAATTCCACAACCAGGTATTCTAGTATCGATAAGAACACAAATGGGTGGAGGAGGTAAAGAGACTGCCCAGTGGTTAGCGACACACACTACGCCTGGCACCATATCAGGCAGCTCATCACCACCAGGGACGACAGCTCCAGGGAGCTATGATGGCCTCTTCAGGTACCTGCACTCATGTGCACAAACCTACACATACTTAAAATAAAATAAAAGAGAGCACACATGGCAGGAACAGTGCTTCCTGTGCTTGCAGAGTTTGCCATTTTTCAGACAGCACAACTGTCTGGATGGGGTGTGAAGCAGGGACGGCCGACCCACAGCGTGACGACGATGACGACGATGACGACGATGGGGTGGCAGAGGGCCGGTCAAGGGGAGGCCGTGATGGTAGGGTACTTCCTCTCGTAGTATGAGAAGGAGAAGGAGAGGCCGGGTGGTGGTGGCGCACGCCTTTAATCCCAGCACTCGGGAGGCAGAGGCAGGCGGATCTCTGTGAGTTCGAGGCCAGCCTGGGCTACCAAGTGAGTCCCAGGAAAGGCGCAAAGCTACACAGAGAAACCCTGTCTCGAAAAACCAAAAATAAAATAAAATAAATAAAAAAAAGAAAGAAAAGGGGAAGGAGGAAGGTAGAGGATGCTGGCAGAAGCAGTGTGCACATTAGCTCCAAAGAGAAGTGGTTCCCATAAGACAGAACCTTGGAGGCAAATGGACCAACGAGGCACAACTGTAACCCAGGACGGAACTGGCATGTCAGGAGACTGGATTGTATCAGAAAGGCGACAAAACATCCAAAGGATGGAAAAAAATGATTAAACTGATTTTCATTTTAAAACAATCATTCTCACAATAAGAAAATAGATCAGAAAGAAAGGAAGAAAGAAAACTCCAAGGAGAGAGTGAATACGATGTTTGTAGCAGTCAAGAGAACGGTGATCCAGGAGATACTGAAGAAGTGGTTCTTACCGACCAATAGTTAGGAAAGAAATGACTAGGGGAAAGGTGCATCTTAACTGACACATGGTTGATGGCTTGGGATGCCATTCACAGAAATAACGAGCAAGGCTGAGGAAGCAGGTTTGGAGAACGAAATGGGTTCTGGTTGGGCTGTGTGCATTCAAGGCACTAGTGAGCTAGCTAAGTGAAAATGTATGGATCTGGAGTCTAAAGAGTCCAATTTGGCTAAATAGTTAATAGTTATATGCACTTAGTTAAAGCAAAGAAAACCATATTTCCACATAAACTTGTGGACTGGTGGAAGAACTTAAGAGAGAAACTAGTTACATAAAACTGTAGAGAAGAAAAGGATCCCAAAAGTAGCCCGAGAAGTCTAAGAGGGCCACCCTGAGAGCCCCAAGAGAAAAGGGTTAACAAGTGTCCAGCCCTTAAAGGGGCCTATTCAACTACTGACAAAAACATATGTGTGTGAAGGACACGTCAGAGTGAGGGTGCAGATGCCCAAGACAAAAAGGAGATCTTTAAAAGTAGGCAAAGTAAAAGACGGGTTATCTTCAAAGGAACTGACGGTTGAATTTTCCATCATGAGCTTTGTAACCATCATACTGAGGAAAAAGAATACCATTGCTGCCGGGCGGTGGTGGCGCACGCCTTTAATCCCAGCACTCGGGAGGCAGAGCCAGGTGGATCTCTGTGAGTTCGAGGCCAGCCTGGTCTCCAAAGCGAGTACCAGGAAAGGCGCAAAGCTACACAGAGAAAAAAAAAAAAAAAAAAAAGAATACCATTGCTAATTGCACGCACAGAAACAAAAATTGAAGAATGAACTAAGATATTTCAGACAAGCAAAAACTTGGTTTGCTACCAGTACATAGACCCTCAGTTAAAAAAAAAAAAAAAAGAATTCTAAAGGGTAAAGCAGAAGAAAAAATGTCTCCATACAGAAGGGCTGAAATTTCTGAAGGAGCAATAAAGACATTCAATAGTAGGTCAATCTATTGTTTTTAATTTTTCCTGGTGTTGTTTCCTTTTTCATACACATTTCCATCTTTCTTTTTTTTTTTTAGTTTTTGAGACTGCATCTCATTATACAGTTCTGACTGGCTTAGAACTAACTCACTGTGTAGAACTTAGAACTATCCGCCTGCCTCCTGAGTGCTGGGATTAAAAGCAGGCAGCACCAGACCAGGCCTCCAGCAGAGTTCTTAAGGCAGATCATTCAAGCATTCCTGCTAAAGTCAGAAACAAGAAAACGGCTGGAGAGAAAGCTCAGGGGTTCAGAACTCTTGCTGTCCTAGAGCCCCCAAATTCAGTTCCCAGCACCCACAGCACCCAGTTCAGGCAGCTCACAATGCCTGTAACTCCAGCTCCAGAGGCTCCATCGCCCTCTTCCGGCCTTCAAAGCTACATGCATGAATACACACACACACACACACACACACACACACACACACACACACACACACACACAGCTTCAATAAAGAAAAAAAGGCTGCTTGCTATCTCCATTATTTAACACTGAATAGGAAAATTTCAATACAATTTAACAATTAAGAAGCCTTTAGAAGTTATCAAAACTGATATGTGAGCATAAAACTTTTTTTGTAGATGACATTATTAAATATCTAGATAACTCAAAAGAACCAACTGAAAAAAGTGATAAATTGAGTAGATTCACACAGTATATAAAACTAAAATGTAAATGTTTATAATATATAAAATAGCAAAATAAAACATTCATATTCACATAAACTTAACAAGAAATAAGCAAGATGAGAAAATTATCTTACATTTACAAGCATAAAAGTACACATTACATCCCAAGTTCCTGGAAAGCACAATTCAACATTATAAAGTTGTCTTTCTGAGTTAATATATAAATTTAACATTATCCTAGTTTTTTAAAAAATCATTTTTTCTAGAGCTAGATTATAGAGTTATATAAATAATAAGTAAGAAAAGCTGAACAAATTTTTTAAAAAATCAGTGAGGAAGGCTTGGTCCTATTTGATACTAAACATAAGTAATAAAATGTTGTGGTGTAGGGTTGGAGAGATGGCTCAGAAGGTAAGAGCAAACACCATTGCTCTTTCAGAGAACCAGGATCAGTTTGCAGCACCCGTGCTGGGCAGCTCATAACTGCCTGTAACTCCAGCTCTAGGGGATCCAATGCCCTCTTCTGGCCTCTGCTGGCACTGCACTCATACTCACAGCACACACACACACACACACACACACACACACACACACACACACACACACACAATTTTAGAAATGAAATAAATCTTAAAAAGAAAATAAAATGTTGTGGTATAATTCATGAATAGACAGATCAAAGAAAAATAATAGAAAATCCAGAAATGGACTTTGATTTAATATGGCCAAGAATTGGAAATACTATACTGTCAGATATTAACGCAAACACTGAATTAGGGGATTTAAAAACAAAAGACAATTATCAGCAGTTGGTTAAAAAAAGATACAAGGAGAAACAGCACATATATCTCAATAGAAAGACTAATCTTCAGCGCTCCCCTGCTCACCAAAACCACATGGACCATTTCAGAGAGCACCTGTCAGCAGATACTCAAACCTGGGCACAGTGACTGAGTTCGAATGTCCCCTTTAGGATTCATGAGTCAGATTCATGGAAGGTTGAGGGACATTACCTTTTAGGTCCCTTCTGTGCTCATGTCTCTATGATTATGTGCACTTGTTAAAAACTCCATGTGTTTACTGTTTATCTGATAACAGGTCTTTTGTAGTTCAGGCTTGGCCTAGAGCTTGCCATGTAACCAAAGATGACCTTGAACTCCTGATCATCCTTCCTCTTCCTCCCAAGGCTGGGACTACAGGTGTTTGTCACTATACCCAGCTGACTCTGTGTGCTTAAATGTTTCCCCTGATTCAGTTGGTAACCACAGTCATGACAGTGCTACTTCAGCAATTTTCTAAAATTATACTGCAATTTAAGATTTATGATGTCAATGAAATCTTTCAGTGGTTACTTCAGAAATAATTTTGACCAAGATCTGGGCAACACAGAAAAGGTTTTGCTGAAGATGCATTTTTAAGGTGATGCTTCAAATCCTATAAATGTTTATATAAAAATGCCTCCTTCCTTCACAGAACTGGAGACATTAATATGCATGGTATCAGATCATACCTGTGAGGTATGGCTGTCATAGCAACCGGAGCGTCTTCAGAATTTCCTGGAGGTACATGCCCTTCAGTCAGAGACTGGAGGACTATGTGGCTGCCGTTAAACAATCACTATGCACTGAGCTGGAATCATGGGTAAAACTACAGGATTAGCCAGGTACGATGGCTCACACCTATAATCCCAGCATTTAAGAAGCTGATGAAGGAAGATTGTCACAAGTTCAAGGCCAAGGCCAGCCTATCTCAAACAGTTCAAGCCAATCTGTGCTACAAGAGACCCCATCTCAAATACACACAAGAAACTGGATGAATACAATACCATGTAGGGATGTAGAAAGGGTAGTAAGTACATCCTAAGGACAGAGTCTCAACATGTCCCACACAGGCAGAAGTAGACAAGTAAGACAAGGCTGAAGAGACATGAAGAGGATAAAATCCAGGAACTTTTGTCTTGTAAGGAAAGTTTACCGACGGAATGAACAGTTAAGAGCCAGATGCTAAAGGGAAGCCCGTTAAAGGGGGACTGAAGATTCCAGAGCAGGCAATAAAGCCACCAGCGACTCACAGTAGATTTAGAATTTTAACAGAACCCACTGTGGGCCAGGTTGTGTCTCAGGGGTTGCTCAGCATCCCTTAGGCCCTGGGTAAGATCAGCACCACTGAAAAAACATTATGGTGGAAGGAGAAAGAGAAATGAGGCAAAAATCAAAGGACAGATTTTTTAGAATGGAAGAAATGGCCATGTTTCTAAAGTATTTTCATATCGGTAGAGGGAGCTACTGGGAAGATGTTGAAGATGAAAAGGAGAGAGGCTAGCCCACAGATGAACGAACCACTCAGAAGTCACACCCTGGTGACTACAAGGAGGGGGGCACAGAAGCAGCTGGTCTGAGGAAGACTCAGGAATGTCCATCTGAAGACGTAGATTCAAGCCAGGTGTGGCAGTGCACAAGGCAGGTAGATCTGTGAGTTCCAGGCCAGCATGGTCTACAAAATGAGTTCTAGGACAGCCAGAGCTACAGAGTGAGACCCTGTCATGTAAAAACAAAAACAAAATTTAAAAAAAAAAAAGGCTCAACAGCTAAGAGGGCTTGCTGCTCACGCAGAGAACCCAGGTTCAATTCCCAGCGTCCACAGCAGGCAGTGCACATCTGTATGTACCTCCAGCTCCAGGGGATCCAAAGCCCTCTTCCAGCCTCCATAGGTACACACACACACACACACACACACACACACACACACACACACACACACACAGGGCTGGAGGGAGACATAAAAACAAATCTTAATTTATTTTAAAACAAATGTTTTCCTTAGGAGGAAGAAGAGCTAGATCAGAAGCAAATCCTCTTCTAGTGGAGTCTACAATGAACACGCAGAACAGCGATTGCAGAAAGATGCTACAACTTACCCCTGAGATTGAGGAAGAACCTGAATGTGACCTTACTAATGACCGCTCCACGCATCTCCTTACCAGCCGAGTAATACCAGCATGTGGTAAATACCTCTTCCCCAAGCAGCTGCTCTGCTTCCTCGTAGTTCAGTAATCGCATTTTCCTGCCTTTGATATTAGAAAGGAGGTGCGAACATGTGCTGATCCAATCATAACATTCTCTCTGGGAAGAGACACAGCATAATTACTATGCAGGGAAAAAAAAAACTATCCCAACGCACTCATTGACTCCCATTGACCTGCTAAGCACAACTCCTCTAATTAGAGCACCTTTCTTTTCTGTTCAGTTAATTGCCCAGAAGTGTCTTACTACAAATGTAGACCTAAATCACATTATCTCTTTCTGACAGGGTTTGTGATCTAGGTTGTAATAAAATAAAGTGTGATGAGGTACCATAAAACCAGATGCAGAAGGATTCATGGGTTTACTAACACTTAAATGATCTGTCCTAATTAATTTTATGCAATTGACCATGTTAACATGATTGTTTGCTAATAACAATAGTGTTGGGTGAGGGTTACTTCTGGGATTGAAACAATCCATCTTGCAGGGAAACCCCGTAACATAGGAAATAAGCAACTCAAAATAGCTTCAGGAAGTCCCTAAAACTGACCAGATTCACTAGACCCCTCCTTCCCCAAGAGTACATAAGTAGTAAAGACTGTTGAGAGTTAAAAGCCCAGCAGCAGAGACCAAATGAGCTGCCTGAAAAAGGCTCAGACCAACTGAACCACCTGGAAAGGACACTCCCCAGCCTGTTGTCCTGTCTGCAGGCTGTGCACTGTGCCCCAGGTTCCCAGCTTTTGTGAGCTTTTATGCTGAAGTGGGCTTTGGTGATACAGCTGTCTTTGAGTGATTTTTTTGTTCCTGTAAGTAACCTCTCATTTGTATTCCTATAAGTAATCCCAATAAAACTCACTGACTCACCAAATTGGATATTGGTACAATCATTACTTTGCCGTGGGCTCACTATCTGGAGTTAGTAGACTTGTTTGTATTGTGTCTACTTAGGAAAAATCTGTCACACAATAAATAGAAATAGCAAACACATTCATGGTTTTTAGTTCCACACCAAACTCTTCTAAGTATTGTGTGTATATCAGTATCAATCAAATATTCATTGAATCCGTGAGGTCTAGGTTCAACAAGAGAATCTGCCTTAATATGTAAGTGGAAGAGTGACCAAGAAAGACACCAGATGTCCACTCTGGACTCCACACACACACACACATATGCACATAAACCCACACAAACACCTGTGTCCACACACATAAGAACACATATACAGACATGCATATCACACATCATCTATAACTGTAGTCCCATGGGCCCAATACCCTCTTCTGGTGTGCAGACATATATGCAAATAAAACACTCATATACATAAAATACATAAATAAACGACGGGCTATATCAACTGTTGGTGAGGATGTGAAACAAATGATAGGAGTGTAAAAATGGTTCAATCACTTTAGAAGCATACATATCCTATTCCAAGAGAAGAAAGTAAATGTCTGTTCAAAGATTGGTACATTAAAGTGCATTGATGCTTTGCCTATGATAATCAAAAGTTGGAAACAATTCAGGTGTCCATCAAGAGATAATGGACATATTTTATATTTTATATATATATTATATATATTATATATATATATGATATACATACAGCAAAATACTTATGTTGCTGTTTGGGTAGGACATGTCCCCTTAAGATTCCTGAGCTGACTGTTTGGTCCACACCTGGTGGTGTTATTGAGAGGTATACATGAGGGCACCAACTTCATGGATGGGTTAGTCCATTGATAACTTTGTGAGGAATGGGCTAACAGAAGGTGGGACCTGGTTGGAGAAGTTGGGGTTCTGTCTTTGAAGGTCACATCCTATCTCTAGCCCTTTCTTGTCTGTCTCTTTCTGCTTCCCAGTTGCCATGAGGTGAGCATTGTTGTAAATATTATGTTAAGATATGTTACATTTGTTTACACTGTGGAACATTTGTTTAATGATGCAAAGATGTGTTGCATTTCTTTATGTTGCATTTGCTTAACTCTGTGCCTAATAAAGAGCTGAACTGCCAATAGCAAGAATAGGTGGGGCTGGCAGGCAGAGAGAATAAATGGAGAAAGAGAAAAGAGAAATTGAGGAGTGAGAAAAGAAGGGGCCAGCCACAGAGCTACACAGCCAGTCATGGAGTAAGAAGTAAAGAAAGGTATATAGGATAAAGGTAAAAGCCCAGAGGCAAAAGATAGAAGGGATAATGTGCAATATGTTTTGAATTAATTAGACCTGGAAAATCTGCTAAAAGCAAAACAAAGCAAAACTAAGAGAAAAAAAAATCTTACCCTCATCTTCTCCAGCTCCTGCAGTTCCTTAGCAGGGTTCTTCTGTAAGTGAGCAGCTCGAGTCAGGGCCATTGCCCTTACCATGCCTATGCAGCAGCTGGAGTGGGACAGAGACAGAGATAGGGTCAGTATTATGATCTGGACGAGTGTAACCCCCAAAGGGTCACCTGCTACAGACTTGGTCCCCTCCTCCCGAGATGGCACTAGTGGGAGGTAGTGGAGGCTGCAGGAGGTGAGCCCATTGGAGGTGTGCCCATGGGGTGGACTGTGTTATCCCTGTCTTCCCCTTTTGCTGCCTTGCCTTGAAATGAGGAGGCTGTTCTCTCATAGACTCCTGCCTGGCCTCAGGCCCAAAGCACTGGGGCCAAGAGGTCATGGACTGGGACATTTCAAACTGTAAGCCAAGACAAAACTTTCCTCTTTATAAATTAATTACCTCAGGTATTTCATTATAGTAATGAGATACTTACTGGCTAACATTCCTAGCATGATCTACTCATTACTGATCCTTTAAGTGCTTAAAATCCGGACACTACTAACCATGATAGTTTTCTATAATAATTACAGTACTGCTTCACCGGGACAATAATTTGTCCTTACTAAATGTCTCACCCTTGTTGCCTTCCTGCCCTCCATTCTTCTCATCTCTGAACATCTGTAAACTTGAATTGAAATAAAGGACAGATTCAGTTTGTCAGTGCGCCAATTGTATGAGCTACTTCCAAAACTAAAAGTAACCACAGGCAGCTCTCAATTTAATTCAGGTTATGATTTTCATGTCTCATCTTTACTTGATTTGAATCTTCAAACTTTGTGAATCTTCTTTCTAATTTTTTTCTTTTTGAAACGGTATCTCAGGTAGCCCAAACCAATCTCAGACTTAACTATGTAGCTAAGGCTGGCCTTGAACTCCTGATCCTCCTGCTTCTGTCTCCTAAATGCTGGGATAAAAGCATGTGCCACCAAATCCATATTTTTTGTTGTCTTTGGTTTTGTTGTTGTTGTTGTTGTTGTTTGGTTTATTTTGTTGTTGTTGTTGTTTGTTTGTTTGTTTTGTTTTTAAGAAAAGGTCTCTCCATGTAGCCCTAGCTGTCCTAGAACTCACTATTAGACAAGAAATCTGCCTGGCTCTGCCTCCTGGGTACTGGGATTAAAGGTGTGAGCCACCACACCCAGCTCAGGTATTTTGCTTTTTTTTGTTTTTACTTTTCAGTTTTATAAAAGATAATTGGTTAGTATTTAGTGAAACACAAAAGTTATATATTCAATTTTTCATGGAATTGGAAGCATCTTGTTTTATTTTGTTTTCTCTCCCCTCCCCCTTCATTCACTCCCTCCTCCTCTCTCTCTCTTTCTCTGTGGTGTGTGTGTGTTTGTGTGTGTGTGTGTGTGTGTATGAGAGAGAGAGAGAGGGAGGCTTGCTAAACTGTTTTGACTAGACTGACTGGCCAGCAGATTCCAGGGATCTGCCTGTCTCTGCCTTTCCCATGCCCAGCACTGGGGACAGACACAATGCTTGTCTTTTATGAGGGTGCTGGTGATAGACCCCAGGTATTCATGCTTACATGACAAACACTTTACCCACGGAGGCATCTTCCAAGCCCCAAGACTACAAGCATCTTAAATGCTTCCCAGTACATATAAAGGTGAAAGACATTTATGCAAGTAAGCCAGTCCTTTTTAAAAACAAATGCTCGGGTGTACGGAACACACTTCCTAGCCCCCCTTTGCCAATACGCTTCCCAAAAGGAACCTGCAGAGCCACCGGGCACCATGTTGAAGCAAGCTGGAAACCTGAACTAAGATTCCTTTCTTTTTCTGAGACAGAACTTCATTACAGAGCCAGCCCAGCCTTGAACTCACAACCCTCCTGCCTCAGTCTAGTATTCCTTTCAAGGTCTTAAACTAACGCCAACTGTTACTTCGCTCCGTGTTCTACCTCCACGCATTAACCTTCAAGTGGACAGCAACACAGGGAACAGCAGGTGTCACCTGTGCAAGTAGCTGGAGTATTGTGCCAACTTCTTGGCCAGTGAAATGGCATTCAACTCTAATTCTGCAATTCCCACTTCGCGTTGCTCCTGGGCCTCTAGTTCTTCCTCCTCCAGCTTTGGGAGAGTCTCTTGGTTAGTATAGTCAGGAAGCATTATGGTCAGCAAGTTGACCATCCACTTGATCATGGCTATATGCAATTCATCCATCTGTTAAAATGATCACAATCCAAACAACCATTTTAAAACAATAAAAACTACATCCCATTTAAATAATAGAAGCAAGGAGGGGGCTCGGGAAGATAACTCAGTCTTTACAGCTTGTAGGCAAGAGAGTTCAAATAAACGCTGGATGGGCATGCCTGCATACCTGTAATCCCAGACCTGGAAGGCGGAGAAAGAATCCCCAGAGCAAGCTGGCTAGCAAGACTAGCCATATAGGTCTGTTCTGAATTTGGGTGAGAGACCTTGCCTCAATGAATAAGGTAGAAGAGCCATTGAGGCCTTCACACACATGCTCACATGCACCTGCACACACATATGCATGAAACACACACAGACACACACACCACTCATGTACACATGGAAAGAAAACCAAAAAAAGAAAAAAGGAATGCTCATACCCACGTCAAACTTTCAGCAACCCATAAATCTTAAAGAAATCAGACAATTACTTAGTTACTGTAATCTTATTGTCTCACTATCTTGTGTTAAACTGATTTTTTGCTTCTTCAGCTTGACTAAGGGTGTTAAGTCACTAAAGTTCAAGTTTCCAAATTGTGCCCAAGTCACTCTAGTGCTCTACAAATAACTCAAAAGGACCCCCACAAGATCTTTAATGGAAGGAAGCAGTGATTAGAATATGTACTATACACAGCATGAACGTGGCAGCCCACAGCTTCCTCATCAGATGCATATATCACTTTTGATGACATTGTATCTTTTTAAAGTTTGCTGTTGATGGTTACATGGAAAGACAGAATGAAATAGAAATATGAATATTGATGTGTAGGAGGCACAGAGGTCCTTGTGTTCACAGAAGCACTGGAGGAACCTAGAATGTTAGCGCATGGGGCTGTTCCCTCAAGGGAAGGAATTCAGTACCTGTCATCCACCCAGAAGGCTGGGAGCAGACATGCATTCTAGCCCGAGGATCTTTGTGCTATCTGAGTGATCAGAGACCACACTGGACCCTTCCCCAGACCCTCATCATGAGCTTGTTTATGTCAGTTCATCTATAGAACCTATCTTTATGGAAGGTGTCACATGTACTTTACAAAGAGTTTTGATATAGTCACATCTGACTTTTATTTAGCTGACTTTGTTCCTCAAAAAGATTTATGTATGCTTTATTGGCACACAGGACTGAGTTAATTATCACCAGAAAAGTTTTCATCAAATTGTGCTGTGCTTAAATATGCCTAAAATAAACCAGTCAGGATCAGACTCCTGACATTTGAACCAACACTGGCTACTTAGTTATATTGAACCCAACTGCCTTGTTGCCTTTCTAAGGGGCACAGCCAAGGCAACACAGTCCTCAAATACCCAGCTCCCTTGCTTGGATTACCAAGCTCCCAATTGTCTCTAGGCTTCCACATCACCTATCTGGACTTTACTTTTTTTGTTTTTGTTTTTTTGTTTTTTCGAGACAGGGTTTCTCTGTGTAGCTTTGCGCCTTTCCTGGAACTCACTTGGTAGCCCAGGCTGGCCTCAAACTCACAGAGATCCGCCTGGCTCTGCCTCCCAAGTGCTGGGATTAAAGGCGTGCGCCACCACCGCCCGGCTTGGACTCTACTTTTTAAAGATTTATTGTTTTATATGTGTGTGTATGTGGATATGCATGGAGGTGGTGAGGTGCCCTTGGAGTCCAGAAGCCATTTTGGACCCCCCTATTTGGAGTTATAGGCCATTGTGAGCTGACCAATGTGGGTGCTGGGAATCAATCTCTGATCCTCTGCAAGAGCAGCAAGCTCTCTTAACCACTGAGCCATCTCCCCAGCTTCTAGGATTTTAGTTTCCACTGGCTTTAGGTTGTTCCCTTTCCTAGGATGCTATAGCACTTTCTAAATACTCTACTACTGTTCACTTACACCTCTAGCTACTCAATTTGCCTGGGTGTCTCTTTAAGGCATAAACCATTGTGTTTATTCCTTCATACCACATAGAGTCTTTAGCAGGGAGTAGCTACTCCATGCTTGTTGAATGGATAAAAAGTAAATAAATAAAATGTGGTGGTCTACCCAGCTTCCTGCCTCTCAGTCAGAAGGAAAAGGTTGTGAACTACCCAAAGCAAGGTTGGTTAATGTGTATTTCATACTTAATTTAATGCATCGGAACAAAAGGTAATCTTGCCTGAGGAGGAGTTAAAAAGGCTGCCACCTCTCTTCCCCCTTTCCACCTGCTCAGAGGTAAATGCATTCCTAATAGCTCTGTCACATTCCAGTGGTCTGGGTGATACTGCCACTGAAATGGCCTATTTTTTGCTTACCTAAAACATCGATCCATCTTTGAATCTCCCTATGAAATCAACGTAAATGGATACTATTATCTTCATTTCCAGGTTATATGATAGAAATTAAATGGCAGAATCAAGGTCATGCAATTAGTCAGGTGAATTTAAAATTAAAACAAAAAATTAAAAAGATTATCACTTATTTCCATGATTTTTAACAAATAGAAAATGAACATTATCATTGTTATACTAAACAGATTGGCTGGGATTCTGATTCAGAGCTCTCAGGACAGAGGTCACCAAGGAGTGTTTGTTTCTCTTTTATGATCTGTGTTGTAGAATATTGGTTTAAGAAGTGTTATATTCGTTTATGCTGTGCAATATTTGTTTAATGATGCAAAGCTGTGTTGCTGTGTTATTTTGCTTTTCTAAGACACCTGATGATCTAATAAAGAGCTGGATGGCCCATAGCAAGGCAGGTGAGAGGGATAGGCAGGGCTGGTAGGCAGAGAGAAAAAACAGGAGGAGAAATCTAGGCTTGAAAGAAGAGGAGGAGGAGTGAGAAAAGGAGAAGGAGAGGAGGATGCCAGGGGCCAGCCACGCAGCCACGCAGCCACACAGCCACACAGCTAGCCACCGAGTAAGAAGGAAAGAAAGGTATATAGAATAGAGAAAGGTAAAAAGTCCAGAGGCAAAATGTAGAAGAAGAGGAACTGGATAATTTAAGTTGAAAAGCTGGCTAGAAACAAGCCATGCTAAAGCCGGGCATTCATAAGTGAGAATAAATCTCCATATATTTATTTGGGAGCTGGGTGGCAGGCCCCCAAAGAGTAAAAAAAAAAAAAATTCAACTACAATACTGACTTGCTGCAGTTACACTAGTCTCTTCGAGAAAAAGAGGCTACTCAGTGACTTCTTAGCTGATATTTAAAAATAAGTAGATAAATACAGCAGGATGGGATGGGACAGGCCTGAAACAGCAACACTCTGAAGATTATAGGACAAGGAGGATCAGGAGCTAGAGGCCAGACTGGGCTACACAATAAAGTCAAGGCCAGCCTGCTCTATGTAACAAGACCCCGTCTCAAAAATAATATTAGTTAATTAACTCATTTTTTTGTTTGTTTGTTTGTTTTGTTTTTCGAGACAGGGTTTCTCTGTGTAGCTTTGTGCCTTTCCTGGAACTCACTTGGTAGCCCAGGCTGGCCTCAAACTCACAGAGATCCACCTGCCTCTGCCTCCCAAGTGCTGGGATTAAAGGCATGCACCACCACCACCCGGCTAATTAACTCATTTTTAAAAGGATACTTAATTTGTCCCTTCAGAATATAAGTGAAATTTTGGTGTATAGCTCAGTGGTTAGAGCATGGTCTGGCACATACAAGGTCCTGGTTTAGTTCCCAGCATGGAAAAACAAAACTCGTGTGTGTGTGTGTGTGTGTGTGTGTGTGTGTGTGTGTGTGTGTGTGTGTGTGTATGTATGTATGTAATAGTGAGTAACTGAAATATGCTAAAGACAGGTTATTTTGCTAATCCACAGCTGTTCGCAGCTCCATCTCTGTGAATTGGTTGCTGAAAATGATCATAGACCAACAGACCAACCTTACTTATTTACTTGTGTGTGTGTGTGTGTGTGTGTGTGTGTGTGTGTGTGTGTGTGTGTGTGTGTAGCCCAGGCTTTCCTGGAACCCACTATGTAGCACAGGTTGGCTTTGAACTGATGATGATAATCTTCCTGCCTGGGCTTCCCCAGGGCTGGGATTACAGGTGTGTGCCACCACACCCCTCTGAATTACTTCTTCACACAACAGCCTGAAAATAATTTTCTAATCTGTTATAAAATCTTGTGACTAAAAAATGATTCAATGAACTAAGATTTCAGAAAATACAGAAATGCTACTCTGTCTGGATACTGTTTGCAAGATCAGCTAATGGACACTGTGGCAGATGGTAAAGAACCACTGCATAATTCATAGACAATTCAGAAACAAGTGTCATCTGTAACAAATACAGCTAATGATGGGCTTCACTTCGGATTTGTGTCTGTTTGTGAGCTGTGGTTTCAGAAAAAAAAAAAAAAAGCATCAAAGTAAGGTAAGCTCTGGAGCCACCCCCAGAGACTTATCGAGAACTGCACCTGCAGGGCTGGTGGAAGGTCCAATCACATCAGTGTTTTGAACCATTTCAAAATTATTTTAAAATACTGAGTTTTTCAAAGATCTCTTTTGACTTTTGTTTTTTGTTTTTGTTTTTGTTTTTGTTTTTTCGAGACAGGGTTTCTCTGTGTAGTTTTGCGCCTCTCCTGGAACTCACTTGGTAGCCCAGGCTGGCCTCGAACTCACAGAGATCCGCCTGGCTCTGCCTCCCGAGTGCTGGGATTAAAGGCGTGCGCCACCACCGCCCGGCAACTTTTGTATATGTTTTTATAACAGAAAACATTTTAATAATTCTGATGTGCAAATTAGTCACAACAAGTTAGAAATAACTTTTTCCGCCCATTTTTCTTGCTAAGAGAACAACAGAATAAAGGACTTCCCGCACAAACCTGAAGTCCAGTTCAAAACCCTGGTAAAAACCTGCGTACATGGTGGCCTGCCTGTGCCCCAGGGCTCACAAGGTGGAAATGGGATCCCTAGGGCAAGCTGCTTAGCTGACTAGCTGAGCTAGTGACTGAATCCTTGAGCCCCTGGTTCTGTGAGAGAATACTCCTCAGCAAACAGAGACTAAGGAAGACATCCACCATCACCCTGTGGTCTCTACACACATGCTCATACATATGCTTGCGAACATGCATACACACAGGCACACACACCACACACACTGACAAAAAAGAAAACTTTGAAAAAGTTGACACACCAGTGTTGGAGTCCGGCAATCAGCACAGAGCCAATGGAACAAAGGCGCAAGGGGAAACAGTGGAAACTGGAGGTGGGAAAACGGATCAGGAAGCAGAATGGAGAGCTGATGGACAAGAGACCAGGCGCTTCCACTTTCAAACACCCATGCACATAGTTCCCAGAGGCCGTTCCAGTCTCTCCCCTCCCTACATGGACTAACTACAATATCGCAATGTTAATAAAGAAGGACACAGGACATTTCCAAATGCTCCTAGAACAAGGGCTGAATTCTAGATTACAAAAGAAAATAAATAGGATTCCATGGATCTAAATTCCTAATGGTAAATCGAGCATTTTTCGAAGAGGGTTGCTATAGCAATGCCATGAGATACTAACAGTGCTAGAATGTTCTTCTGTCACAGACAAATATCGAGTCCTATCATGTGATGGCCCCTCTGATAAACTTTTTCATTCTCCATTGAAAATCATTTGAATAATTACTATATAAGCTTCCAGTTTTCACTTCCCAGTGCCTGCTTCACTGGGGCCCTGTTTTTCCCTGAAGAAAATCACCCCCCAACCAAAGCAAAGTAGAATCCCGCAAAGCCACACAAATACATACGTGTCGAAGAAGTTCAATGTTACCATTGGTGATTTCATTGCCTATCTTCAAAAGCCATTGTTGAATCATGTCAAATATATGACTTTGGAGTGTCCTGCAGGAAAGAGCAGGCAAGATAAACACAAGAGACTTGAGAATATACCAGTCACCGTCAATGAGACAAAAGCAGGACATAGTAAGTGTGGGTGTTGAGAAGGTTTTGTGAGAATTTAGACAAAAGTGATTCAAAGCCTTGAGCTACCGATAAGTTAGTTAGGTTGAGATAGCCTTCCTAACTCCTAGACAGGTGTCAACTAGCATGATGCACTTGGAACAGTGTACAGTCTACCTACAATATTCTCTCTCCATTGTCAACAGCATGCTGTTCACTCCTAGCTAGGAGGACCTTCTTGTGTAATGCTAATTAATTTTAAAATTCTCTCAGTGATTGGCTGCCAGCATGACAGTGTGCAGGGTCAGCACGGCCCACTTCCCAACTGAAACAATGAGAGTTAACTTTGAAAAACTGAACTATTGAAAGCTTCCAGAAATGATAAGAAAGAAAAGAAACAATGGCTGAAAATGACCCAAATTTATGGAAAAATAATAATTAACACACAAGGTTCAGCAGTCTCCAGGCAGAATAAACACAGAGATCCATAAACAGATACATCAAAGTGAAAATCAATTAAACCGAAAGGTAGTTCCTTAAAAAGGATGGGTTTAGTCGGGCTTTCTATTGCTGTAATAAAACGTCATGTCCAAAAGCAACCTGAGGAGGAGAGTTTATTTCAGCTTTCAGTTGTAGTTCATCACCCAGGGAAGTCAGGGCAGGAATTCAAGGCAAGAATCTGGAGGCAGGAACTGAAGCAGAGGCCACTGGCTTGTTTCGCTTGGCCAACCACGTCAGTCATTAATCAAGAAAATGTATTCTACAGACTTGCTACAGGCCAATCTTATGGAGGCATTTTCTCAATTGAGAGTCCCTCTTCCCAAATGACTCTAGTTTGTGTCAAGTTGACATAAAACTAACCAACACAACAAGTGTTTAGCTGCAGTTACCAAGAAAAGCAGAGGCGAGGTCCAATGACCACATTCAGAAATGAGAGAAGGGATGGTGTTGACTTTTGGAAACAAAGGATAGGGACATGGCTGTAGTTCTGATGTGGTTTGAATGTGTCCCTCAGTGGTCACTGTGTCAAAAGCCAGTTCTCCATGCAGTAACGTTCAAAGGCAGTAGAAGCTGGGGCTCGAGAGATGGCTCTGTCCTTACTTGCTGCTCAACCAGGGGACCCAGGTTCAATTCCCAACACCCACATGATGGCTCACAACCATCAGCAACTCCAGTTCCTGGAGGCTGATCCATTTCTCTGACCTCTGTAATCACCAGGCACCCAGACATACATGCCAGCAAAGCTCCCATATACATAAAATCAAATAAAATCATTTCTGAAAGAGGTAGTAGAGTCTTTGAGATTTAGCTCTGCAGGCAGGGTCTGCCAGACCCTTCAGGGAACACACTGGAGAAAGGTGTTGAATCGTCACTAGATGAAGTAGCTGATGCCTGCACATTTCTAGATTTAGTAGCAAGGTGAAGTTGAGAACTTTACAGAGCAGGAGAGAAATACCAGAATCTGTCCTGGAGGGATTGGCTCTCAGAGAGGAGTGCTAAGCCAGATGTGGGAGACACGGCTCAATGTAAGCTCAGAAAATCTGCACGTGCTCCCAGCACTGGGCACTCTGGAGGACAGGAAAGAGAATTCAGACAGGGGATGCATACAGGGTGCCTGCAGGAGATGCCAGGGTTTTGTAGGGCTGGTACAGCTGTGGAATGCCATTTCACAAAGCCCTCGGCTGAGCTGGCATCCAGCAGCCTGGCACCCTCTCTGAACTGCCCTCTCTGGAAATCCAGCAAGACACTGCTGGGTGGAGAAAAGTCTTTCTTTGGATTGGTAATTGGCAAGGCGGGAACTCAGCCAGAGCCTGCAAGGGGGATTTCAACCCAGGTTAGAATAAGGATGCGACAGAATGATCCCACAAGCAACACTAGCAACTAGCACTAGCAACAGGTCTCCTAAAGGACATCCCAGAAGCCACTCACTGACCAGACTAAATCTGTAATCTTATCTCCCAAAGGAAAGAACCCCGGTGAGAAAAGGACTGTTCTGAGATGCAACAGGCGTCTGGGAGCCTGGGAAGGACGACCATGAGGCTCCGACAGGAAATGGAACCCCGCAGACCGCCAGCAGGCCAGCCTGCTTTCACAGTGTGCTCTCACCCAGCCCTCTCTGCTTCACAATTATCCCCTCCTCAGTTAAGACACGGTGTCAGTTCAGTTAAGGTAGCTGACTCTGCCCTTCCTAGTTCTTGATCCCACTGTGGTGGTTGAGTAAGAATGGTCGCCCACAGGCTCGTATATTTGAATGCTTAGTCACCCAGGAGTGAAAGGATTAGGAGGTGTGGCCTTGTTGGAGGAAGCATGTCACTGGGCCTGGGGAATGAGGTTTCAAAGGCCCATGCCAAGCCCTGTGTCTCTGTCCCTGCCTATGGATCAGGAATTAGCTCTCCACTACTCCAACACCTTGCCAGCCACCAGGCTCCACACCATGATGATAATGGACTAAACCTCTGAAACTGCAAGCCAGCCCCAATTAATGCTTCCTTTTATAAAAGTGCCTTAGTCATGGTGTCTCTTCACAGCAATAGAACAGTGACTAAGACACCCTTTACCATTCTTTATTTTCCTCTCTCAGAGAACACAGGCTGCCCAGTCTGTAGCACCCTTGTGTTTCAGATTTCTGAGACCTGGGAATACCTCATTGTACTTCCTTATCTCTCTGGTCAACCAACCCTCAGCCAAAATGGCCTCATGCCCCTCTTCTGCCCCTTCAGTTCTCCCCTTCATGTCTTCTGTCTCTACCCTTTCTGTCTCTCCCATACTAGTTACTAGTCAGACCCTGAGGAGGTTTTCTCTTCTTCTTTTCTTTTCATTTTCCTTCCCACTCCCAAATACAGTAACTAATACTATTAATACCTCCTCCTAAAGTGATTGGCACTTACAAGATGATTTTTCTTTTAATACCACTGTATTTTGATAGTGGGCCTACATTTAATAGTGATTATTTTTGCATTCCTTTCATATGAACTGTTTATAATGGAAAAATGCAGAGAGATGGAAAGCACATTAGTGGTTGATTAGGACTGTAGGTGGGGGAGGGGTACAGGCTGGATGGGTTATATGGCTTGCTTGTGTTTTTTTTCCCCAAGGGTTCGTGTTTTGGAAAGCTAGGCTTTTTGCATGGTCATGACACTTTTAAGGGGGTGTGGCCTACTAGGAGGTAATTTGGTCACTGGGGGTACTCTCAGGTCCTTCCGAAGAAGTTGCTGGGAAAGAATGAGCTAGATCCCTCTGACTTGCCATGTGACTCCCTCCCTCCTGCATTCCTGCCATGATGTCATTTGTTAGGAGCCCTCAACAGAGTCAGCACCATGCTATTTAGACTTTCAGCTTACAAACTATAACTAAAAATAAGCCTCTTTACTGAATAAAGAGTCCAGCCACTGGTATTTTGTGACAGTAACATAAATCTTATTTCATCATAACATGCACAGTTTCTTTTTTAGAAGAATGGAAAAAGGTTTTAAAATCCACTACAGTTGGCCATATCTATAAATACACTGAAACAACTGAGTTATTGTATTAGGACTTTAGAAACATCCTCCCTGAAAAGAAGAGCCTGGGAACTTACGCGCCAGAATCCATGTCCAGGTATTGTGGAACGGTACCAATAATGTTTAACAATGTGTCCAACTGATACTTCATTTCATTGATTTTTTCATCAAGTTCATCCCAGTCTTCAGGGGGCATACTAGTACACTCTAGGAAGTTTTCTAACTTGAAAAAACATATGTCCAGAGAAGTAATCAAGTTTGGAAGAACTTTGGAGATACCTAGAAAAGTAGGGGGAAAAACATTAACAAACTATTTGTGATATCATTGTTTCAATACTAGATTATAAAATCTGGGCAAGGACAGACCTCCTTTTGCCTATCATCTACCAGAGAGCCTTGAAAGACTCATTTCTGAAAGGACTGGAATTGGCACAAAACATCCCAAGACTAAGTTCTCAGCACAAAGGAGATTTATTTGCCCCAGAGGGACGAAGGGCAGAGATAAGAGACCAAGACAGGAGATAGAGGATGAGGGAGAAGGGGAAGGGGACAAGGGAGAGGGAAGGGGTATTTGTTCTGAGAGACAAAGGACTGCCTCTGGAAAGAGAGGAGAGAGATGTGGCCCATGGGCAAACGGTAATTTATAAGGTAAAATGGGAAACCCCATGTTAGGAGGAGCTGGTTTGTTTTAATTGGTCATGTTAATTAGGGCAGCCAAAGGGGGCTTTTGATTGCTGGACTTCAATACTTTGATAGCTAGACCTTGGTGGTCAGCCTCAGGAAGAGGAAGTGGCCAAATAAGGGAATGGACCTTGGTGGCTAGCTTTAGGAATGTGATCTAATGGTTTTTAGCGAGGCAGAGGGAGTGGGGGAGAAGGGCAAGGCCTGTCAGAGCTGTGTTTGCCATGCTCAGCCTACTAGAACCCATCAATTCCTAAACACACAGTAAGTAAACACTCTGCAGTGAATGCTTCTGAAGCAGTGGGATACATCTTTTGGTGCATTCTAATTTTCTTGTTTTCTCCATGGAGAATCAAATGCCTTAAATCCAGAAATTACCAGCGAAAGTTTTCTGTAAATGGCATTATTTTAATGTCACTCTCTGAAGAGTGCTTCTCCCTGGGATAGTTAATGCCAGGTGAGAGTAGACATGGGTCTGAAGCCACTTCCTGGGTCCCTGACCAGGTCTTCACGAAGTCCACAGTTTCTAGCCACGGCAACCACTATACCCCAAAAGCCCCTGGAGAACAGAGCCTGGATCCCACTGTTAACCCAGTGGACTACTTCACTGGGAGATCACAGAAAAATACCTTCTCTGTCTCATCTCAGTTTTAAAACACGAAATGAAGATCCTACCTTCTTAGAGTTACATAGAGAAATAACAACAAGCCAGCTGTTTATACTGTCTTTGGTGGAAACTGTATTTACCAGTGCATCAATAAGTAAACCGAGATGTTCAAACTGACTTGAGAATTGTCCATCATTTTGACTTCTTAATTTTAAACCCTCTATAACCTCATTTTTTCCATGCTCACTATGCACTCTTATAGGTATTGCCATTTTATTTAAAATTGTATTATTGTTGCTACAGAAAATTAGGCTGGTGTTTTACGTGGAACAATGGTGCTATCCATGGATCAAGGTAACCAGAATTCTTTACCGGGAAGGATTCCAAAAGAATACACAACATAGTAAAAATGCACTGGTAAACTTTTAGCATCTCCATGGGTTTGGAAGAATGGATTTCCAGTATCTCCCTTCAGAGGAGTGGGGATAAATTAGACTCAGAATCCACTAAGAAGCAGATGGTCTGGACCCCTAAGCCACCACACCTTACAGATAACGGTGGAAGGGCTAGGTGAGACCTCGAAACGCCTAGAGACACACTTCATTTCAACTCAGGCTCCGTTTAAATTAAGGTGATCTGCTCTAGCCCTAAATGGGAGGAGATGCTGTAACACTCAAGGACAATTTAAAATTGGTACCAGAGTCTCAGATCATCTCTAGAACTGTACAGATAGTGTCAATATTCAATCAGAATATGGCTCATAAAAGAATTGGCTCAGAACTATGACAAAACAGAATGATTTTGAGAGACCTAAAGGAGAACCAAATGTGGCCCAATTATCATAGCTTTACATTTTAATAATTATTAAATTTTAGAAGTTGTTAAGGCCAGGGATGAGAATTGGTAGTAGAGCACTTGTCTAGAACATACAACTTTTTGCTTGATCCTTAGCACTGGAAAAAAACAAAGACTGAAATTATTAAATGACAAAATAGAAAATTTTGGTATTGGACTAGAAGCTCTAAAAGTTTATAAATCCGCCGGGGCAGTGGTGGCTCACGCCTTTAATCCCAGCACTCGGGAGGCATAGGCAGGCAAATCTCTGTGAGTTCAAGGTCAACCTGGTCTACAGAGTGAGTTCAAGGACAGGCACCAGAACTACACAGAGAAACCCTGTCTGGAAAAACCAAAACCAAATCAAAACAAAAAAGTTTATAAATCCAAGGACTGAAAAGGTAGTAATTGAAATCAAGAACTCAGTAGATGTCTGACACGGGTTAGAGAAAGCCCTGAAAGAAGGCTGCTCCCAGGCTGTTTCCTGTACCCAGACAGATGACCTTTAAACAGAAGAGGAAAAAGCAGAATGTGGCAGCACACACTTTTAGTCTCCACACTAGGGAGGCAGAAGCAGATGGAACTCTCAGAGTTCGAGGCCGCCCTCATTTACATGGCAAGTTCCAGGCCAATCAGGACTACATAATGAGACCCTATCTTGAAAAACAAACAACCAAAACAACAACAAAACAACTGACAGAAATGTGTAGCAACCCACTACTGTAAGAAAAACTAAAGAGGGAAACAGAAAAAGAGACACAAGTAAAGGAGATGCCATATGACAAGAAAAAGATCTTTCTCCAAATCCACAAAGGGGAACGGTTGCTCACTGTTTAGTCTTCGACTAAAGCCATGAAGAAATGACAACCACTGGACATGGTGGTGCACACCTTTTATCTCAGCAGGCAGATCTCTAAATTTGAGGCCAGCTGTTCTACATAGCAATTTCCAGGTCAGCCAAGCCTACAAAATAAAGAGGTCTTGTCTCCAAAAAAAGAAGGAGAAGGAGGAAGAGAAAGAAGGAGAAAAAGAAAAGAAGGAGAGAAGAAGGTGGGGAGAAGGAGAAGGAGAAGGAGAAGGAGGAGGAAGGGAAAGAGAAGGAGGAGGAGGAAGAAGAAAAAGAAGAAGGAGGAGGAGGAGGAAGAGGAGGAGGAGGAAGAAGAGGAAGAAGAAGAAGAAGAAGAAGAAGAAGAAGAAGAAGAAGAAGAAGAAGAAGAAGAAGAAGAAGCCCCCCCACAGACATGCTCACAGCCCAATCTGATGGAGACAGTTCCTCAGCTGAGTCTCCCTCTTCCCAGATGACTACAGCTGTGTGAGGCTGACAAAAAACTAACCAGTACAGGACAGCTACTATTAAAAAGACAGAAAATGGCTAGTATTAACAAGAGTGTGGTGTGGTGGAGCCTTGGACACTGTTGATAGGGATGTGAACTAGTGTAATATGGCAAGTAACTTCTTCAAGTAAAAAATGGAACTGCGTGTAATCCAAGCAAACAATCACATATCTAGGTATATACTAAAAACAAAAACAAAAATATTTGCATATTCATGTTAGTAGTAGTACTGTTTACAATAGCCAGGTGACCTTGGGGCAACCTTGATGTCTTTCTTTAAGGGAGTGAGTGGAGTGAAGAGGAGCAACTCCATTCCCTAAATGTTATTCAGTCTTTGGAAGAAAGTCCCAGTGCACTCTGCAGCATGAATGAACTGTAAGGACACTGCACTAAGGAAAATAAGGCACAGCAGGAGGATCTCTGTGAGTTTGAGGCCAGCCTGGTCTACAGAGCTTGTTCTAGGACAGCCAAACCCTGCCTCAGAAAAACAAGACACACACACACACACACACACACACACACACACACACACACACACACACACAATCCAAACAGGAACTTTCCCAAAGAAAGTAGACAAAAATTTGGGTATCCTTTATGATCAGGAGCACACAAATCAAGACCACAGTGAAACAGTATTTCACATCCACTGTCATGGTGAGATGGCCAGGGAAGCAGAAACATCAGAGCCTCCTCACTGTCCTGAGGATATAAACTGTGTCCACCTCAGAAACAGTGTGACAGTCTCCAGAAAGCTAAACGTGGAGCTGTCAAACAGCCAGGACTTCCCTCCAAGAGAAATGAAAGCAGAAAAGAGGGACAACCCCAAATGTTGTCCCTATCAACAGCTGCAACTATACAAACTCAGGTATACACACGACAGTTTATCTGCTCATAAAAATGAAGGCAGGCCAGTCACAGTGGCAAAGACGGTGACCCCCGCACATGGGAAGCTGAGAGACTGCAAGTTTGAGGATAAGTCATGTCTTTAAAAAGAGAGAGGAGAGAGAGAGAGAGAGAGAGAGAGAGAGAGAGAGAGAGAGAGAGAGAGAGAGAGAGAGAGAGAGAGAGAGAGGAGTTTTGGACCAATCTGGACTATATAGTGATCTCAGGACAGCCAGGGCTACACAGAGAGACGCTGTCTCAGAATAAGGGGGAGCAGGGTATGAAAGAAAGATTGGTACATGCTATAAATATAGGTGATCCTTAAAAACACCATGATACTACATAAAGAACCATAAAAGGACACAAAACACATTTCTCATTCATAATAAAGCCCAAATGAAACTGTAGGGGATAGAAGGTGGATTTAGGAATAGGGTAGGGGTGAGGGGGTTAGGAGTAAGAACTGGAGGATGCAGATTTCAGGATTCCCAGTGAAGTGTTCTAAATATTGCAGACTCAGCTGTGGTGATGAATGCACACACCTGTGTATGTTGCATTCATACTTTAGACAGGTGGATGATATTATATATTAAATTATATCTCAGCAAAATGATACTCAATGCTTTTCTACTGCTTGACTTTTATAGCTTATACTTAGATCTTAGCTTTTCCTTTCTAATTAACTCTGGGTTTTAATGATCTTCAACACTAATTACTGATAAGATTCTCTCCAATGCCAAGAAATCTCATCTGGCTTGCTTACCGTTGTCACCGTTTATCCTTATTTCGTACTCCTTGTAGAGTCTGCCTATGGTTTTTAGCATTTCCTCCATGTACTCGTACTCTGGGGGTAACACCCCATCCATGTTCTTATGGCGACTAAATATCCCAAACCCAATGTCTGTCCAGTTTTCCTGTAAGCGTTTAATCACTTTGAGAGCATCATATCTGGCCAACAGAAAATCCCCTGTAAAATTGTCTTTCTCCTCATTCAGCATCTAGAAAGGGAAACAGAGGGGAGAATGGTACATTACTAATTGAAGTCTGCCCCAAGCCTCCATCCTCCATGATTCCTAGCGATTCTGGAGTGTCACGGGTTATTGTCATTGTTTGTACATTTCTTCTTGTAAGATTTGGGGGTTAAAGATACTCAAGCTCACATTCTTCTGCCATTTGCCGTTGACAGATGACTCAGTTAACTGTTTTCCTATGCTTCAACTGGGGAATGTGTCAGATGGGGATCATAAAACCTCTATCATGAGCATGTCTTGGGCTCTGTATGAGATTTCATTAGGTCATGAATTTGATATTGCTTCTTAAATTATTTCAATATCATTATACAATTTTCTTTGTCCCACTACTATAGCATAATAGTAGTGGGGGGGTAGCTGATGCTTGAACCAGGGCCTTGCATATGTTAGGCTCTGTGGTATAGTACCACTGAGCCATATCTCTAGCCCTCATAATGGTTACTTAATTAATAAAATTCATTTTTAAAATTTGAAACTTAAAAAAATCCTAATATTGTGTGAAAATGTAATATATATGGCACATACACAATACAATACAGCTTGGCCTTAAAAAGAGAGTTAATCCTGAAACATGAATGCTCTTTGAAGGCAATATACTAAGGGAAATAAGCCATTCATAAATGGACAATGCTAGAACCATCAAAATCACAGAGAGCAGAATAATGCTTGTCAGGGGCTGAGGGAAACTGAGCACTGGGACTTACTGTTCAATGAGCAGCAATCCCGTTAGAAAGCTGGACCGTGTGGCAGTATGAGTGTGCTCCACGCCACTAGCCTATATACACACTTAAATGGTTAAGATGGAATTTATGTCATGTATATGTTCCCATGATTTATAAAAGTGTGATTAATTTTAAAAGTCCAACTTGTTCTTTACACAAAAGCTCTAGACAAGGGGGGTAGAAATGATGTTATACTGGGAACTCAACTGAGAATCAGAACCACTCTTACCTACCACACAGCCTTACTTCATTTAACCCACAAACTGAAACAAAACTGAAAAATATCTAAACGTATTTTTAAGGCCCCAGTGGTTTTGCTGGCTTTTTAAATTTTTTGTCATTCATAAACCTTGCTGTGCCATTTTAAAGGATGAAATGTGCTCAGCTGTGGGTGGGAGCACCCACATTGCCACCAGCGATACTATCAGCAGACTGTTGGAGGAAGTCTTACCTTTTGAAACTCCTTGAAGTCGAGAAGGACCGCAGCGAACGGGTTCCCCTTATTAGGTCTTACAATCTCTTTTCCACTGGAAGAAGAGTGAGAGAGAGGTCTCGGAACAAGGTACACACAACGAAACGCAGAAGTCTGCCCATGAACAGCAACATTACCTGTTCCCTCGGCCATCTTTCAGCACAGCCTCCAGGCCCAGCCCCTCTCCTCACAGGCATTCCTTTCAAATTCACAATTAGAAATAACAAATTCTCGCCGGGCGGTGGTAGCGCACGCCTTTAATCCCAGCACTTGGGAGGCAGAGCCAGGCGGATCTCTGTGAGTTCGAGGCCAGCCTGGGCTACAGAGTGAGTTCCAGGAAAGGAGCAAAGCTACACAGAGAAACCCTGTCTTGAAAAAACCAAAACCAAACAAACAAACAAATTCTGATTCTAACTAACCAAGTGATGGGGCTTGAAGCCTTCAGGGCATCTCTTTAAAGGGTGAGCTCTCATTTTGAGAACCCAAGACTAGGGTGTCCATAAGAATTCCCGTCAGACAATATGTGAGTGGACAGGAAGCCTGATGGATAGATAATTAAGAGAACATCAGGTCAGGAATCTCCCTGATGGATGGATAATTAAGAGAACATCAGGTCAGGAGTCTCAACCTCTTACAAGAAGCTCCCTTTCATTTCTCTGAAGTGTACAAGAAGGCTTTTATTTTTTTACTCTTTTATATTTTTATTTATTATTTGTTTGGTTTTTTTAAACAATAACAACCTTTTTTTGAAGCTTGGAGATCATTTTATTACAAGCAAGCAAGCTGAAAACCCCAACAGCTACCGACAGGAAGAAGAGAAGAGGAAGTGTTGGAGCTGGCTTGGAGGTGGTCAAGCAGCTCTAGAAACGGGGGAGTGGGGTGATACTTTGTTTGTGCTCTAATAAATAAAGCTGGGCTGAAGATCAGGGGTGGAGCTAGCGATTAGTTAACCATAAAGGCCTGGAGGTCTGTACAGACAGATAGGAAGTGATATGGCTGGGCCGAGAGAGGAATATAAGGCAGGCAGAGACAGGAGCTCAACCCCTTTTTGGTCTGAGGAGTCGTGGAGGCGAGAGGTGACTTTGGCTGCTCCTTTACTTCACTGATCTTTCAGCATTTATCCTGATGTCTGACTCTGGGTTTTTATTATTAAGAACAATTAGAATTCACACTATGAGGAGGGCAGGACAGTATCCAGAAAACCAGTGACAGAGTCCAGTGTCAGGAAAAGCATGCTGAAGCATTTGGCTAGTAATGGAAAAAAGAGACAGAAATGAGGAAAAATCCAAGTTTCAGATTTCAAATTAGAAATCAGAAAAGCAGGTATGCTTATCAATGAAGATCTACAAGTGACTGCTTAAATAATATTTATAAAAATAGGGTCTCACTATGTAGCCCAGGCTGGCCTTGAACTCACGATCTTTTACCGTCACCTCATGAGGGCTTACAGGTGAGAGCCATTGTGGCTACCCTGATGAAGTCATTCTTAAGAAGTTCCTAAAGAACAAGGGGGAGGACATCTGGGTCCCCTTACTGCTGCATGGGCTGCACAAAGCCACTCGGAGATGGATCAACTTTGGCTTTCAGAACTTTCACCTCTTCTAATTGGGAAGTCTTCAAGAGTTTGGAAAAACTGGAAACTACTAAATTAAATTCACAATAGAAACAGTGTCTCTGTGACAATGCACTCATGGGATAGCACAGGTCTTCTGTCCTCAGCTGAACTTCCTAGAAACTCACTCCCAGATGCTCCAAGGGATTCCAAAGTGACTCCATATGCAGTCACACAGACCATGGAGGTTAACTCTCACCCTTCTCTGTTTTCTGTCTAGAATATGAGTACTAGCAGCACAGGCAATTGGTGAGTCATGTGTGCAAAGGGAGCAGAAATCATTTAGTCCAGTCGGCACCCAAAGTATAGATTCTCACTAACCTTGTCTATGTACATATGATTTAGTCACCTAACCTCAACTTACTTTATTGTTAGCCTCTTCCACTTTCAGACTACTCTGGGCTGTGGAGATGCTCAATGGGGGAAGCGCTTGTCACTCAAGCCTAGTGAGCTCTGGGTCTCCAGAGCCCACAGAGGAGGAAGAAGCATTAGCAAAAACTCTCTGTAATCCCAGTTTGCCTGTGGGAAACAGAGACAGGAGCCTATCCAGAAGCTCCTGGGCCTACATGAGGCAAAGAGACCCCATCTCAAAGAAGGCAGAAAGACAGGGTCACCCAAAGGGATCCAACGCCCTCTTCTGGCCTCCTGGGACACATACACATACGTGCACATCACACATACAGAGACACACAAATACAATTAAATCTTTTTTAAAAAGGGGTGGGGGGGACAAAGAGTTGGTGTTATGAAGGCAACAGCAATTTGGCACCGAGATCAGGAGGGCTGCACAGGTGTTCAGCACTGGAAAGCACCTGAGTTCAAGGCCCAGCAATGGACGTTCTTACCTCCCCCAAACTCAGAGTAATTAGTGAAGACATTAGCTGCATTACCAGACATAATGTAACCAAGTCAGAAAAAGCAAGATTCCTGCGGACCCACACGTTATTTTTGAAGAACTCCTGCCACCTGAGGAGCCCAGTTTTCACAGTTTGCGCTCTGTCCTTTGTAGAAGCCTCCGTGCGTTCCACATCCTGCTTAAATCGGTTCACTAACCTTTTCCATTTTTCTGTTAACTTCTGCAGCACTGCAAGGTCTGCAGTGTCCTAAAATGAACAGAATCAATGCATTCATTTTCTCATAGAACTCACATTGACTGACAGGTACTAAGTCTTTATTACTGTTGAATTACTTGAAGAGTTCACAGGAAGTGGGCCAAGAAGTTGAAAAGCTATTTCTCTTTCCAAACACCATCAGTGACACTATGGCAATGGATTTTCTGTGGGACATGTTATTAGGGACAATACTTTTTCCTTTGCAACATGAACCTGGTTTTCCCACAGGATTTTTGCAGGGGCAGAATGACACACTGGCAAGGACAGGAACTGGAGAGCCAGGCAGAACCAAATGCGGATTCTAGACAGTGATATTATTTAGTCTAAAGTTCGTTTTTATTATTCATAAAATAAGGACACTGATACATATCTCAGAGGGTTATTTTAACAGTTAGATGGCAGGAGCTAGAGAAATGACTCAGTAGTTAAGACTGCTTACTAATATTCAGAGGGTTGACCTGGGGCTCTGTTCCCAATGACTCATAACTGTAGTTCCAGGGGTTCTGGTGCCCTCTTCTGGCCGGAGGGCAACTGCACACACATGGTACACAAACTCACATAGGCATACACACATTCACATAAATTTGAAAATAAATATTACAGAGAAGTGAAATGACTGGAAGGTGCTCCTCCTACTCTCTAGAGTTCTTTCTCACATTTCATTAATAAATGTATGTTTGCTATGCTCAAAGGGAGGGGGCTTAATGACTGCTGAAAATGGCTTGACTTAGTGAAATGCACTAAATGCCAGCACATTTTCTCCTTTGGAGACTGTCTTAGTTAGGGTTTTTATTGCTGTAAAGAGACACCATGACCATGACAGCTCTTACAAAGAAAAAATTTCACTGGGGTGGCTTGCTTACAGTTTTAGAGGTTCAGTCCATTATCATCATGGTGGTGAGCATGCAGGCAGACATGGTGCTGGAGCTGAGAGTGCTACATCTTGCAGGCAACAAGAGGTCAATTGACACACTGGGTGGTCAATATGAAACCTCAAAGCCTGCCCCCACAGTGACACTTCCTCCAACAAGGCCACACCTCCTAATAGTGCCACTCCCTTTGGGGATCATTTTCTTTCAAACCACCACAGTGATCAATACATTTTCTCATAAAATTATTTAAGAATGCATCAGTAATGTCTCCTTCCTCTCTCCTTCCTCCTTTTCCTCTTCTTCCTCCTCTCTTTGTTTGTAGCCCAGCCTGGCCTCAAACTTGTGACCCTCCTGCTTCAGTCTCCTGTGTTGTGGAATATGACTTTAACTAGGCAAGATGTATTACATTTGTTTATGCTGCATTTGTTTAATTATGTAAAGATGTGTTGCTATTTTACCTTGCCTGCCTAAGGCACCTGATTGGTCTAATAAAAAGCTGAACAGCCAATAGCTAGGCAGAGAAAGGATAGGCGGGGCTGATGGGCAGAGAGAATAAATAGGAGGAGAAATCTAGGCTCAGGAGAGAACAAAGGAGAAGAGAATGGGGGAGAAAGAGAGGGAGACCTCAGGGCCAGCCAGCCAGGCAGCTGCCAGACAGACAGACACAGGGTAGGACATACAGAATGAAAGAAAAGTAAAAAGCCCGAGGAAAAATGTAGATGAAGACAAACAAGTTAATTTAAGTTATAAGAGCTAGTGGAACAAGTATAAGATAAGGCTGAGCATTCATAACTAGTAAGTCTCCATGTCATGACTTGGGAGCTGGTTAGTGGCCTAAAAGAAAGCCTGCTACACTCCTAAGTTCTGAGGTTACAGGCATGCACCACCACACCCAACCACCCCCTCTTACTTTTATTTTATCTTAAGCACTAATAATAAGTAACTCTATGAAACTCTGGAGTGTTGTTACTAGACTAGATGTGCTGCTTTGATTACAGTGGAAGACACTGTAACTAAGAGTCTTTATTCCTTCCCTTATTTTTTTCATTCTACCCACAACAAAGCATAAATATAGAACTGTACTTAAGAATCTATAGATCTGGCAAAGCCAAGCCTACAGCTTCAAAACATAACACTTACAATCATTTACCCATGACCTATGTAAAGTGGGATTTACCTTGGTTGACAGCATTATAATGAAATGCTTGATATATTTATTCCAGCCTTTTTCACTGAGGTAGAGTTTTTTTGCCATTATGACTCTATTTCTTTCAATTACCTATAAAAAAAAATGTACTATAATCAGGAACCTAAAACATTTTTAAACAGTATAATTTACTTGTAATGTTTTCACATATCAATTTTTATTCAGCCATTACCTTGATCAAAATTTCTTACTTTAATAATTTGAATCGCAAATTTACACATTTCTATAACTATTGAACTGGAAGTATGTTACAGTTCAGGACTTCTGGGTAAGATGAAAGACCATAAATTGCTATCCAGACTAATCCTAACACAGAGAAACTTCAGGATTGCACAAAGACAATGATGGGTTACTTGTAGATTGTTGAGAAAAAAAGAAAGCCAATACAAAAGAAGCCAAGCTGGAGCTAGATAGATGACCCAATAGATAAAATATGAGGACCTGAGTTCGAATCCCTAGAACTCAGGTAAAGCTAGCATAGTGGTGCACTTCTGTACCCCCAGAGCTCCTACAGGAAGATGAAAGCTGGATACAGGAAAGTCCCTTGAAGATCTCAGATCAGCTACCCTAGTGTTTACAGTGGAGGGGGGAGAGAGAGAGAAAGAGAGAGAGAGAATGAGAGAGAGACAGAGACCCTCTCTCAAACAAAGTGGAAGGTGAGGACCAAAGCCCAAAGTTGTCCTCTGACCTCCACTTAAGCAAAGCAGCATGTGTATGTTCTCTCTCTCTTTCTCTCTCTTACACACACACACACACACACACACACACACACTGAAGAAAAATTAAAAAGAAAGAAAAAGGAGCCAAACTGAACATAGCTCCCACTGCATCTCTACCTGTTGGAGTCTGTCAGAGTCCAGCTCTGACCTGTCAAAGGGTTCTTGGGGGAGGAGAGAGGAATGAGGAAGTATTAGATAGAAAGGTAGACGGTAAGAAAGACAGATTGCTTCGGGAGGGCCTTGGGTCAATACCCAGCTGCCCCAAGATTTATTCTATTGGGCTTTTTATACACTATCAAGGGGAAAGGCAAAAGACCTCCCCCTTTCAAGATCAAAGCACAATGTACAGCCAAGTATATATCCTTCAAAACACTTGGTAACCATGCCCATGGTCAAATCATCCCATTATGCAGCCCTGTGCTCAGATTCTCTATCCTTGAGTAAGGTCTTACTAGGGAGCCTCTGTGGGCCCCCACACCTACCCAAACAAAGGACTCAGCCAAGAGGTAAAGTGGGAGGCCCTGGCAAAGACCAACAGTCAAGCCCACAATGCTTGCAAACCTTAAAAATAGCTGCAGGTTTTGGTAAGACAGGGTTTCTCTGTTTAGCCTGCTCTATGCTGAAACTCACTCTGTAGACCAGGCTGGCCTTGAACTCAGAGATCTCTCTGCCTCTGCCTCCCAAGTGCTGGGATTAAAGGACACCACATCTGGCTTCCCATGTGTCCTTTTACCTGCCCCCATCCTCTTTCAGCACCTATTGTACCCTTTTATTCTCCTTTCTAGTTTTACACATTTATACTCCTTCATACACATACAAATTTAACAAAGCCTAGTGTTTCTGCTTGTTTGTTTGTCTGTTTCTCAAGACAGAGTCTCCCTATGTAGCCATGGCTGTCCTGGAACTCACTATGTATCATAAAAACATTCATATATACTCATAATTGATTCTAATATATTTACAATATCATGGTTTTTACATTTTAAAATGTAACCTTTTCTTGGACTTACTTTTCCCAAGTAAGAAAGTCTTGATTCTGCTGCCCAGTATATAAGCTTTCTCTCTAGGTTTAGGACACCTGCAGAGTTTGATAGGAATTCCTTCTTTATGTTCTCCAAGCAGCTGACAAGCCACCCCATGCTGTACTAACAAGCATCTATCATGCAGGCTGTCTGCAAGGGGAGCCCGGTGACCTGCCACCAGAGGAATTTTGAACCAATCCAACTGGATCAGATTTTTAAACTTCCTATGGGTCAGAATTCAAAGTTAATTTCTACCAGTCCCTGGGGTCAGAACAGAGAGTCAGCACATATGTGTCTTTAAAATGAAAGACTATTGTGGGATTTGCTCTCACTGTAAAGCATTACTGTCATGTTCTATGGGTTTCCCTCATTGATTTGCCAAGGTACTATAACCCATGTGACATGATATCCAAGTATCTAATATGGTTACATAAGATGAAAAAGTAAGAGTTACCTTTTATAGAGATTGGAATTAGTATATATTAGCCATACTACCTTTTCTAGGGATTAGTGTACACTACATCTGCAAATTAGCATACATTAAAGTTAAAAGTTTTAATATATGCCCAAACAAAAGAAAACCAGAATTTACAGTCCTAGTTTACAGGTTCCATTTAAAGAAGGAAACAGTCCTGAACTGCACAATAGCCCTTTACCCAACAGAGAAAGGACACTTCCATCTTCAGTGCCCACAAAACCTATGATTTCATCAACAAACATACACCTTCCTTCCTCCTGCACCTTTCGTGTGTGTTATTAAAATCTGTCAGGTGGAACTTTAGTCAATATAGGAGTCCGAGTGGTACGTAAGTCCAGATGAACAAACCTTTAGGGCCAATTCATATGTGGCTGAGCTCCAAATGTCTCTTTCTGTCATTAAGAGTTTAATATCATTCTCCATCCGCCCTCTCTGTAATGTATATAAGTCGTGGTAGTCTTCTACTATTCTGAAAGAACATTAAGAAATACCTGTTTAGATACTTTAAAAATATCTTTGTGCCGGGCAGTGGTGGCACATGTCTTTAATCCCAGCACTCGGGAGGCAGAGGCAGGTGGATCTCTGTGAGTTCGAGGCCAGCCTGGGCTACAGAGCAAATGTCAGGATAGGCTCCAAAGCTACAGAGAGAAACTCTGTCTCAAAAAAACAAAAAACAAACAAAACAAAAAATAAAAAAAAATATCTTTTTATGAAAATAGGCAACCTGGTCCTTCAAGCCTTTTTATAAGGTAACTGTAGCATACTTGCTGGATATATTGGCAACACTTTTTAGAGTGAAATTTTAAAAGTTCACATTTTGTTTACAAATATCATGGTAGTCGTGACAAGAAAAATACACCCAATGAACCTTCTATACACCATTGTATCTAATAAAAAACTCAAAATAAGCCCCAAGATATGCTCAGTGAGTACAGCATTTGCCTCGCAAGCCTGATGCCTCCCTGAGTTCAGATCCCCAGGACATTACAAAGCCAGACACAGTAGAATGCATCTGATCCCAACACTCCTCTGGTGAGATTGGAGGCAGAGACAGAACAGCTGTCCGGAAGTGTATCCAATAGCCACCCTGGAGGACACAGCACAGTGAGAGAAAAGAAAGACCCCGGCTCAAACACGGTGGGCAAAAACCGACCTCGAAAGTTGTCCTCTCACCTCTGCAGGTGTGTGCCTGCACACACAGACACACACACACACACACACACACACACACACACACAAACACACACACACACTCACCTAGTTTTTAAAGCATTTTTAAAAATTCAGAATGAAAGTAATAGCAATCCAGTAATTTTATTGTTAATCATCTTTGCTGATTGATTGGGATTCTTTAATTAAAGGCCTGAAGCCTAATAAACTATAAGTCACTAAAACTTTAAATCATATAAATTAGCTCAAGGGTAAAAGAAATTCCTTCCCAGCCACCCAAAGGCTTCTGTATAATCCTGGCTAGTTTTTAAGTCAACTTGACATAAGCTAGAGTCATTTGAAAGGAGAAAAACATCAACTGAGGAAATGCCTCCATGCTATCAGGCTGTAGAGAAGCCTACAGGACATTTTCCAGCTCATTGTGGGTGGTACCACCCCTGGGCTGAAGGTCCTGGGTACTATAAGAAAGCAGGCTGAACAAACCAAGAGCCAACCAGCCCATAAGCAGCACTCCTCCCTGGCCTCTGCATCAGTTCCTGTCTCTAGGGTCCTGCCCTGTTTGAGTTCCTGTCCTGACTCCCTTCCTCCCCAGGTTGCTTTTGGTCATGGTGTCTCATCAGAGCAGCAGTAACTCTAACCTAAGACACACCTCTTTCTTACTGTGTTCTCACATCTAGCAGAACATATCTTTTCCTTCTCATTGACACCATTTCCTCTCTTGGAATGAAAAGCCCTCTGAGTTTAGCCAAACAGAAGTTGTTGGGGCTGGCAGGATGGCAGCCAAGCACTTACTGGAAAGCCTGAAAACCTGAGTTCCACCCCCAGGACACACACACACACACACACACACACACACACACACACACACACACACACACTCATTCACTAAATAAATGTGATGGAAAGAATAAACACAGAAATTACAAAGTGACTGTGGTGGTTTGAATGGCCCCCATAGACTCAGAGATCTGAATGCTTGAACATCAGGGAGTGGCACTATTAGGAGGTGTGGCCTTGTTGGAGTAGGTGTGGTTTTGTTGAAGAAAGTGTGTCACTAGGGATGTGATTTGAGGTTTCAGATGCTCAAGCTAGGCCCAGTCTCTCTCTCTTCCTGCTGCCTGCCAATCCAGATGTAGAACTCTCAGCTCCTTCTCCAGCACCATGTCTGCCTGTGTGCCACCACGCTTCCCATCATGCTAATAATGGACTAAATTTCTGAACCCTAAGCCAGCCCCAGTTAAATGTTTTCCTTTATAAGAGTTGCTGTGGTCATGGTGTCTCTTCACAGCAATAGGACATTAGCTAACACAGTGACAGATAACACTCTCCCTCATTAATGTTACCTTTGCTCTCAGCCTTAAAGTGCACTGACATAGAATTGTACTCTTGGCATGAGGCAGGAACTACCACTTTAAGTTGTCCTCCATGTGCTCACATAATTGAGAGGAAAGCCACACAGGCGGGCACACAGGAGACCTCCTGGAGCTGTGCCTTCATGATGTGTTTACCTTTCTGCCTGACCGACAACACTTTTGTAAAAATAAGGAATACCCTAATTCATAAAAGAGCAAAACTGGGGGCTGACAGATGGCTCAGCCACAGAGAGCTCTTGCTGCTCTTGCAGAGGACTGGTATTTGGTTCCCAGCACCCAACTAGTAGCTCACAACCATCTGTAACTCCAGTTCTGGGGCATCTGACACCCTTTTCTGGGCCCCACGGGCGTTGCCCATGCATGGTACACAGACGTGTGTGTAGACAAAATACCCACTCAGATAAAAAATGAAATAAAATAGAAGAGGTTTTAAAAGTGGGGAGAAATAGAAGAAGATGCACTGACCCTGGCTTCCATAACGCACACACAGGTAATCACAAACACACAGACATACGCACCACATCACACGTCTTTTCTTAAAGAATTGAAAGCTTCCCAAAAAAGGAATGAGAAAAGCATCCTCCACACTGTTGTCTTTAGATTCAGTTAATTTATTGATATTAACTATGTTGATTAAATGCATTAGCAATTAACTACGCCATCAATAATGTATCAGTGTCGTACTAAAGAAAGAAATAAAAACACTTCCCCTTGGTGTCATTTAACCAAGAGCAAGTCCAGATTTAAATTCTCTACCTTGTGCAACCTGTTTCTTCAATCTCAGTCAGTCTGCGCTATGAGTCTGAGTATGTGCCCACCCGAAGGCTGTCCTGTGACTCTGTCCCTGTCCCTGTGTCTGTGTGTGACTGTGTCGCTGTATGTCCTGTCTGTGTCTCTGTGTGTGTGTGTGTCTGTCTGTCTGTCCCTCACAAAAGGCTTTCCTTTGTATTTATTGAATGGCACAGAATGGGGAAGGAATGGGTTACTTTACAGAAATCTTTAACAGAGTTTTACAAGGAATTAAGTCACTGACTCTAACTGACCTTAAGTTACCCAGACTACAAACACCATTATTTATCAATCAATACCCATAACAGACATTCGTGTTAGAAGATTGTTTTCAATCTCTGTATTTTCTGTTTCCAGCAAACAACATCAAAACACACATGTATTGTTCTGGGTCAGGGGCATGGAAGAGTACATAATTTGAGATTACAGTTGTGCATTAGCTTAAGTTGTAAAGGTTTGCTACTTGGGAAATCCACGGTAAGTGAGGCTCACTGTTAGAATGTTCTCTTAGAGGCAGGTTAAACTAACAGCTGAGTACACAGTAGGGTATCAGCATTAAGTCTTAAGTGATTTCAAAGTATGTTATGAACTCTGGCTGTGAGGTCCAGCAAAAGTCCCAGTCTCTTAAAATGCAAACAATACTTTCATAATATTGCATTGCTACATTAATGCTTTCATTGTATTTCAGTGAACAGACACAGATAGAGTTCTTGTCCCAACTGTCTGCCTTTGTGATCTTGCCATTAGAGTGCCAGACAGTCAAAGAAGGGATACAGACATGACATGTACACATAAGCTTCACGAACTGACACTGAACCAGAGATGACATCTGAAGGGCTCTGTTACATGTCACTTTTAACCTTTATAAAAAATAACCCTAGGAAGCAGGCGATACGGCAATCTGGATTTTACATGTGGACCAACTGAGGCCCAGGAAAGTTAGATGATTAAACATCTCCTCTTTCCATTATCAAGCAATATAAGCTTTACCAACTCACTTTGCATTCTTTTCTGCTTCCAAAAGAGCTTCTGCCAGATCCTTCTGGGCTTTCTCTGCATCCTTTGTTAATTTTCTGTCATGGGCCCGAACCAGACAAAGTTCCCTGGTTGGGGGAGGGGGGAGAAAAGAAATCTCAGACTCAAAGATGAAAACTTCCAAAAAGTTTCTACCCCAGAAATCAGATTCACACATAACCTCTGTAACTCTCTGCATCCTCTCCATTCATTTTCTGCCCGTAAAACAAAACGAAACCCCCAGTGCACTTCCTGGGTGGACTCGGTCAGGTTTGGCAATGGACTTGGACAGGTGCATCTTCTAGTACAGAGCAGGGGCAGCTGCTCTACCCCGCTCTGGTCTGCCTAGCCTGTGCTCTTCATTCTTACCACTGGTCATCTTGGTGCAAGGTTAGCCCACTAACTATATTGCTATGGTATATTTATTTTCTTTGGAATTGAACATTAACATCTACAGTCATGGAAGTGCTCTGGAAATATGATTAAGATAAATATCCATAATGTGGAACAGGTTCTTTTCTATCAAATACAGGCAGAATTTTGGTTTTCGGTTCAAATGGGTAACCTGGTCTCTGCCTCTCCACCAGTCTCCAGTTCTCTGAAGGCAAAGGAGCCTTCCTCTTTAACGTCTCCTCCCCATGGTTTCCTTTCACTCCAGGTAAAGACAGGGCTCTGGCTTCCACTTTGGGTTGAGGAGGCTCAAGGTTTTCACCTGGTCAACTCCTCAATCACATTCTTGAAGTTATACAGTTCTTGTAAGATGCGCTGGTCCATCATCCGCTGAGTTACGAAGTCTTTGTAGAATTCAATCATCTGCCGGGCAATTTGGTCAAGCATTTGCACATATCTCTCTCTACAGGAGAAAACCAAGGAAAAGGGAAAGAAAAGAGAGACAGGAAGAATGCAAGCGAGAAAGTAATGTTAGGAAAAGAAAGAGCCAATAGGCACGCATGAACTGACAGAAAAAGAAAGGAATCCAGACTCCTCTCCCACAGCACACACATAGTGAGTTAGAACCAGAGACATGGCTATTAGGAATATAAATAATATCTGAGACATAAAACAAAGATAGGATGTGTTTTAGTTTTAAATTATAAACTCTTTTGAGAGAGGAACAATGCCATATATCTATGTTTATATTAATAACCAGAGTGCCTTGAATAGAGTGAGATTTTCACATAGTTGAATTCATAGGTGACACTTTCCTCAAACTGACTAAATGTAAAAAGACACCAACTATTTAAAACAGATTAAAATGCAGCTAGGCGGTGGTGGTGCATGCCTTTAATCCCAGCACTTGGGAGGCAGAGGCAGGCGGATCTCTGTGAGTTCGAGGCCTGCCTGGACTACAGAGTGAGTTCCAGGAAAGGCGCAAAGCTAAACAGAGAAACTCTGTCTAAAAAAAAAAAAAAGCAAAAAACAAAAAAAAAACGTATTAAGATGCTTTCCCTCAAAGGAGCTGTTTCTTTTGCCGTCGGTCCTGAACTGCTTCTATCACTCTCAGCTTTATTCTGACCTTGACCGTGTGGCTGCTGTTCTGCTGCTGTTCCGATCTGGCGCTCCTCACAGTATTCTATTACTCCTCTCCTAATCCTAACCAGTCTCTAATGGCTTTGCTTCTTCCTCAGACCAGTCAGACCGCAGGGAGAGGAAATCCACACTAGAAGAAAGGGGGGTCGTACTGGGGTGTGGCTCAGTAGGGAAGGGCCTCCTGTGCCCTCACACATGATACACAATAATAATAATAATTTTTAAAAAGAAACTGATAGGCTGAGTATGACAGTGCATGCCTTTAATCCCAGGCACCAGAAGGTAGATCTTTTTGAGTTCAAGGACAGCCTGGTCTACATAGTGAGACCCCTGCCTCAAAAAAAGAATCCAGTGCATATTTAACAACAGGCTCAAGGCCAGCCTGGTCTACATAGCAAGTGCCCGGCCATCCAGGGCTACTAGCTGTACTTAAAAGATGAAGAAAAAAAAAAGGAAGGAAGAAAGAGATGTTCAAAAAGCTCTTACAACTTCTCCTGGTTCCACAAAGAGTGAAATACAGTTATACTGTCTGGCCAGTGTATTCTTTCAGCGTTTTGGACAAAACCAAAGTCTAAGAAAGATAATTATAGTAACAGTAGTATTTATTTATCATCTTTACCATTAATGACTGCATATATTGAGCACCTATTCTGTTCTCATTTTTAATTTTAACCAAGTCATTATGATTCTGAGATAGGGCTATGTGTACTCACGGGTGTGCAGGTGTACTCATGGGTGTGCAGGTGTACTCACAGGTGTGCAGTGCACTCACGGGTGTGCTGGTGTACTCACGGGTGTGCAGTGTACTCACGGGTGTGCAGGTATACTCACGGGTGTGCTGGTGCACTCACGGGTGTGCTGGTGCACTCACAGGTGTGCAGGTGTACTCACGGATGTGCAGGTATAGTCAGGGGTGTGCAGTGTACTCACGGGTGTGCAGTGTACTCACGGGTATGCAGGTGCACTCACGGGTGTGCAGTGCACTCACGGGTGTGCTGGTGTACTCACGGGTGTGCAGGTGCACTCACAGGTGAGCAGGTGTACTCACGGGTGTGCTGGTGTACTCACGGGTGTGCAGTGTACTCACAGGTGTACAGAGCACTCACGGGTGTGCTGGTGTACTCACGGGTGTGCAGTGTACTCACAGGTGTACAGTGCACTCACGGGTGTGCAGGTGTACTCACGGGTGTGCAGTGTACTCATGGGTGTGCAGGTGTACTCACGGGTGTGCAGGTGTGCTCACGGGTGTGCAGGTGTGCTCACGGGCGTGCAGTGCACTCACGGGTGTGCAGGTGTATTCACAGGTGTGCAGTGAACTCTCAGAGGTGTACAGTGTACTCACGGTGTACAGTGAACTCACAGGTGTGCAGGTGCACTCACAGGTGTGCAGGTGTACTCACGGGTGTGCAGTGCACTCACAGGTGTCGGGTGACACGGCATATGTGGAGGTCAGAGGACAATTTTCTGGAGTTGGTGCTCTCCTTCCATTTCGGATTTCAGGTCATGAGGTATGCATCACAAGCATTTCTACCCAGTGAGCCTGTGTGCATTCAGCAGCCCTGTGTTCTCATTTAAATTTCACCACAGCTAGGCATATATACCTCTAAGGCTATATAACAAGTTCGAGGCCAGCCTAAGCTACATAAGACTCTTTGAATAATCAATAATCAATTAACTCTTTCCACTGTCCTACCAAGCATTTCAATACTTGGTAGAGAGTAGGCACTCAACAAATACCACTGGTTTATGAATGAATAGTGAGAAAACAAAAGCTTGGACTTTTCCCAAGATCCTATGCCAAGATGAAGATTTTCTATAGAGATGAAAACTAAACACACATTAGTTCACAGAGATATTTTTGTAGCTTTCTCAAAAGCAGATACAAGCACATCTCAACACATTCAAAAAGATGCATGTATGGCAGGAGTACTGTGGGTCCTATCAGCTTGTGTAATCAATATGCACTAATAGTCACAATTTCAATGTTTGAAATGGGGAACCTGAAACACTCCGTTAACATTTCTAACCTGATTCTTGATAGCAGTTCTCCTCTATCTACACAATCCACGCTGACTTGACGAATCAGTTCATGGAATACTGTGTTGTAAATGGTCTGTTCCTTTTTCAACACATTTAGTAGCTTGTGCATCTGCCAGAGGTAAGTCAGATAATCAGTGCTTATCACAGGGTATCAGTCAAAATTCCTTTAAAAAGGAAATACGCTGAAAATGAGTAAGTTTTAGTAAAATCTTGGTTGGCTTGTTGAGGTTTCATTCACATATGAACACATCCAGAAATGACTTTTAAAATCCAGCTAACCTTGGTTGCTCTCATGTGACGCACCGAAACTGTAAACACTACTCCCGCATTGTACCGACTGGAACGAAGCCTCCATCTAATCACGAGTGGACATCGGAGAAACCAAAACCAAGGCACACTCTACGGACAGACTGCCCATGGACAGCAGGGTCTCAAGGGTAAGAAAAGCAAAGGACTGCTGACAAATCGTGGGGCTGACGCCAGCTACAGCAATGACAACTAAAAGCACTCTGGGATCCTGGGACCCTCGACTGGGCGGAGAGAGCTTAGAAACCCCAGTCGGGCGGTGGTTCTCAACCTTCCTAATGCTGCGACCCTTTAATACAAGTTCCTCATGGTGTGCTGACCCCCAACCATAAAATAACACTATTTTCATTGCTACTTCATAACTATTTTGCTTTTATTTTGCTACTGTTATGAATCGTAACGTAAATATTTTTGGAGACAGAAGCTTGTCAATGGGGTTACCACCCACAGGTTGAGAACCACTGAATTAGAAGGACAACTGGTGAACTATAAAATTCGAATATGAGATAATGCTATCTTATCCATTGTGTACAGATCAGATACATGGTCTTCAGACTTGGTGGCAAGTGCCTTTACAAACTGAGCCATCCTGCCATCCTTCTTTTTCTGTTTTGTTTTCAGATAAGTACTTGCTACATACCTTTAGGCCGGATTGGAACTTGAAATCCTCCTGCCTCAACTTTTGTTGGGAGCCATGCGGCCTAGTTTTGGACCAGTATATGAGTGTTTGTCCAATGGATCTCCAGAAGAGGCAAAAGCCCATGGGGACAGTGTCACTTGGCAAGGACCAGTGGACATCTGGACAGCACAGAATACTGCTGAGACCACATGGCCTGCATGCTCTCTTCTCGCTTATAACATTGATGATTCTCTTGGTGGTTTTAGTATCATTTTGTCAATTATGCATGGGATAGATATGATCATTCCTGGGAACCCCATTTTTTCTCAAATATCTTCCCCTAAAATTCTTTGGGTGCTGATGCTTCTCAGGTTTCTTGTCTGGGGATGCTAGCTGTCACTTCTAATTCAGTGCTGACAGGATTGGAGGCAGATCACCCCTACTTCTGTAAATCTGTTTTGAATGATAGTGTTCTTGAAAATGTGTGCCTATGCTTATCACCTTTAGTTTTGTAAAGACAGGAAGTAACTGGCTTGGTATTTGGCCAAGCTAACAAAATGATAAGTGTTGTTTTGGGTTTAAAGATGTTTTGATGTAAAAGTTGGGGGGAAAAAACATATTTGACATATTTGTTTTTGCTCGAGGTCAACATTGGAGGATGGCAAAAACTTGTTTGTCAGTATGGAAAAACACGCTTGCTTTTGATGTATAAATAAAGACAGCCGGAGCTATTCAGGGCCTGCCACTTGTGTGAAACTCCTCTGGTGGCTGGACACTTCATTTCTTCATGCTGAAGCCCCTTCCCCATCTCAGGAGCCGAACCCAGGCTGCGGCTGGACTGTGGCAAACCTTCGAGTGTTAAGAAGACCTATGCCAGCACGACCTACTTCAGAATAGCCAACAGAAGGTTAGGGTGTGATTCAGTTGGTAAAGCACTTACAAAGCCCTTGATTCAATCCCAAAGCACCACGTAAGTAAGGCATGTTCTGTTGACCTGTAACCCTTGGAAGATGGAGACAGGCGGATCAGAAGTTCAAGGACATCTACAAAAGTTCAAAGTCACCTCCTGATACATAGTGAATTCAAGGCAAGTCTGGGTTCCATAGATCCTATCTCAAAATAAAATATCCAGTAAAAAGATTATAAATATACCAATACAAGGAAATGAGAAATATTGGAGAATACGCAAATTACCCCAGCTGATCACTACACACTGTATAAGGAAGTATCACATTGTACTCCATAAATATGTATATGTCCATTAAAAATAAAACTAAGTAGTAAGATCAATCCATGGAGTCTTGACAAATGTAGTCACATGCCGAACAACGACACTTCAGTCAACATAGGCCAGGTCATAACCATGGTTCTCTAAGGAGTAGTGACTGAAACATCCCCATCACCTGATATTTTGATTGGCCTTCTCTGTTTGGATACAAGGATCCTTACCACAGAGTTGTAGCAGTCTACCCCACCTAGGCCTGTGCATCCAGGTTTATGTAAATCCATGCTTTTGGGTTTGCACAGTGACACCACCTAATGACGCCTCTCTCAGACACATCCCCATGACTAAACAACATAACTATACTAACAGTTGATGGTATGGTGTTCTCCATATGCCAGGCCCGTTCTAAGCACTTTAAAATGTCATTCACTCTCACTCACAATGACCCCATGTGGCAAGTACTATTATTACGTCTAATCAATAGATTAGGAAATTGAGGTACAACAGACACATGAGATGATCTACCCAGGGCCACCCACTAATAAACGGCAGAGTCAGACCTCAAACAAGCACTCTGCCTCCCAAGGACACACCCTTAGCCACAAGGTTACTCTGACTGGCAGTTACCTTGGTTGGCCCCACATACTCCTCAGTCTCTACTCCAGCCCTCTCCAACATGGTGTCCATCACGTCACCCAGCCGGATCACTTCTACTCTCTTATTAGGTTTCCTAAAGATCCAAGGGACAGACTTAGGTAAGGAGCATCCCGGGCCATCCTCAGATGAAAACGAAAATGTAAAATGTTTCAGGAATATGTACACTATGGAATACTAAGGGCAATTTAAAGGGGTAGGACCAGACATACTTATTAAGTGATATACCACTAACATAGTTTAAAACAATAAAAATGAAAATAGTGTAATTTTTTCTTAAAAGAAAAATGATTCTGACCCCCAAAGGTGCTATATAACTGCATGTGGGATGATAAGAACACAGAAAAAAAAGGAGGGACCATAAACACTAAGCTTAAACACTGGGTAGTTCACACTGTGAGAGACAAAAGATAGACAGCAAAGCAGAGAGATTCTGATGCTCAATGTACAGAACATAAAGACACACTCTAGTGCTTGAGTATCAGGCTATGCACACTATCTGAACATGCAACTGGTCACAGAAACACAACGAACTGAATCATGGTCTCACAGGCAGTTATTACCTTGGGCCTCTGCCATGACTTGAATGTTTATGTCTAATAAAATACCAAGGAAAGGGCCATGTGTGTATGTGGTTACCCTGTCCAAGAACACCTCAGAAAATCACCTATACTCACATGGACGGGAAGAGCAACAGCCTGTTCTCACTGTCTGTGAGGAGGGTGGTGTATTTGCTGCAACAAACACAATAAGAAAATGTTACTTTAAGAACACATTCTGGGCGAAGAGTATAGGTCAGTGCTGGAACAGGCCCTGGAGCCGAGAGGGAGGAAGAGAGGAGGGAGGACAGCACTCGGCCTGTTCATCAGTTAGCACACCGCATCCCCGGCACCTGGGTTCCGAAGAGCCATTTTCCACCAAATGAAACCCAGGTTCTCTAGAGAAACTGCTGGGAACTCACTCAGGAGTGAAGATAGAAAAAAATTACAACATGATAAACCAAAGACCTCAATGGAATTTAAAAGCTTGGATGTAATTTTAAAAAATCATGTGCAAGCCAGGCGGTAGTGGCGCACGCCTTTAATCCCAGCACTTGGGAGGCAGAGCCAGGCGGATCTCTGTGAGTTCGAGGCCAGCCTGGACTACCAAGTGAGTTCCAGAGAGGCGCAAAGCTACACAGAGAAACCCTGCCTCGAAAAACCAAAAAAAAAAAAAAAAAAAAAAATTTAAAAAAATCATGTGCATACAAGATCATCCATAAAAATCCACACAGAGCTATAATGACATTGATCATATGTGGAATATTTTTAGTAAAGGATATTTATTCAATTCCATTCCTTGATATATCGAAATACAAAGATTTACTTGATTCATTTAAAAAAAAAAAAAGACATGCCTGCAATCCCAACAGAGGCAGGAGAATCAGTTAATCTCATCTCCTCTACAGAGAGTTCGAGACCTACCTGAACCACATGAGACTTTTTTAAGGCCTTTGAGAAGGCGCCACAGGTAAAGGCACTTGTCACCAAGCCCAACAATCTGAGTTTGATGCCTGGAACCCACGTGGTGGAAGGGGGGCACTGACTGCCAAGAGCTGTTCTCTGATGTCACCCCCTGAACACACACACATAAACAAATACAATTAATAACAACCAAAGTGCCTTTTGGCATTTTCAAAGATGGCAGGGTGGGCTTGGGAGGTAGCTTGATGGTAGGGCCCTTGCTGGCATGTGCAAAGCCCTAGATTCAATTCCAGTACCAAAAAAAGGAGAAAGAAAAGAAACACAACGGCTTTGCAATAGTTAACTGTTATTTTAGAAAATTAAAACAAGACTCTGTTTTCAAATGCATAAATAGGAATCAGCAAATGATGAAATGACTAATGTGCAGTCTGGAACAAAGCCCTAGAGACGGGCATACAGACTACCTTCCATTGTCTGTGTGGGCACTGTTCAAACCCCTTCCACAGCTAAGAATTTGCGAGACCAGCAGTGGTGGTGGCACACACCTTTAATCCCAGCACTAGGGAAACAGAGACAGGAGGATCTCTGTGAGTTCGAGGCCAGCCTGGTCTACAAAGTGAGTTCTAGAACAGCTAGGGCTATACAGAAAAACCCTGTCTCTGAAAAAAAAAAAAAGAGAGAGAGAGAGAGAATTTGGAAGAAAGTTCTGCTTTATCTGGTTGGTTTGTTTTGGGTTTTGAGACAAGGTCTTTCTATATAGTCCAAGCTGACCTTGCATTTGCAATCTTCCTGCCTCAGTTTCCCAGGTATGCACCACTACACACAACTCAAAGTTCCATTTTTTTCAAGATTTGTTTTTTTATGTGTATGTGTATGCCTGAGTGTATGCATATGTACCACATGCTTGCAGACCCTTCAGAGGCCAGAGGAGGGCATCAAATCCCCTAGAACTGGAGTCACAGGAAGTGGTAAGCTGCCAGTGATGCTGAAACCAAACCTGGGTTTTCTGCAAGAGCAGCAAGTGCACTGAAGTGTTGAGCCATCTCTCTAGTCCTAACATATTTTTTAATAATGTATTTATTTTTATTTTATGTGCATTGATATCTTGCCTGCATGTTTGTCTGTGTGAGGGTGTCAGATCTTGGAGTTACAGACAATTGTGAACTGCCATGTGGGTGCTGGGAATTGAACCCAGGTTCTTTGGAAGAGCAGTCAGTGCTCTTAACCACTGAGCCACCTCTCCAGCCCCTAAAGTTGCACTTTTTCAAGTATTAGAAATTAAATGGTAAGAAAAGTTATGGAACTATTTAGTCATGAAAACCCAAAATTCTTGTATCCCTCCCTTGGAGTCTCCTGACTATCAGGAGATCTTTCTCACTTTGCCTTAACAAATCTGTGTTCACTGTACTCTAAAAGCAAACAGGAGAAGGAAGAAGAACCTTCTAGGGTTGTTCGTTTTGCCTTTGCTCTTGTTTTAATATCTCTTACACTGTGCCAGGGCAGCTAGCCCAAACATTTCCTGACCACCCTAGGAAAACGAGTGTGCTCTTCTCGGGTTCTTTCAAGTGTGGAAAGGAGAAAACAGTGCACGTCAGATATTCAACAAACATCGTAGTACTCACTCATCATAACACTCCAAACCCGAAACTCCTGTATTTGACACAATATGAAATTCTTCAGGGACCAAAGTGTCTGCTAATGTCTTCTGCTTATAAAGAAAAGGATGGATATATTAATAGATGAAAAACTGTACATATATAGCAAAATTAAGCAAGAATGTGAGGATAGATTTTTCTCCTGGTATAATCAATCATCACTTGGTATTTGAGAAGGATTAATTTTAGAATCCTTCAAAGATATCAGAATCTAGATCAGTGGTTTTCAACCTTCCTAATTCTGCGACACTTTAATACAGTTACCTCATGTTGTGGTGACCCAACTATGAAATTATTTTCATTGCTACTTCATAACTCTAATTTTGCTAGTGTTATAAATAGTAATATTTTTGGAGATAGAGGTTTGCCAAAGAGGTTGCACCCCAGAAGTTGAGAACCACTGATCTAGATGGTTAAGCCTATTACATAAAACAGTTTAGCGTTTACATAGGACCTACATACATTTCTTTTTTATACTGTATTGACTCTGGATTACTGTAATACCTCATACAAGCAAATTGTTGCCATGCTAAATTATTTAGGGAATTATAACAAGAAAACATTTTTATGTGTTTAGTACAGATACAATTTTTTCAAGTATTTTTTACTTGTGGTTGGTGGCATAGGTGAATGGAGAACCCTCAAGTATGGAGGGCCAACTATATTCATAAATCCTTTAGCTCTTTTTTGTCCTTGCTGTGGTGGTTTGAATGAGATATCCCTTACAAGTCTCGGACATCCCCAGTTGGTGGAACTGTTTGAGAAGGATTAGGAGGTGTGGCCTTTATTGAAGGAGGTGTATCAGTGGAATTAGCTTTAAGGTTTCAAAAGCCTTGCACCAGTGTGCCCTCTCTCTGCCTCCTGCTCTTGAATCAGCTGCTCCTGTCACCATGCCTTTGCTCCACCATCATCGACTCTAACCTCTGAAACCATAAGCCCAACGAACACTTCCTTTTATAGGTCGCCATGGTCATGGCATTTTGTCACAGCAATAAAAAAGTAACTAAGACAGAAGTTAGAACCAGGAAGTGGGCCATTGCTATGAAACTTAACTATGTTGTTTTTGGAAGAATGTAAGAGACTTTGGGACATTAGACTAGAGACATCAAGCATTGTAAGTGGAGCTTAATGGGCCATCCCAGTAGAATCTTGGAAGACTATAATACTAAAGCTATGAAGACTGTGGAGGACCAGATCACGAGGCTTCAGAGGGGAACAATATTAGGAACTGGTCTAGAGACCACTATTGTGATATTTTGGCAAGGACTGTGCCTGCTTTCTGTCCTTGCTCTAAGAGGTTAAATTCAAAAGTAATGGATGAATTTCTTTGGTGGAGGAGATTTCAAGACATCCTAACTGACTCTCTTGTGTGGTTGTTAGTAATCATTCTTATGCAGGTCTATGATGAAAAAGATCAAATGGGTCAGAAAGATATGGAAACTATACAGTTTGAGGAGAAAAGGAGCACCAGGAAACGTAATGTTACGGCCAAGGGGTGATGAAAGGGATAAGAAGATTAGGTAGTGCCTGCCCCCACACTGGAATACCACATGAGGGATGCTCTTAGCACTTGGGAGGCAGAGTAGGCAGATCTCGAGGAGAAGGAGACTAGCCTGATTTCCATAGCCAGGGCTACACAGAGAGACCCTATCTGGAAAAAATAAATAAATAAAAGGGGAGGAGGAGGAGAAAGAACAGGAGGAAGAAAGGAGGGAGGAGACGAACAGGAGGAGGAGGACAGTCACCATCTACAACTCTATGTGTGGACTTTCCAGGGGAGGGAGAATACACCCTCCCCTGATTTTGTACTTTTAAAATCAGTGAATACTTACTAACTGGAACAGTTAACTGTGGCCCGGGAAATGGCTTAGAATACCTTTGCTCTTTTCCTAGTAAATGCAGTTTTAAAGAAATAACTGGGATGTACTGTAATGACAATGGAGCCCGAAGGCTGTTGTTATAATGAGCCAAATGTTGCTTTAGAGTTTAGAGAAACAATTAAAAAGCCAAGAGGGAGAGAAAATTCTTCTTCCCATACTTACGTTATGAGGCACCATGGCACTGTCCTCGGGCTCTAGGGACTTGTTTATACCTGGGGGACAAAGCTTCTTCTCCTTGGTCTCTCCTTTTTCATATTTAACATCATACAGAAAAGAAATATCCCTTAAAAATTAAGAAAATACGTTTTAGAAGTAGATTTTTCTTAGGGGGTATACAGCCACACACTTCCTACTAGTGGGTAAAATATGAATTGTGGTCAGCAAAACTGCTCTCATTACTTCTTGTCCCCTGCTTATCTGATTTTTATTATTTAAAATTATTTAAAAACATAGGGAAAAGGAAGTGTGATTTCCATTGCATAAATGTCCTTTGGTCCTCAGCCAGCCCCGTTTCAGAAGATGAGCCCATTACTTTAGAATGATGACAGCAGTTTACCAACCAAACAGTCCTCACAGTTTCCGTGACAGCAGCGATGCAATGCGGGGAACCATCTGGAGAAACTGAAGCTGTAGCACTGTCGCTCTAAGAGACTGGCTCTTCACTTTGACCATCTGCCACTTTTAGCAGCGCTGCCGTATAAGGACACTTCAGAGATCACAGCTGTCAGAACGCGCAGCCAGGCCCAGATTCCCCGGAAATCCATAAGCTTCCAATAAACGTTGCCTAATTAAGGCAGACTAGTATTTGGTCCGGACTCTCTGGGCAGAGCAGCTTAAATCACAATGGCTGTGGTTACTGCCTCATGAGCAGAGAGGGGAGAAAGCAACCAAGGTGGGCAGAAGGGCCCTGGCTTGGGGAGGACACTCCCTCAGGGTCCACAGCCTTTGGAAGAGGGGCTCGATCACCTGACTGCTGACCTTGGGTTTAGCACCCAGCACCAGCTTACTGAATGGAGGCCCCTCCATAGCCAGAATCCAAGCGTCAAGGGTGAACCTGCCGATACCTGGACCAGCACTTTCCAACCCCTCTAAGACTAGGGCATTGGACAGGAGTCTGCCCACATTCTTCTCTTCAGCATCACAAATTTCTCATTCACATCATTAACTCTTTCCTCTCCTTCAACCTCAGATGAATCAGTTCTTTTTCTCATGGTTATTTCTGCCACATGTGTGCAGGACTCCATCTTGGTCCACAGCCCCAGAATGTCATTCCACCAGTGATAACTTGTGTAGAAAGCTCCCACTGCCCCATTAAGACACTCCCTGGCCTGTTTGCTCTGTGTCACTCTGATACAATACTGATCAAAACCACCCTGAGGAAGGAAAAAGCTCGTCTGGCTTACAGGTTCTGGACCATCACCCAGGGAAGCTGAGGCAGGGACTAGAGAGGAAGTGTGCTGACTGGCTTGGTCTCCATGGGTTCCTCAGTCTGCCTTTTCACACAGCCCTGCCTGGGGAGGGTACTGCTTCTAGTGCGAGGATCACCAATCAAGACAATGCCCCACAGACATGCCCACGGACCAGTCTGATGGAGGTAACTCCTCAACTGACGGTCTGTCTTCCTAGGTGGCTCTGGTTTGTGCCAAGCTGACAGAGACTCTCTAGTACATCCATAACAAGTCTTTTCCCTTCTAACACTCCTTCCTTGACCATGCATTGCTACTATGCCGTTTTGATGTATCTAGCTAGAATCCGACTATCTATCATCTATGTCTTTCTGTTAAATATCAAACTTCCTGATGTTACCTCGCAGAAGAGATGCCCCTCCCTTCTGAATCCATGCCCCAGAAATCTAGTGCGGACTTCCCTTTACTAAGCTGATCTTTTATTGGTTTTCTTCCACTGCCCAGAATACTTTCCTGGTGTGACTACTCCTCCTGATCTCTTGTGTTTGGGACACTCCTGGTTCTTCTGTCTACCCTAGCTGCTACTCCTCGGAACTTTCTGAGCCCTCCTCCTCCTCTAGAGATGCTCCATAGTGTTGTGTCCTTGTTACCCTAACACTTTCCTTTCTGATTTCTTCTTTGGTGAAGCCATCAACCCCGCAGTCTGTTTCACCATCCGCTATTGGCTAAGGCTGTCATCAAGATCTCAGCATCAGTACTCCACCCTCCCATCCCTTGCCCTCCGTATCCAATCCACTGCTGACGTCGATGAATTCTACAGTCTCCTCATGTCACTAGAGTGTCGGTGTCCAATCCACTGCTGACGTCGATTAATTCTACAGTCTCCTCATGTCACTAGAGTGTCGGTGTCCAATCCACTGCTGACGTCGATGAATTCTACAGTCTCTTCATGTCACTAGAGTGTCGGTGTCCAATCCACTGCCGACATTGATTAATTCTACAGTCTCCTCATGTCACTAGAGTGTCGGTGTCCAATCCACTGCTGACATTGATTAATTCTACAGTCTCCTCATGTCACTAGAGTGTCGGTGTCCAATCCACTGCTGACGTCGATGAATTCTACAGTCTCCCTCATGTCACTAGAGTGTCGGTCCTCCTAGTTCTTACCAACAGCACATCTCTGGCCCAATTGTCATTACTTCTGATGTGACTCCCCAGGTCTCCAGGGTATGTCCTCTATCCTTCTCTCAGACTCAGCTCCCTAAGGCATCAGTATTTCATGTGGAATACTTTCATTTGTCTCTGTCCCTCCATCAGCTTTAGAGTAGACTTTGGCCTGCTTTGTGCTCACTGTTATTCCCTCTCCTCCGTATTGCTGCTGCTGCTGCTGCTGCTGCTGCTGCTGCTGAAGACACTGGCCATTTTGCTGACCAGCTATCCATTCCCTTTCATCAAAACCAATCACTTTCCTTTGAGTAGGTGTCTCGTTCCTCTGTAAGAAGGTCTCTCAAAAAAGGTTCTGGGGGCCAGCAAGATAGTTCTGTGGGTAAAGACACTTGCCACACAAGCCTGAAGACATGAATTTGATCAGTAGGACCCAAATAAAGGTAGGAGAATCAACTACATAAAATTGCCCTTTAACCACAAGTGAAGTGTGACACACACACACACACACACACACACACACACACACACACACACACACACATCAACACATCAACACATACAACACAATACTAATAAAATATAATAAAGTATTTTTTAAAGATCATGTAGGACAAGCAAGATTACTCAGTGGTAAGAACAATTACTAAACAAGCTGAGTTTGATTGCCAGAATTCACAGTGCAGGGAGAAAACAGACTCAGGAGAGTTGTCCTCTGCTCCCCACATGCATACTGTGGTAGGAGCACACACATGCAATAAAAAAATAAGCATATCAATAAAAATATAAGTAAATGAAGTCACAGTAGTGACTTGGGTCATTTGCATTGAGAATATGTCATGTGCAAGGGTCATAACAGAAAAATAGTAAATATTACTGCACACATTTAAAAAAATTTTTTGAGGCTGGGTGGCAGTGGCACACGCCTTTAATTCCAGCACTCGGGAGGCAGAGCCAGGAGGATCTCTGTGAGTTCGAGGCCAGCCTGGTCTACAAAGCGAGATCCAGGACAGGCACCAAAACAACACAGAGAAACCTTGTCTAGACAAACCAAAAAAAAAAAATTATTTGACAAAAAGCACCCAAAGCATGGAGGAGGGCACTGCAGAAGGGGGCAAATTAGAATCAAGTCTCATGACACACGTAGGAAAACACCCTAATGAGTCTGGTATGGGAGCACATGCCTTTAGTCTCAGCTCTCAGGGATCAGACAGGTGGATCTTTGCTTGAGGCCAGCCTGAGCTACATAGACTAGACCAGCCAAAGCTACAGAGTGAGACCTTGTCTCAGAGAGAGAGAGAATGAGAGAGAGAAAGAGTCATATTGAAACTTAATTGAATAAATAAAAGGTTTTTCTTTGTCAGCAGAAAGTATTGTGAAGTCTCTGTGAAACTGGCCATGTGACCATCATATTCATGTCAGGAAGCAGCAGGCACTACATTCCTAGCAGCACCAGGTTTTATATCCTCCCTACCTTTTTATGGAATTATACAATTATGCACAATTCTATATCTGTTATATTCTTCCTTAGATGTGGTGGGCACACCTTTAATCTCAGCACTTGGGAAGCAGAAGCAGGCAGATCTCTTGAATTCAAGGCCTGCCTGGTCTACATACCAAGGTCTAGGTTAACCAGGGCTATACAGTAAGACTATATCTCAAAAAAAAATTTTATTTCCTTATTATTAGTGGGGATGTGGGTGTATGTGATGTGGGTTCGTGTAATGTGTGTGTGTGTGACATGGGTGTATGTGATGTGTGTGTGTGTGTGTGTGTGTGATATGGGGGAGTGTGATGTGGGTGTATGTGACATGGGTATCTGTAATAGGGATGTGTGATGTGGGTTGTGACGTGGGTGTTTGTGATATGGGAGTGTGTGATGTGGGTGTGTGATGTTTGAGTGTGATGTGAAAGTATGATGTGGGGTGTGATCTAGGGTGTGACATAGTGGGGATGTGTGAAGTGGTTATGTGATGTGAGGGTGTGTGATGTGGGTGTGTGCATGACTTGTGGGTGTTATGATGTGGGGGTGTGATATGGGGGTGTGTGATGTGGGTGTATGATGTGGGTGTTTGTAATGTGGGTGTGGGTGATGTGAGTGTGTGACATGGATGTGTGACACAGGTATGTGTGACATGGATTGTGATGTGAATGTGTGATGTGGGTGTGTGTAATTTGGGTGTGGCTGATGTGTGTGACATCGGTGTGTGGCATAGGTGTGTGTGAGACATGGATTGTGATGTTGGTGTGTGATGTGGGTGTGTAAGTGTAGACACAGAGACACCACAGCACTCACATGGCAGTTGAGAACCATTTGGGGGAGTCCGTTCTCTCTTTTTAACCCATAGGAATGGGCTCAGGTCACCAGGCTGCAAGGCAATTGCTTTTCCTGCTGAGCCATCTTGCTGGCCTCAATAATTTTTGTAGCAGTCAGTTTTCTGCATTCGATCATTTCCTGCTTAAAATCCCGAGGTCTATTGTGTGCGTTGAACACTGACTGAGGAGGCCATCAGGGAAGACTTGAGAGCTGAATGCCTTGTCATTTGTGTGTCATTGCTGTGCTCTGAATACCGGCAGTTGTGCACATCACTTTCTAGTGTGCAGCTGTCACAGCCCTGAAACGGAGCTGTCGGGATGCTGATGAAGATGTGGTATGGATGCCTGGAAGAGCCATGCCTGAGCTTGTGCTGCCTGGTTTCTGTTTGGTTTTGTTAACTTGACACAAGCTGGGACTATGTGGGAAGAGAAACCTCAACTGAAAAAATGCCTCCATCAGATTGCCAGTAAGACATTTTCTTGAATAACGATTGAGGGAAGGCAGAGGCAGGCGGATCTCTGTGAGTTCCAGGTCAGCCTGGGCTACAGAGCAAGATCCAGGACAGCCAGGGCTACATAGAGGAAACCCTGTCTCGAAAAACAAACAAACAATAAGTAGATAGATAAGAAAAGAAAAGAAAGAGAGGAAGGGAGAGAAAGAGGAAGGAAAGGAGAAGGGAGGGAGGGAGGGAACTGAGCAAACCAGGAGAAGCAAACCAGTATTCAACCACGGCTTCTACCACCACGGCTTCTACCTCAGCTCCTGCCTCCGGGTTCCTGCCCTGACTTCCCTCAGTGATGGAGTGTGACCTGAGAGCTGTAGGATGAAATAACCCTTTCCTCTCTAAGTTGCCTTTGGTCACAGTGTTTTATCACAGCAAGGGACACCTAAGACAATCCTCATCGGCTGTTGACAGAACTCCCCCCTGGAGGTCATGGGACTGGGGCTGTGTCCTTATGGACACCAGCTGAGCCGTCCTTACGTTTCTTGACCTGTCCTTCCATTCGGCCATCCTTGTTTGGTCTCATCTCCTGACCCACTCCTTCACCTTCCTTTTCTGCTTTCCGAGATGTGTGCTGGGCTCACAAGCAATTGGGCACAATTTCTCTGTTTTTAACCTTCCTGCAAAGTCTCCTGCTGCTGAGGTCTATTCACAGGTTCCAGGGTTACAGTGAGGATGGGCAGCTGAGGTGTGTATTCACAGTTCTGGGGTTACAGTGAGGATGGGATGCTGAGGTGTGTATTCACAGTTCTGGGGTTACAGTGAGGATTGGGTGCTGAGGTGTGTATTCACAGTTCTGGGGTTACAGTGAGGATTGGGTGCTGAGGTCTGTATTCACAGTTCTGGGGTTACAATGAGGATGGGCTGCTGAGGTCTGTATTCACAGTTCTGGGGTTACAGTGAGGATGGGCTGCTGAGGTCTGTATTCACAGTTCTGGGGTTACAGTGAGGATTGGGTGCTGAAATTTTTATTCAGTTTCTGGGGTTACAGTGAGGACTGGGGTGGTGCTGCTACTTGATGGCCATATTTTAAGAACTTCCACTCAGAAATCGTTTGATAGTAAACCTCTTGTGTCAGTTTCCCACCATAATCAGATATAACTAGTTAACTTTTCAAAGTACTTTAACCATCGCATAACTGCTAATTCCAACACTAATAATTACAGCTGTGATCTGAATGCACAAAATACAAAATTTGAGACACTAAAGCCACCCAGCCAAGTTTCTACTGTAACACTGCGGAACAGCAGAGCCATACCCCACCCCTTAAACATTTGACATGCTCCACCCTCCACTCTCTCATGTCTCCTTTTTCATAGTGCTCAAGGCACAGAAAACTGAGCGACTCTGTCCATCCCTTCTCACCCATGAGAACAGTAACTTCCATAAGATTAAATACCCTACTAAGTGTGGATGGACTTCTGGAAGAACATGGCATGTAAGCAAGGCATGCAGGGAGATTTTGATAAATGGAAAATACTTTCAAATGAATAAGCCACAATCTTCATGGAACAAAAATTGACAGCGTATTTTTGGGAATGATACAAAATAATAAATAGCATTTGGTGCTTTACTCTGAAACAGTGTAAAAGTTTAAGGGTTCCCCTTGAAAAGAGCCAGGAAATTAACCTATTCGTCAAGACTTTCCATGTCATGTTTCCTCTAAGATGTACAAAATGCATGGACACCTACAGATATAAAATTTGCCAAAGGCCTTCTGTTTGATGGATTTATCCTTCTTAGTATAGTGCAAAAAACCAGGACACTAGAGAAAGAAGTGTACAAACAAGTGTGCAAAAAAGACAAACAAACCAACAAACCAGGCCTGGAGGAGGACTCAGTGGATAAAGGTGCTTGCCAGCAAGCCTGACAGCCCCAGTTCAATATGCAGAACCCACATGGTGGAAGGCCAGAACCAATTGCTACAAGCTGTCCTCTGGTCTTATACATGGGACATGGCATATACACACTAAATAAATAAACAAACAAACAAACGAATATGGCCAGGCAGTGGCGGTGGCGGTGGCGGTGGCGGTGGCGGTGGTGGTGGTGCATGCCTTTAATCCCAGCACTCGGGAGGCAGAACCAGGCGGATCTCTGTGAGTTCGAGGCCAGCCTGGTCTACAAAGCAAGATCCAGGAAAGGCACCAAAACTACACGGAGAAACCCTGTCTAGAAAAAAACAAAAAAATGAACGTGTGTGTGTGTGTTTAAAAATTCACGCCTTTAATCCCAGCACTCGGGAGGCAGAGCCAGGCGGATCTCTGTGAGTTCGAGGCCAGCCTGGGCTACCAAGTGAGTCCCAGGAAAGGCGCAAAGCTACACAGAGAAACCCTGTCTCGAAAAAAAAAAAAAAAAAAAAAAAAATTCAGCAAACCAAAATGTACAGCCAGTATTCAAATCTACCGTACTGATAATAACTATACATATATCCTTTCAAAATTATCACTTATCAATGATACTGCAAGTTTCACAATCCATAATTCTACAGTGCTGTCAGTCCACCCACACCCAAGATTATCACCCAAAATGAGAAAACAATTCTATCTATATGCATATACCCCATTCGCTTCCTTCTTTACCTTCCAGCTGCTGTTACGGAGACAGGATGATCAATCAGATATTTGAATTTATTCCTTCGAACAGGGTGCTGCCAGACATGGTCTACAATACGTGGAAGAGCACCCTGTTGGAAAAGAAGTGAAAACACAATGTCCAGCAGAGGGCACTCTAGTCAAAGAAAAGTTACCAATTTGAATATTTACAGCAAGGGCATTTGAACGCTTTAGAGAGGAGCAGAATGCTTATTCAAGAACAGGTTGAAAGGCAAATTAGAATATTAAGAGAGCATCAATAATATGTTCGGTAAGTTTACATAAAAACAGGTTAACAGAAACACTAAAGCAATGGAAACATTTGCTCAAAAGACCTGAGGGCTTTTTGCTTTTGGTTGTTTCTGGTTTTGTTTTTTGAGACAAGATGTCATTGTGTAGCCCAGTCTGGCCTGGAACTCATGATAATCCTCCTGCTTCAGCTTCTGAAGTGCTGGAATTACCAGTGCCAGTCACCATGCTCAGCAAGATCTGAAGTTTCTAGTTGGCAAAATGGCGCAGCAGCTGAAAGCTTACAGTCTGGCGACCTGTGTTTCTCTCCCAGAACCCATGGTGGAGAGAGAGAACCAACTCCCAGAAGCTGTCCTTCGACCTTGTGCCCAAACTCACACAGGAACTAATAATAAAATTTTTTAATTTAAATCTGACTTTTAAAGAGCATCTGAAACGTTCAACTTATGCTCACCAAACACTTAATGAAATAAATACAAAAAAAAAAAAAAGATAATGACTCCCAATGTTCTACGTATGTGTATACTCACCTTTGGAGCTTTAAGTTTCTTAGCAGGCAATAAGTTTGCAGGACATGGACCAGCATTGGCTGCATAGTTCAGAGAGAGAAGAACTTCCTCGGGGATGAATTCATTCGGAAGGGAAGAAGGAAGGGGTTTGACATGGTCCACCATGACTTTTTTCTCCTTCAGCTCAGGAAGGACTAAGAAAGTAACAGGAAAGAAAAACTTTCAGTGGAATGTTCTAGAGAGCTAAAGCTCCCCAGACTGCCTTATCAGTCTCATATGTACTTCTAACAGTGGACAGACAACAAATAATACTCAAAGCACAGAATAGCATCCAGTCCATAGAAGGGTGGAGGAAGAGAGGATGCATGAGAACATGAAGAGAGATACAAATTAAAAAGCTGGGCTAGAGTGAGTGTACAGCCAGCTGGACAACGGAGTGAGACTCCCCTATTTCAACGTAAAAAGTACACAGGGAGCTAGCTCAGGGTAGAGTCCTTGCTTAGTGTGTATATGTCCCTAAGTTGAATCATCCGTACCTCCTAAATAGTAAAAGGTTGATGGGACTGTAGCAAAATATAAATAACAAAACAAACAAAACAAAACCCCCTAAGTGACAGTAAGACTGGAGAAAGCGTCAGTCTAAGAGTAAGGATTCTTACTCTAGTACAAGTGTACAATTATCATAAATCTTCCCCTTTTTTTTTCTTTTGAGACAGGGTCTCACTATGTAACTCTAGCTGTCCTGGAACTTACTCTGTAGACCAGGCTGGCCTCAAATTCACAGAGATCCACCTGCCTCTGCATGAGCCACAAAGTCCAGCCCCAAGGATGAAAATTTTAAGGACTCTCAGAAAAATTCTTGAATCTTATACAAATAGGCATATAGTACTGTGTTTGTCTTATCCACACTACTACGTTTTTTTAAATTCTCTTAAAGTCAGAGAGCAAGGAGCCAAACAGGTGGTGTTTCATACAGCTGTTAGTATTTAAACGAAGATGAAACAGGATTCTGCCTTGGTAATGGCTAGGTTGTCCGAGGAGAAGGGGAGAATGGATTGCATTGCAAAATCTGTCAGTGGCTATGATGGTTCTGTTTGATGGTTCTGATGATGCTGAAGTTTACCTCTTGTCTCCTCCTTGACTACAGACAGTTTTGACTGTTTGACCTCAGAGGTTGATGGGGAGTTCAGTGAAGTTCCCGACGCTTTGCGGAGAGACATAATGAACAATGCCTCCTATCACTCCCAGAGCTAATCCTCCAGAAAATTAATTCAGAAACAAATCAAAATCGCGCTGCGTCTTTCAGGCCGCCCCGTAGTTCTGTAGGCAAAACAAAAGCAAATGAACAAGGAGGCCCCTTGATGGTTTATGTTCAGATTGGAACTCAGAATTCATCTAGTATGGTGTCCCTTCTTTGGGGAGTGTTCTCTCAGATAACCTGCCATGGTCGAGGAGGGGTACGGATGAGTCAGAGTCAGGGCCTAGCCCGGGAAAGTCAGGGTCCGCCGCCCTACAGACGGCGGGCGGGTCAGCGCGGCCCAGCTCCCCGGGCTCGAGTGGGGCAGGGCTCCCACGGCCCCGTCAGCAGAGGCCTGTTGACGGTCACCCGCAGCTGTACCCACAAATTGTGTTTCCCGCCAGGCCTCGGTTGGTAGGCCCCTTCCTGGAACGCCCTGCGTCGTCATAGCAACGCAAGACCCCGTGTCCTAGCAACCTGTGGTCCGGGCTGCCTCCGGCGGCGCCATCAAAAGAAAAGACCGGTGGAACAGTCTCTACACTATCTAGCTGTTTCCGTGTGCTTTTAGTCGTGCGTAGTAACAATAAGGAAGTCAAATATTTAATCTGGCTGTTGCCTCGGAACGGGACCGTCTCTCGTGGCCGCGCTTCACTTCCGGCTGCAGACTGCGCAAGCGCAGACCCAACTGGCTGCCGCGCTCCCTTAGAAACGCCCCTGTGGCCCCGCCCATACGATAGGGTGTTGTAGAAGTCCTTTTCGTCCTTGAATCCGTCTTTATTGTTTTGCGTTTTTTCTAAATATCCCGGGTGGCTTCAAACTCACAGAGATGCTCCTGCTTCTGCCTCCCAATTGTTGGGATTAAAGGCATGCGCCACCACGCCAGGCCCTACCAGTTCATTTTCACAGCCTGTGGGCAAGATTTCATTTTCATCTTTGGGTGCTCAGATAGGAGCCTGCAAATCTCCTTGAAAGGAGTCCGTGAGGGGGAAGTAGGCTAGTATTTGTATTTAATGTAGCTTTATTAAAACATGAAGGTTTAAATTAGCACTTTTTTTTAAGGAGTTGACTGCATAGCCCGGGTTGACTTCAACCTTTGCAATTCTCCCGCCTCTACCTGGAGTGCTAGGTTCACAGGCATGCACCTGGATTAATTTGGAACTTTCCAGAGAGATACTTTTTAGTATCGAAGAAATTTAGTTACAGCTTAGACAAACACTTCCCAAGGGAATTAGTGATTTAAAAAAAAAAAAACTATGAGAATAATTACCTTTCTCACTCACTGTACAGTAAATCAGGCTCCTACCAAGAGCAAATTGGGCAGCCATGCCAACCTTGAATATGGCATCCCATGAGAGCTTTCTCTTGTTAAATTTACAAACTGTTATATTAATTTTGTAAATCAGATGCACAAACTTGGTTGAGTCCAAATGGACCCTAAGCTTCCATAAATTGCCCCCCCCCCCCCCCCCCCCCCCCCCCCCGCCCTGTGCTGTTTCTTGACTCCACACGGCAATGAATAGCCAGGCACACTTAATTTCTGAAGCGACTTCCCCAACCCACTCCCTTGCACTGCAGAAATAGGTGGGAACAGTTTGGTCATAGAGGGTAAGCAGAGTGACTTTGTGCCTGTTGCTCCCATAGGTGTTTCAATGGGAAGAATGTTGTGATGTCAACTACTGATCATGATGCACTCCTACAATCAGTAGATTCTTTGGGGAGAAGATGCCAGTACACTTGTGCTGTTACAACAGAATACAAGATGGGCAGTCTGTGGAAAAATAGACATTTATTTCGCAGTCGTGGAGACTGGGAAGAGCCAAGTGCTGGCAGGTCCAGTTTGATAGCTCAGTAATCTCAGCCCTTTGGAGGTTGAGACCTGGGCTACAGAAACTGTCTCAACCCCCAGCCCCACTTCACCTCCCAAAAAGGAATGGCCACAGTAAAGAGAAAGCTAAAGAGTCAATACCACTGCAAATACAAATCGGGCCCTGTTTATTTATTTGTAACTGTAACATAATTCCCTCCATTAGCCTAGGTAAGAAAGTCCTCAGTTACTTGTCTTCTCCTTCAGCTACTGTTGGCATAAAAGCTGCCTGAAGCTAAGATGAACAGCACTTACGAACATGAAATAATAATGCATAAAAGTTACTTGCACAACAGAACTAGGATATATGTTAGCTTACACGCCTCCTCGCTAGTGGCCCTGGCTGACTTAGAACTCATAGTAGACTGTGCTAGCCTTGAACCTGCAGCCATTCTCCTGCTTCTGCCTCTGAGTGATGGCACATGCCCGCTAGTGTGCTCTTCTCTACCTGTGATGCTGAGGATGCTCTAAAGCATCTTGGCTATCACGTTTAAGAATGGCCTAAAACCCAACTTTTTAAATTATGCATTGTGGGCCCACATAGTGTTGTGTAACTGAATATGGAATAGGGGAAAAAAAACAGTCAAAAGCTTCTGAACCCACAACAGCCAAAACTATTTCAAAAATCAAATGTGTGATGAAACCAGTGTCTGTAGCAGTGCTCACCCAAGCTGTATCATGTCAACTCACTGTGGACTTAGTTCTAAGTATACAATGTGAACACACCCCACTGCATACAGCAAGCCCTGTGACCCCAGGAATGTCACTTCAAACTCTTCTGCTTGGATTTCAGACTGTGTTATTATAATGTTTGACTTTAAAGATTTATGTTGTGGAATAATCTTTTTGTACACTGTGAAAAAATGTCACTCAGATTGGTTTAATAAAAAGCTAAATGGAGCCGGGCGGTGGTGGCGCATGCCTTTAATCCCAGCACTCGGGAGGCAGAGCCAGGCGGATCTCTGTGAGTTCGAGGCCAGCCTGGGCTACCAAGTGAGTTCCAGGAAAAGGCGCAAAGCTACACAGAGAAACCCTGTCTCGAAAAAAAAAAAAAACAAACAAACAAACAAAAAAAAAGCTAAATGGTCAATAGCTAGGCAGAATTTTGGGGGCAGAGAGAATGTAGTTATATATAGTTTTACTACGTTAAGGTTAAAAACTTCCTTTTTAATTAAACAAAAAGGGAGAAATGTTGTGGAATAATCCTTCTGTACACTGAAATTATATATTACTTTCATTGGTCAATAAAGAATGTGATTGGCCTTTAGCAAGGCAGGATAAAGTTAGGCAGGACAGTCAAACTGAGGATACTGGAGTGAAGAAGGGTGGAGTGAGAGTCATCAGTAGACAAAGAAAGAGCAAGATGGGCATGCTGTACTAAAAAAAGGTACCAACCCACATGGCAAAGCATAGATAAAAAATATGGGTTAATTTAAGTGTGTTAGCTAATAACAAGCCTGAGCTATTGGTCAAGCATTTATAATTTATATTAAGTTTCCAAGTCAGTTATTTGGGAAGTGGCTGCCAGTTATTTGGGAACAGTCAGGACAGGACATAAAGGAAAACAACTGTTAAACTTTGCCAAGATAAGGTGGGACAGTCCTTCAAAATCTCTGCTTCATAGAAAAGTCTGTCAGACATTCTGCAGGACATAAAGGAAAGTGACTGCTGAACTTTGCAAAAACAAGGTAAGACAGTCCTTCAAAATTCCTGCTTCATAGAAAAGTCTGCCAAATATTCTGCAGGATACAAAGGAAAGTGAATGCTGAACTTTGGCACCATCCTTCAAAATTCCTGTTTCATAAAAAAGTCTGTCAGATATTCTAGGCCTGCAAGCCAAAGATGGATATCCCAATGTTGCAGAGGAACCTTAGGTGACTGTCCAGGTAGCCAGATGTCTATCATTTCTATAGGTTTGGAAGTGGTTTGTACTGCACTTCCTGTTTACTCAGGTAATATTATATCCTTCTGGGGTCCTTGATGAAACTGAAGACTACATAGTTATACTTTTCCTTAGTTATGATGGAAGGTAAATTAAGTACAAAACTTTGGCCTCACCAAGATAGGATTAATAATAGAATATTTTATCTGAATTTGTGAAATACAAATGGACTGAACATTGTAAATGTAATTACCTGATAGTTGTTCTTATTGTTTTACTATGCTAAGAGTTAAAACCTTTCCTTTTTATTTAGACAAAAAGGGGGAAATGTTGTGGAATAATCTTTTTGTTCGCTGTGAAAAAATGCCATTCAGATTGGTTTAATAAAAAGCTAAACAGCCGGTAGCTAGGCAGGATTTTTGGGGTAGAGAGAATGCTGGGAAGAAGCGTGGAATGGCCAGCGGATGCAGATGGGAACAGACATGCAAGAGGTAAAAGCCATGAGTCACATGGCAACATGTAGATGAATAAAAATGGGTTAAGTTATAAGAGCTAGTTAGAAACAAGCCTAAGCTATTGGCTGAGCTTTTGTAATTAATAGTAAGTCTCGTGTCATTACTGGGGGGTTGTACATTACATGTATGTGGGTATGTGCATATGTTCATATGAAGGTGTCCCAGGTGCAGAGGGAATTAGATTCTATTGTGGGAGCCTACAGCGTCTCCAGTTTGTGGTTTGATTTCCATCTTGACTCAAGGTCAGAGTCCAAGTTTGTTTTGCTCTGCAAGGCTTACAGGATGTTTGGACAAAGGCATGGTTACCAGATGTCTTACTCTCCAAGGCTGTATAACAGGATGCTTTGCCGTAAGGCATGGTTACTAGGTGTTTTGAGAATTAAGGAGGTGTTTATGCTTGTTTGTACCTTGAACCATGGTGTCCCTGAGAAAGGAGGTCTTTTTGCCTCCTGTTTTGGGTATAAAAAGGCCCTGAGAAATAAACTTGGGCTGCTGTGGTATTGACTCAGAGCCCCCCTGAAGCTATCCTGTGTCTGTCTTTTTCTTTTACAACATCTACATCTCTATTTTACCTATTATTTCTCAGTCCTTACTCCCCTATTCAGGACTGTTCGACAAGTAGGGTGGGGCCCAGCACTCTATACACATTCATACACTACACAACTCAAGGTTTTTTCTAAGTATATTTATTTACCATATTCACATATGCAGTATTTATGAACACACAATTTAAGAAATTTTCAGAAGAATGTGAGCAATACATTTTAAACAAATTCATCTCACCAGTGATTAAAGCAGGAAGAGGTAATCAAGATTCAGTAGGAAAAACCAAGCTCTCTTTAATCACTCACACACACACACTTTAAAAACAACTTTTGCTGCTATGACCTAGGACACGCAGACCTGAGATACACAGGCAGTCACTGCACAGTCCAAATGACAGAGCCTAGACCAGGGCTCCACCTCTCTTCACACCCAAGAATCAGCACATTGACCCACAGGCTACATCTCTAATGACTAGGTGTTGGGGCTGCCTATTTCAACAATATTCAAAACAGTACAGCTACCCTTCAATAAGACACACACCACAAGACCCTGTGTGCCATCCACTCACCTGAAGATAAGTGTTCCACCAGGGTGGGGCATGTTGAAATAGAGACAGGAAATGTGTAAAGACTGAGGATGATCATATAAAAAGGGGAATATGTGCATCTTTCCATTTAAACACACAACTTGAGACAGTTCTGAAAATAATCCATTCTTTTTCTCAAGTCTAAATTAGCTATTTAAAAGCATTTCACAAAATAAAAAAAAAAATCCAATAAGGATTTAGAAGACTCCAGAACTCTCCTACCAACTTACAGCCTATTGTTTCTATCTGACGATTTCTCAGCTGCCTATCAAACTGAGAGTAAAGAAGGGCTCTGATTTGTTTCAACAACTAGCTGTATTTATTTCCTATATAAACGGGGCTTCTGTGTTTTATTTCGACAAAGGGTCCAGCACATCGCCTGATAGAAACTGCATGGGTGTTAAAAACAATCAAATCCTTACACAACTGTCGCATGTCCCACGCCTCAGAACCTTCTCCTAGTTCCTTCAAGGTCAGGTCATAAATGTCCAGAGACTGAGATTTCCTTGCCACTGTGAGTAGTTACACATAGCATTACAAAAATTTTGTGGAAGCTAAATTACTGCATAAGATTAGTAAGCAAAGACACTTACACTTTATTAAAAGTAATGAGCTATCTTCAGCTAAGAAAATTATTCCAAGGCTGGGTGGGGCTAGCTCGGTGGTGGGGTGCTCACTCAGCATGCACAAGGCCATGGGTTTAATCCCCAATTCAGCACAAAAAAGAGATTGATTCTGCCTTCAAAGGCTATAAAGCCTTCTATACGCCATCAGAGGTCCTCATTAGGTTCCTTCCTCTCCGTAATTCTAGGACTTGGCTATGAAATATGCACACTAGTTCTAAACACTGGAGACAAATACCCAGGTCACAGCAGCACTGCTCTCTAGAAGCTTTGTCAGCTCACTCTGACGTTAAAGCAGAGAAACCTGAAGCAATTTTGAAAAGACAAAACCATGCCCATCTAGTTTAAAACGACAGGCGTGGTGACTCCCGCTGTTACTCTCAGGGACAAGGCCGGGGAATTGCGTCTTGGGCGAGTCTCTCGAGGAGCAGGTGGACTCAATGGTTGTGGTGTGCTGTGGGGGGCTGCTTATGAGAGCAGCAATTCTTGGAACCCTGCCATTTTAAAGAGGCAACAACCCAGATTTAGGTTTCGACTGTACGGAGATTAAGTAGTAAGCTGTTTCTGCCAGGGCTGGTGCTCTGCGGCGATCCTATGAGGTAGTTATCATCCCCACCTTACACAGGAGGACACTGGCTCTTTAAGACAGGCAGCTCTGCCCCGCGGCACTTTGCTATGCCCGGCTATCTGAATCCACAGCCCACCGCTTCGGTCTTCTCCTACTGGTTCTCATCGGGGTAGTCTGGGACAGGAGAGAATCACTCTGCCAGCTGAGAGGAACCCTACATAGATACATTGTGTCTGCTATGTAATGGGGCCTGAGAGACTGGATCACTTGTAGCCCAGGCTGGTCCCCAACTTTAACTGGTTGTGGAGCTAGGAATAACCTGGAATTCTGATCCTCCTCCTCTACCTCGCTAGAGCTGAGACCACAGGTATATGGTCCCGTTGCATCTTGGGCGAGCCTATCAACGGTTTGTGAATGGTAGGCAAGCATAGCCCCAAACTATTTTTCTTCTTTTCCATTTTTTTAATGGAGCAGAGTAAACATACATTTATTAAGGAAAGGTGAGAAAGAACTCAAGAATGGGAGTTCTTCCAAGGAGGAATACCCACAATTCATTTTTAAAACAATGTCATAAAAGTTTAAATCATTACAATCAGTTTTGTTACTAGTGTCATGTGACTAGCTCAGTGGTTCTCAACCTTTCTAATACTTTAATCTTTTCATACAGTTCCTCATGATGTGACCCCAACCATAAAATTTCTTTGCATGGTGCCCCATGCTTTTAATCCCAGCACTCGAGAGGCAGACCTCTGTGAGTTCGAGACCAACCTGGTCTACAAGGCAAGTTCCAGGACAGCCAAGGACACACACAGAGAGAAATTCTGCCTCAGGGAAAAAAAAAAATTTTTTTTTGCTCCTGCTATGAATTGCAATGTAAATATCTGTGTTTTCCAATGGTCTTAGGTGACCACTGTGAAAGTGAAAGAGCTGTTCGACCACCCCGGGGTCACGACCCACAGGTTGAGAACTGCTGCTTTAGCTTCCTCTTCCTCCCACAAACATGAAACTGGGCTTGCCTCAAAATTTCTTTATACCTGTGCAAAACAGATCTTTTTCTGAATGACCTTTCTTGGCAACTAATAGTAAATTCCATCTTTCTAGGCTACACAAACCAAGTGAGTAGTTTTCAAACATGAGACTTGTCCTGAAAATCTGTAATAGCCAATTTCTAGGCAAGAATAATTTTAAAGTTTTCAAAACAAGTTACAGATCCTAAATGAGTTAGTTCTATAACAATCTGTTTGCAAATACAGATTATTTCTACACTGAACTCTTTTGTTTTTTCAAGACAGGGTTTCTTTGTGTAACAGCTTTGGCTGTCCTGGATCTCACTTGGTAGCCCAGGCTGGCCTTGCACTCACAGAGATCCGCCTGCCTCTGCCTCCCGAGTGCTGGGATTAAAGGCATGCACCACCACCACCACCCGGCTACATTGTACTTTCTTGGGAACCAGGCCTACATTTTCCCTACTGTCAAATGCTGCAGTGACTGACAAGTCAGAAGCCGCCCAAGCCAGGTGTGGTAGCACACCCCTTTAATTCCAACACTGGAGGCAGATCTGTGAGTTCAAAGCCAGCCTGTTCTACAATGACAGGGCTATGTAGAGAAACCCTGTCTCAAAAACAAACAAAAAACCCAGCCTTGATGTTCTAACTAAATTCTAACAGGAAGTAAGCAACATTATCCAGGCAATTTTAATACATTAATCCACCACCAAAAAAACTAAACTTGCACCCTCTCCCTCTATCTGGAATTGAGAATAAAAACATCTGATACAGAGGTAATAAAAGACCAAAACAGACATCCAAATGCAAAGTGAAAAACTGTTCATAAAGTGGTTTTCTTGTATGGTCTCTCAAAATCAGTTATTCACGCTTTTTTTAAAAAGGATTTTTTTCATTTTACATACTATTCCCAGTTCCCCCTCCCTCCCCTTCTCCCCCCCCCCCCCTCCATCCACTCCTCACAGAGGCTAAGGCCTCCCTTGAGGAGTCAACATAAAGTCTGGCATACTAAGTCTAGGCAGGACCAACACCCCCACCCACCCACCCCACCCCCGTGTTAAGGCTGAGCAATTTCTTATAGGAAATACTAAATCCCTTACTTTGTAGACAGTAAGTATCACTCTTAGCTGAAAATAATTTTCACCCATTGGCACAACAGACAACAATAAATGACTTGCTTGGAGCACACTATTAGCAAGAGGTTTTGGTTTTATTTTATTTGTAAGGAGTTCAGGTAGTGGTCTGAAGAAAAGGCTCCTGCTAAGGCAACCGGCAATGGGTCACATGGTTGCCAGCCTCTTCTTTCACGAGTCCCTGCTTCCTTAAGGACTCTCTACTTTTGAAGTTTAAGACACTCTTACAATTCTAAACAGTTTGCAGACATGATTTTCAGCTGAAATCTTGGTGAAAAACAAATCCCCAATGAAAAGCCTTGTTGGGTATGACAGCACATGCTTGTAAACTCCAGCACCTGAGGAGGCTGAAGCAGGAGGATGTGAGGAACATGCCAGCTTGGGCTGCAGAGAAAGACCTTGTCTCAAAAAGAGTGGGTGAGGGGCAAGAGCAGCCTTGACTGGTCCAACAAATGCAATACTGAGAACTGCTACAGAGTAACACCCTTTTCTGAAAATGCATACATAATACTTCACAGAATGGGGCATCCTGAAATCCCACCCCTTACTTCAGAAGACTCTTATGACCAAGTTTCAGACCATTCTGTTCCCTCATTATATTCCAAATGCAATTACACATAAAAGTCACTTAGTTTAGCTGGGTGGTGGTGGCACACACCTTTAATCCCAGCACTCGTGAGGCAGAAGCAGGTGGATCTCTGTGAGGACAGAGTGAGTTCCAGGACAGCCAGGGCTACATAGAGAAATCCTGTCTGGAAAGACCACACACACACACACACAAATGGAAAGAACACACGAACACACGAACACACACACACACACACACACACACACACACGGAAAAGCGACTGGCTCACTTTAATCTTTAAGACACAAGCCAGAACTTAATAGGCTCTATTCACAGCAGGCTTATTGAGGGGCTTATGATTCTGTGACAATACAGTTTGGGAAGAGAAAAAAACCTGTGTCTGCTGATGGTGGAGCAGACATTCAGAGAGTGCATCTAGAGATACGGTGAATAAAGCAGATGTTGAAGCTGGAGGCACGTGGTCCAAATTAAAAGTGATTATTAAGGAACTCTACATTATCTTCCTGTGAGATTTAAAATGATTTTTAAAATCACTCTGAAAAGACTTTGCAAAACTGTATGGATAGTTGCCAGGATACCAGCGAAGTCTCTCAAATGGCTGTGCCATGGAACAATACACATGCTAGCAACTCATACGCTCATTTCTTTGGGCAGGAGGTTGAACTACAGGTCTGCGTTACCCTTTCCAATGTGCAAACCTCACACACAGTCTGACCCGTGCGCACAAGCACAGCAGCCCTTCCCAGTACACCTGTAAGGAACGGGCACCTCTGAACTTGGGAATGTCACGTAATGAGTACATGTCCTTACAAATGATCACACAGTAATTTATTTCGTCTAAAAATATACCGTTAAAGTATAATGATGGAGCAGCTGCTTCAGAAGCCAGCTTCTGGATCCTTAGTAGCAGTTTAGTATTGATAGAGAGATTAACAGTTCCATTATGGACTCCCTAGTCTATAACAAGGTAGGTCACTAATTGGTTGACAATAAAGCAACTGTACCAAAGAAAACTTCTAAGTAACTTAAAAGTTAAAAGAAAAGAAAAAAAAAAAATCTTGGCCAGACATGGTGGTATCTTCTGTGATCCTAGCACTTGGCAGGCAGGGGCAGGAGGTCAGGGGTTCAAGGCCAGTCAGGCTACATAGCAAGTTCAAGACCAGCCTGGGCTACATAGCAAGACCCTGCCTCTTAAAAAACCAAACCAACAACAACAAAATCTTCTTCTGATAGCATAATTAAAATATATGACCAGCTCAGTGACTGTTTTAAAATGATTTTTGAAGTTTCAAAAGGCAATCTATTTTTCCCTTCATACTTCTGACCCTTGAATTTGTACTAGTATTGAGTTCAAGGTGAAAGAACGCTAATTTAAAAAAAAAACAAAAACATAACTTATACAGAAAAAGAAAAAAAGGAGTAGACCAAAACTTTCAGAAAAATACAATATGGGGCTGGGGTGTGGTTCAGTGTGCTGCCACTGGGCAAGGCCCTGGATTCTATTCCCAGCTCAGAGACAAAGCAAAACAGAATAGCAACAAAGATATGAACATAAAGCATAACGATATTATCTCTCTTTCTACTAGAAATAACACAATTCATTTCTCCCCAATTGCAGTTAATTAGTTAACCTCTTAACAGTGTACATGAAAAACCTGGAAGCCAGAGGCACTGGGATGATTTCTTCCTGAGTGTTTTTGGCTAATTAATGGCCAAGATATGTTTAGTCTCTGGCTGGACAGAATCAAGAAAATAAACAGATAAAACTACCAAGGCTTGAGCTGAGATAACTCCGAAAAAATCTGCCATTACCTCAGCCATTGGTCTCCTTTCTACCCAAAAGAAAACCAACCCCTCCCCGCCCCAAAATCATTGAGTGAACCGAGCCCCGCTTCGGGTGAGCCGTCGGAAAGGCTGGAGTGTCCAAACGACGTGGCATAGATCAGTAACTGCTGACAACGGCTGGCTCAGAATCAGGAAGAATATCTTCATTGGCAAGAAGGCAGCAGAGACGAGGCTTCTAAAACACATACCGACAGGTCCAGGAACGCGGTCGCACATAATCCAGAAATGTGGGCTACGACGGGGGAAATAACACAGCAGTTGATTTATGGCCACAGCACATGTGAGTTAGGTATGCGGTAGGTAAGAGCTGAAGGTTATATACTGGACTTCTTTAAACTGGCCCCCAGTATTTCAGCAACCTTTAAGGTTTGAGAAACTCCCTGTTTCAAAAGATGTTGAGATGTTTTCTACCAACAGCATCAATTAATTCAACTGAGAAGCTTCGTAAAGAGTTTTAATTTAGTAAACTCCATTCAGCTCCATGAACCATGGATCAAATGGTAAATAGGCACTGTGTCTCTTAGCAACTTGACACCTTATTTTAGCAAAATTCAGTTGTTGTGGAATATTATTTTAAGCTGTGTTACATTTGTTTCTGCTGTGGAACATTTGTTTTAATGATGCAAAGATGTGTTGCATTCTTTTATGTTGCATTTGTTTAACTCTGTGAAGCTGTGTTACTTTGCCTGTCTAAAACACCTGATTGGTCTAATAAAGAGCTGAACAGCCAATAGGAAGGCAGGAGAAAGGATAGGCAGGGCTGGTAGGCAGAGAGAATAAATATGAGAAATGTGGAAGCAAGAAAGGTCAAGGAGTGAAAAAAGAAGGGGTCAGCCATTCAGCCAACCATGGAGTAAGAGTGAAAGTAAAGATAATATGGAAGCAAGAAAAGGAAAAAGCCCAGAGGCAAAAGGTAGATAGGGTAATTTAAATTAAGAAAAGCTGGCCAGAAATAAGCCAAGGTAAAGCCAGGCATTTATAAGTAAGAAATAAGCCTCCGTGTATATTTATTTGGGAGCTGGGTAGAGGGTCCCTCAAAGAGTAAAAAAACCAACAACATTCAGTTTCCGCCTAAAAATCTAAATAGTGGTAGGACTAGAAAAATAAAGCATGTGTATATGACTATAATACAAGGTTTTAAGTTAGTGATCCAATTCAATATGAAAGACTTTGGAAGTTCCAAAACAGGAAAGATGGAACAAGAATTCAAAAAGCTTCCATAGCAAGTGCGGCATCCAAACTGGATCTCAGTCGGGGAATCAAATCTGACGTGGGAGACCAGAGTATAAAGAACAGCGTGACCAGGGACTGCCGGGATCCAGCGCATCAGATGCACAAAAGGCCTCAGCAGGAAGTAAGGAGGGAGAAGAGGAACTGCGTGACGAAAGACAGTAGTGCAGATGTGCACGGAGACTCTCAGCTGTAGATATCTGCACTCAGTTATGGTTCCTGGAAGAAATACCCAGGAAGATACACCAACAGGGAATCTCAGACACATACAAATTGAGTTATCCACCTACAGACTCAAACAAAACAAACAAAACCCAAACATAGCCACGAGGGGGGAAAACAAAGAGAGTGGTAAAATCAACGGAAATGCAGCCCTAGACATCAGTGTTGTCTGACATGCTTTAGAAAAGCTTATTACTTTTGGGGGGACAGAAGAAGGGATGTATGTGCCACTGGGAAAACCCTGGAGATACAAAGTCACAGGAGGTAAAGAAAAAGGAAAATGGTGGTGGTGGCACACGCCTTAATCCCAGCACTTGGGAGGCAGAGCCAGGCGGATCTCTGTGAGTTTGAGGCTAACCTGGTCTACAGAGCGAGCTCCAGGAAAGGCACCAAAACTACACAGAGAAACCCTGTCTCAGAAAAAAAAGAAAAAAGAACCAGAAGAGCTAAATGAAGAAAGGTGAAGGAGTGAGCAACTCAGGGAAGTGAACCAATGTTCATGTCCTACCTCCCTCCTTCCAACTCAGCCTCACACTCTCCACTACTATACTACCTCCATAACACCACCCCTTACATCAGGGTGACTAATACCACCCCCTACATCAGGGGTGACTAATACTACCCCCCTTACATCAGGGGTGACTAATACTACCCCCCTTACATCAGAGTGACTAATACCACCCCCTTACATCAGGGGTGACTAATACTACCCCTTACATCAGGGGTGACTAATACCACCCCTTACATCAGGGGTGACTAATACCACCCCTTACATCAGGGGTGACTAATACCACCCCCCTACATCAGGGGTAACTAATACCACCCCCCCTTACATCAGGGGTGACACCCAAGCTGGACTGGCAACTCACATTCTTCAGAGGACAGTGCTGGCGGGCATACCATTCTTGAGAATAAAAGCACAGAATGACTCCCTGGCCCAGGAAAAGAGAAGCCCATACCATGATGTTCCAGATTGGCCTTTTCCGGCTGTCGTTGACAATGAAGTTAAAAGCCACTAAAGTTAGAAAGAGAACAAAAACACAGTTATCAAAACATGGTTCACCAGGGACGAGGGCTCAGATACATACAAGCCATGACCGAGTCCCAGCAGTGAACATCGGCCATTCATAAGCATCTTTTGTCCTGCTCACTTACTCTACAAGTAAATGAGGCTTCACTACTGAAATTTACCGGTCCTAATTAGCAGGAAACCAAGAGAATTCAGAACAAGTGGAAATACATTTCATCGAGTGATTCTTATGGGTTCCTCTCCACACACTCAAACATGAACCCATTTTCAGGAGTTGCAGTGACAGTGTTTGTGATTGGTCCCCAAGAGGCTATCTAGCACACATCCTCCCTCCAGTGTGTAAACATCTGTAGACACAACGGCATACAATTACTCAAAGTCAGTGTTCTGACCACCTGCTAACATCTAGCTTTTCTAAGAGACCTCCGAGTTCCCTTCCTGTTTCGCTCTCCCCTTTGGTGTGACAGCCGGTGCCCACGGCACGCCAAGGCACTCACTTCCGAAGAACATGAAGAGCACGAAGAGCACCGGGTAGAAATAGCTCAAGCAGACGGCCAGGGCGTACTCATGCACCACAGCTGACATGGCGAAGACACCCAGCATGGCAGCAGATTTGAACCTCTTCGAGAAAAACTGAGGCACGAAGAAAACATCAAAGAGTTAGTAACTTAAAAAAAAAAAAGTAAGCATGAACAATGAGACATGATTACTACGCATTAAAGGCAGCCGCTTAGTCATATTTGACTTTCCAAGCCTATTCCATAGGTTAATCCAAATCTATTAAAACAATTACAAAAACATGATCAATGCTCTAGTCTGGACTTGAAGAGTCCTGCGTGAAGGCTCACGTGCTGAGGGCTTGGTTCCCAGGTTGGGGTGCTATTTTGAAAAGTTCTAGAAACATTATTGAGCCAGGTTTCATGTACCACAGGCTAGCCTTGAACTCCTGATCTTTTGGCCTCCAGCTTCCAAGTGCTCACTTGACCACCCCAGGCTCAAATTTCAATCCTCTGAGGGACACTGTCTAGAACACAGGGCAGGCACCCCTTCCAGAACTAAGATTAAAAAACAAGAGACTTGTCTCAGCCCAACCTGGGACTTCAATGTGAGAGACAGGACTCACGGTCGGACACGTGCCTATTTCCTTAGGATGCCGTCAGCCACTGAGGCGGTGACACTCTTTACAATGAAAACTGCTTCAGAGACACCAGAGTTAGCCAGGAGTACAGGCTGTAATAGTTACTCTAAATACCTTACATTCCAAAACATGGCTCCCACAGCCAAGTCTCTGGTTGAAGAGATGTAAATCCAAAGTAGCTCTCTACTTTTAACAAAGAAACAAATCCAAATGAAAGTGGGGAGACAGAGGCAAGGGGCTATGTGCAAACTCCAGGCCTGCCTGGTCTACAAAGGGAGAAAAGAGAGTGGTGTGGGAGTGGGGGGCTTGAGAGGAAGAGAGGATAGAGAGAGATTATTTGTGGGCAATGAGATTCCTACAGGTCCTTGGTAGGTGGATCACTTCAGCTCCTACACAGACCTTTAAGAATTGTTAACTTTATAACCAGGTCCAGAGAAAGGCATGGTGTTGTCCTAGTAATGGACATAATGGTGTCCATGCTCACTAACACTCACAGCATTAGATGCAAACTTCTAAGAAAATGGACAAGAACTATAACACCTTCTTCACAGGCAATTAAACACAGTTGTTTCCAGCTGTGCAACACTATAAAAAAAAATCCCCATTTCTTTCATGTTGGCTTGGCTAGCTTTTCGGCTTTTGTTTTGAGACAGGGTCTTACTGTGTAGGTCTGGTTGGCTGCACTAAAACTTAGGATGTAGACCAGCCTGGCCTTGAACTCAGAGATCCAACTGCCTCTGCCTCCCAAGTGCTGGTATGTGTGTGCTACCATGCTGGACTTTTTCGTAAAGATTAACTTATTGTATTTTTATGTGTATATACATGGACCCCATGCATGCAGGTACCACATGCGAGGCCAGAGGAGGGTATCCAGTCCCCTGGAACTGCAGTTGTATGTGGCTGTAAGCTGACCCACGTGGGTTCTGAGAACCGAACCCAGGTTCCCTGCACGAGCACCAAGCACTCATAGGCCCTGAGGCACCTCTCCGGGCCTCTCCGAAGCCCCATTTCTCACATGACATCAGCTAGGTCTTGCTGTTTACCCAGAGGAGGTCCTTGTACGCATAGTAGTAGAGCCAGTCATGGACCACCACATTCCAGGTCCTGTAGTAGTTGGAGTATGACGTCGAGTTCCACCAGTCCTGAGAGAAGAGGCACGGTATAAAATCAGACACACAGCAAAACCCCTGGCCAGTCCCAAAGAGCACACATGCCTGACAGAAAGCCTGCAGGACATTAGGATAAAATTGTTCGTCCACACACTGATGCTAGAAATCTCAAAGGCATCTGAGCAGTTAGTAACCAATACTAATGTATGTCAGCGCTATACACAGGTTAAGGCTCTGAGTGCATTCTGTCTCGTCATCAAGTAAGTTATGAACACACAACCATTTACATCTAATGTCTGCCTCCACGGCTATCAGTGAACTTCCTCTCCACCTTGTTAAATATCAGAGAACTGAGCACACATGGGAACAGGCTAACTGGGATCTGGTAGCAATATTTAATTATAAAGGGAGTGAGGTGGTGGTTCCAATGTCCCTTTTGTATTTCTTGCTCCCAATATGAAGGTAAGACTAATTAATAGAATCAGACATCCAAAATTTGCCATCCACATTTACTGTCTTTGAGAAAGAAGTGGTGGAGATGAAGTCAAAACAGTGAAACTTGACAAGGCCAGCTTCAGAAGTCTAAGGATACCATTTGAAGCAGAACTAACACCTTCGAAAATGAAGGAACTTATTTCCCTTGGGAGCCGCTCACCAGTCTTAAGTGGACTAACCTGCTGAGGCCACTTTGTAAAACGCAGCAGCCAATGTGAAATGCAGTGAGGAGCTGGCAGAAGGCCCTCTGAGAAACACTTCCCACCACAGTCACAGTACCTCACAGGGTCCAGCAGAGGCTAGATGCCTCTGTGGGGGTGGAAGAAGGAAGGCCAAGACAAGGTTTTACTCTACTATATAGTCCAGGCTGGCCTGGAACTCATGGTAATCCTCCTGCTTCAGCCTCCCGAGTGCTGAGTTTACGAGTATGTAACAGCACTCATTTGCTATCTAAAGGGAAATGGCATCAGAAGGTTACCATACATATATCAAAATTTCAGACTTAACATTGGTAAAACTAGGAAAAAAAAAGTTATCTTATGGTCTTTGTGTTGAAAACCTGGTAATACTAGTCAACAAAGGTCATACTCAGCAGTATGGAAGTAAAAGAGAACGTGAAGGCAGACAGGACGGCTCAGGAGGTCGAAGTGCTTGCTGCCAAGCCTGACGGCCTGACTGCCATCTCTTGAACACACAGGCATCGTGGGACATGTGTACCCCCCCCAATAATTTCTTTTCCTAATTGATCAGAAATGCCAGGCATAGTGGTGCATGCCCAATACTCGGGAGGCAGAGGTAGGTGGATCTCAGTGAGTTCAAGGCCAGCCTGGTCTACATAGTGAGTTCTAGGATAGTCACAGCTATACAGAGAAACCCTGTTTCATATGTGTATATATATGTGTGTGTACATATATACACACATATACACACATATATATTATTTGTTTATTTATTATTATTATTAGAAAGAAAACATAATGTTTTTGAAAAGATGAGAGCAAGTATACAATACCTTATAAAACATCCTGTCGCCAAAGCGTAACATCTCAGCGAAGGCGTTCAGCCAGCAGTGCAAAAAGGCGAAAAACGAAAGGAACAGCACCAGCACACCTGAAAACCAGAGTGACGATCTGAAGAGTCTTTCCCAGCAGCCCACAGAGCCAGCCATCATGAGCAACACACCGTATTGTGTTGTTTAGCTGGGATGCTGCCGCAAAGCCTGCTGGTATTCCAGCTCACCCATTCCAGAGGCGATACAGTACACCTTGGAAAGCTAGGGTTTGTTGTTACTTACTTTAAAAAAAAAAATAAGGTATTTCTATGTAATTTTAACAGAAAATAGAGGATTCCAGCCTGTTTTAAAGAAACGCCTGGACATACAGCTGAACTTGGTGCCCGAGACGCTTTAACTCTCCCTAGGTGCTGCAAACACCATCTACAACGGGACTTCTGCCATTCCAAGATACTTTAGGCCTTTCTGTCTGTCCTTCTGTCCGAAAACCTTCCCACCACTTTTCTCCAGATGGTATTTTTATTTAATTCTCCAGTATATATTCCAGCGCCCAATGCTAAATGTCATCTCTAACACGAGAAAAAAAGCCCACAAGGCTGTTCTATTTATAGACTACTTCCACACTACACTGTAAAACACTCACTGCATGCCACCTATTTTATTCACTCGTTCAAAGAAGATTCCCTCGGTGTTTGCTGGACAACACAGGATAAACTAAAAGTGGCTCTAAAGAATGACGCTTGGGGCTGGAGAGATCTCAGTGGTTAAGACCATGGACTGCTCTTCCAGAGGACCCAGCACCCAGTTCCAGGGGATCTGACACCCTCTTCTGGCCTCTAAGACTACTGCAAGGACACGGTACACATACATTCAGGCAAACACTAATACTAATAGATACTAATAAAACAAAAATAAATAAATAATCTTAAAATATGCTCCTTAATCTCAAGGAGTTTGCAGTCAAGTGAGTTAAGTTATGCGCGTGCATGTGTGTATGCGTGTCTGTGTCTATTCATGCTACAAGAACATCTAAAAGACAAGAAAGGGAGATGACAACAGCAGTAGTAGAGGCCAGAAGGTTAAGTCAAAGAAGCTCTGAAGTCAAGCTCCCTGAAGCACAGACTGTGTCTGCATCACCTGCAGCTGAGTCCTCAGCACTGGCACACAGTAGGAACTCGTGTGTGATCAGAAAAAAGTACATGGAGTGAATGAAACCAGAGACAAGGTATGGTAAAAGCAGAGGAAATAGTGGCAAATTGAGACTTCACAATGTGGCCAGAGCATCCTGTGTCTCCTAGAAACACTCTGGAAACAGCTAAACCATCTGTCGGGTTTAGCATCAGGAGGTTACTGGCGACTTTACCTATGGGTATTTAATGGCCTGGTGAGATTACAGGTTATAGAGAACCGAATAGGAAAAGGAAGATACACTAAATGCAGACGGTCCAAACTTGAGTGAGAAGTGAAACTAGACGGAGATTTTACTTCTGGAACAGATGACGAGGTGGTGGGTGGGTATTTGTACAGCTCAGTTCTCAGGAAAAAGCAGGGAACTCAGGGTGCCTACAGAGAGCAGCTTCCTGCTTTCTTCCTGACTGTATATACAGATGAGCAAATTAGTGAGCCTCCAGCTTACCTGGCAAAATGGAGTTAAATACACACAGGACCAGAACACGAGCGCTGAAGGGCTCCTGTTTGATATTCCGGAACAATGGAGCGCAGAGTCTTTCAAAGATGTAGTATACATAAAACAGGCAGCCAAAAACCTGGAACACAGCAAAGAAAACAATGCCAGCTTCATAAAGTAAGAGGGAGGGCATGTCTTCCTCCAAGAGAAATCCACATACCACTAATGTTTACATATATTTCTTTAACTCCAGTACACAGGACTCTGCCCCACTCCTTCAAAGAGATTACTTAAGCCTCATTTCTACCACGGTTTTTTCCTTATCATTTACTAAATGATTTTCTTTCTTTCTTTTTTTTTTTTTTTAGGTCACGTCTTGCTGTGTAGCTCAGGCTGGCTTCAAACTCAACAATCCTCTTCCCTCAGCATCCTGAGTACTGGGTTTATAGACATCTGTCACCACACTTGGCCCAAATGGCATTTTTAGAAGATTATTGAAGAACCTGTTGATGAAGCCCAGAATAAAGAGAACTCATTTTACAGCTGAGTATTTAACTTAAACAGAATTTAAAATGGGAATCTCTGGGATTTATGATTCTCAAAATGAGTGAGGAAGAAATGGGGGGTTCAGCCGGGCGGTGGTGGCGCACGCCTTTAATCCCAGCACTCGGGAGGCAGAGCCAGGCAGATCTCTGTGAGTTCGAGGCCAGCCTGGGCTACCAAGTGAGTTCCAGGAAAGGCGCAAAGCTACACAGAGAAACCCTGTCTCGAAAAACCAAAAAAAAAAAAAAAAAAAGAAATGGGTTCAAAGCAAACCCCCACACATACAACACCTCCCCAGAAAAGGGAGAAGGAAATCTATCTAGGTTCTTACTGAACTAACCAAACAGAATGACTTTCATTTAAACACTCTCCTCTAGTGAAGAAAATGGCGTCTGAACTGGCAAAGCACACGGACTGCATTGGGGCAGCTTCAATGGCTGAAGTCCCGTCAGAAAGCATTCTTGAGCTGCTCACTGACATACTTTACCAACTTTAGTTTTTGGAGACAGGGTCTCACTATAGTCAAGTCCTGGTTGATACTAGAATTCAGAGATCCTCCTGCCTCTGAGCCACCACTGGCTCAACATTTTAAACAGATTTTAAAAAAAAGGGTCAGCCATAATGGCACACACCTTTGATCCAGCACTTGGGAGGCAGAGGCAGGTGGATAGCTGTGAATTCAAGGCCAGCCTGGTCTATATAGTGAGTTCCAGGACAGCCATAGAGAGATAGCTCAGCAGTTAAGAGCACTGGCTGCTCTTCTAGAGGTCCCAGGTTCAATTCCCAGCACCCACATGGCAGCTCACACCTGTCTGTAACTCCAGTTCCAGGGCTTCTGACACCCTCACACAGACATACATGCAGGCAAAACACCAATGAACATAAAATAAAAAAGAAGCCCATTTATTAATAAATAAATCAAATAAAATGTACCAATCAATAACATGTTAGGCAGTTTTTAAAAAGTTACCTGTAAAAACTGCTTAGCAACGTAACCCCATCTTACAGTCGGAGTCCTGAAAAGAAGGAAAGTAGGTTCTCTAAAACAAGCAACGAACTATTTCTGTTTTGTCCTTTTATCTACAATGTACTTAACAATGTTTTTCTACACAGACCATTGTTAATGGGCAGAGGAATAACTTAACAGGACAGTGTGTACTTAGCATGCCGTGAAGCCTTGAACTTGGTCTCCAACCCCCACCACCACCACTACCAAAACACATAACAAAATTATATAATTCTATCAAGAATTATTAGTTAGAACTGGCCTGCTAGAATGACCACTTACAGCATTCAATTTTCTCTGTAGCCCTGGATGAACTGCCCTCCTCCAAAGCTGCCCCCTTACTTGGATTTCCTCCCCCCTCAAGGTTACCTCGGATAGCTGTCACGGTAAATGAGTGTAGGAGCAAACAGGAAGTACAGGTACTGGTTGACTGTGGGTACTGGAACTGTGCCTAAAAAAGGAAAACTACTGAATTACAAGATCTTTGACGTCTCCCAGCAAACTAGAAGAAGAAAAAAAGGAAGCAAGAACAGGGCTGGCCGGGTGGTTGGTGGTGAACGCCTTTAATCCCAGCGCTTGCACTTGGGAGGCAGAGGCAAATCGGCGTCTGTGAGTTCAAGGCCAGCCAGGATTACACAGAGAAACCCTGGGGGTTGGGAGGAGGAAGAAGAGCAGGGAAGAACAGCATGACCTCTTGGCTCCTGTTTTCCTTCCTAGTCTACTAAAATGACTTGTTATTCATGCAATAACCCAGTATTGCCAATCTCTCAAAGCCATTACTGTGACTAAGATAAAAATTCTAGAGTGGAAAGCTACAATTTGCAAAGTAAGCAGACCCAGTGCAGTGAGGCTGTGAACATTCCATGAATGCTAAACTACAGGGGTCTAAAGGTACATTTTTTTGCATTGTAGATAAAAGGATAAAACAGAATAGTCAAGAAATAATGAGTCTTCCAAATCAATATAGATCCCATCCACTTAGAATGAAATATACTCTCTACAGAATACAATGTCATCCTGGCGTGCAAAAGGATGAAATATCCTGTGGGGCGTTTACCCAACCACCCCCACAGTTCCCCAGAGTTTTCTTGAGTGTAAGCAGCAAGAAATATTAGATAGAAGGATTTATTGCGGAGAATCTTGCGGAGATAAACAGATAGAAAATAAAGGATAGCCTTGAGAGGGCCTGGAACCTATTCCAACGGGCCCCGACTGTCTCTGCCCCAGGGTTTTTATAGAGACGCCAAGGGGTGGAGCAAAAGACCTCCTCCCCCAGCACAGCCAAGTGCAGACCATCTCAGACACCTGCACTCAGGCCCGTGGTCCTAATCATCTTCTATGCGGACCTGCTAGGTAAAGCCACGAGGAACCTGAGAACGGGCTCCCATAATATCCCATCAATAATCCTTTAAGGTGACAGAGTTACATACTTGATTTCTCCTTGGCTGCATTCAGTACTCTCGGCACATTCTCTCTGACAAACGAGTGAGCCTTCATTACCAAACGAATCTGCCAACGGAGAGGGGAAATGAATTTCCTTGTCTTCTCTCCTATAAGTAACTCCAGAACTGCACTGTGTAATATTCACACAAAATTTAAATTTTCACATACCAACTCAAGTTAGCCTTTATAAAGGAAAATAAAACTTCCAGTGAAGGACATGTAATCACTTAAATTATTTTTACCTAATAGAAGTATTACAAGTTTATTGAAAAAAAAAATTGAGAAGTTAAAAATCTGTTCAAGGACTGAATGTAGCTCTGTGGTGGAGCTCCTGCCAGACATTCCCCAGCACTGCAAAGGAGATGGTCAGAGAACGTCTCCTGACTGGTCAACACAAGCCAGAAAATTCCAGAGTGTAGTACAAACAAATTAAAATGTTTCTCTCATTTCAATAAGAGTAACAACATAAGGGCAGGGTGAGTTCAGCGCTTCAAAAATGGAGTTTTTCAACTACAAACATAATCTAAATGACTTTTACAAAAAGTATTTCAAAACTTTTTTCAAAAATAGTTCAATATGGGCTGGAGAGATAGCTCAGCAGTTAAGAGCAATGACTGCTCTTCCAGAGGACCTGGGTTCAATTTCCAGCACCCACATGGCAGCTCACAACTGTCTGTAATTCCAAGATCTGACACCCTCACACAGACATGCATATAGGCAAAACACCAATGCACATAAAAATAAAAATCAATAAATTATAAAAAAAATAGTTCAATATGATTAAATAAATCCAGATACCTGAAGTAGAATGAACTTTTTAAAATGATATGACCTAGTCAAACGCTTTGATTCTAAAGCAGGCATGCGGCGTACCTGCAATCCCAGGATTTGGGAGCAGGTGGCAGGAAAGTTAGGACCTAACTTGGTATACATGAGCTCCTGACTCGAAAACCCTTCAGTTCCACAGATAACCATATCGAGATACATATGAACATATATCCAGCGCTGACATCCATTAATAACAGCATCAGCATTAGATCATTACTGTTATTATTTAACTAGGCATAGCATCATTCCCAGTAACACTAGAATCCTTACCTGTTCAAGTATAACAATGAGCCGGGAGGCTGGAGGCAGTGTGTATGCTAACACAACATACGTTGGGACAAAGCCCAGAATGCCAAGCTGAAAGACTAAGAAGAAAAAGCCATGGACAAGGGAATAGATCAGTGGATGAGAACTCTTGCTGTAGCCATGGGCCCAGCGCTGGAACAGGAAATAGGGAATTGAAAGTGTAGACAGGAACATGGCCCACCACGTCCAAACAACAATGGGAAGTTTGCCAAAAGCGTAGGCCAGGAGATTGAACTCAAGTACCAGCCTGTGGAGGAGAAAAGTAAAGAGGAGTGAATCTTTGCTATGCAATCAGTTTACAGAACTTAAAATCCTCTCTCTCTCTCTCTCTGTCTCTCTCTCTCTCTCTCTCTCTCTCACACACACACACACACACACACACACACAGAGCTTTCAACTTTGAGAAACACTGCAACATTAACATATCAAGGTCATGGTACCAACATGTCACGTGTGTTTACTATAGCACTGTTCACAGCAGCTAGGTTACTGAGCCAACCTAAGTGTCCATCAATGGAGGACGCATAAGGAAAATGTGGTTTACATACACAATGGACTTTTTTTCAATCTAAAGAGTAAAGCTGTACCATTTACAGGAAAACAAGTGCAACTGGACATAATCTTAATAAGGGAATTATGTCAACTTTAGAGAGATTTATTTATATTTATATTTATATTACATGTTTTCTATCATTTGTGGGCTCTAGACTTTACAGACACACAAATCATCGTGTGTGTAGATGATATGAAAGTAGAAGCAAGCTGGGGAACAGAGGGGACTAAGAGGAGGGAGTAGAGAGGAGAAGGCAGCGCCATATGGGGACAATGAGCTCAATGAACATGATGTACTTGCACAACAGTGCCCTTATGTAACCCTGTAAAATAGAGAGAGAGAGCACTTTAAAAGAGTCGTGGGTATAGCTCACTGTTGAGTGCAGACCTGTCATCCCTTGGGAGATGGGGAAGGAGGGTCAGGAGTTCAAGGTCACCTTCAGCTATGTAGTTAAGTCTGAGGTCGAGCTGGACTACTTTCTCAAACAACAACAAAATGATGGTGATGATGATGATGAGTAATGAAACTCTTTTCTTTTACGTTTAGGAGAGAAGAAACTCGCCATCCACTCAGCTGTCTTGGAATTTTTTTTAAGCAAATGAGAACGGTCAACTTTTCACACATCAACTAGCCAGACCCCCGCCTGTCTTACCTTCCTTCATCAATGTAATCTACCACAAGAGTGCTGAGGATAAAGAGGATGAGGAGCGCAATGAACATGTGGTAAATTGTTCGGATGTGGTCCACTTCAAACAGCTCACTGAAAATGTAGGTCAAGCAAATCCTAAGTTAATAATCTATATTTCATTTTAAAGTCCCACATAACAGACACTTACTAAAGCAGTTTACAAGATATTTAATCCACTCTTTGAGAAATCTCTTTAAAAATCAAAAAAGGACAATATTAAACCTGAAATATACAGAAATTAAATGATACAATCAAGGTGAAAAATAATGGATTCTGAAACTTTCTTTCTAAAATAGGGTACTGACTCACAGAAAACAGCATGGCTACCCGCATCTAGACAGCCCACCGACAGCTGTTTACTGTGTGAGCAAAGGCGAGTCTCCAGAAAGAAGGAGTAGGGCTCAATTCCAAACCCTCCAGAAAGCCTGGTTTTACGAACTCACTGAAGTCTGTGTTTCTTTGTGGACGATGGTAGCCGGCCGCCGCCCACCAACTTAACCCTTAACCATTCCCAGCGCCTTCCGCTTTCTGCTGGCTTACAGACCTTCAGACTGGCTGTTGGCTTTTAACAGAATGCCCTTCTGGGTGACTCTTCCTCTGCAGCATCTCCTGCAGCCAACTGAAACAAGCGCTTTACCTTGGTTTGGGGAAGTGTGCGCAGCCTTTTAAATGACTTTGAAGGATCTCAACTATTCTTAAGCTTCTGTATAAAGGATCTTCAAAATCTAATAAAAACCCAGCTAAGCTATTTCCTTGGTCACATTTCTTTTTTTTTTTTTTTAAGTTCAAGTATATTTTCACTGATAATTTCTCTCTTCTCTTCTCCCTTGTTTTTTCCTTCCTCCCCTAATCATTAATGAGGACTTCATGCATGCCTCGGGAAGCACTCTACCAATGAACAACAGCTCCCTTTCATTGTTAATTTTTCAGTAATACAATTCTTAGGTTTAAATGTTTAAATAATGACTCTTCCTTCTTTGTGAAAAGCCTGCATTTTTCTCCAGATTATAAACTTTAAAAGATCACTCTCTTGAAACTAGAACACAGCCCAGTTGCTTTAAAGTACAACATGAACAGAATATAGAACACTCTGCCCTCCTCATCAAGGTTAGGAACTACACACCAATTTGGCTTATAATGTAAGTTTTGATAAACAAGGTTCATTTTTAAAGGAAGGCACATTACAGCCCCTGATTTAATTTTCACCAACCCAATGGTCTCTCCTATTGCAGGTAAATTTCATCAATATCCCAATGAATACCTGAATAAGTAGGTGACTTATAAATGACTAACAACAGGAAAAAACAAACAGCCACCTCCCATCCAAAGTGTACCTGTTGTTTTCCGTTCATAAGTTAAGTCAGCACAATGCATTCATAGCATGCAATTTTAAAGAGAGTGGATAATCATGGATTTTTTTAAAAGTAACTTTGAGGAAACTATCAAGAATCTCAGGAAAATGAGGTGGAAACACACACACATATCAAGAAGGTAGCTGAGGAGGTTTGAAAGAAAATGGCCCTCAAAGGGACTATTAGGAGGTGTGGCTTTATTGGAGTGGGTATGGCCTTGTTGGAGGAAGTGTGTCACTGTGGAGGTGGGCTGTGAGGTCTCATATATGCTCAAGCCACATCCAGTGTCTCAGTTCACTTCCTGTTGCCTGTAAGTCAAGAGGTAGGACACTTGGCTACTTCTTCAGCACCACGTCTGCCTGCACGCCACCATGCTGCACCATGATGATAATGAAGTAAACCTCTGAAACTATAAGCCACCCCAATTAAATGTTTTCCTTTAGAAGAGTTGCTGAGGTCATGGTGTCTCGTCACAGCAATAGAAACCCTAAGACAGCAGCAACTCCAAAATTCTCTCCAAATAGACTACTTCTGCTCTACCTCTCTGGATAAACAATTCTCTGTAGCACAACTTCAAAAAATTGGTCAAAGGAGAGAGATACCTGGTTTTAAGTCTAACTTTTCCAAAGAAGCCAGAAAGAAAACTAGAAGAGAGGCCAGAAGGAACACAAAAACATCACCAAAGTTCGTGATTTATATGAACTTAGAACAAACTGGCTAGACAGACAGATCAGAGAGTCTATAAATCAGGACAGTTTTTCCTTCCTAAATCAAATTGATAACTAACAAAAGCAAAAACCACTCACTCTAACAGAGACCGCCTTGAAATAAAAATCTTCCCTTGTTCTGGAGGTGCTCTCAGATCTCTGGAAAAGAAAAAAATCACAACAAAACATAGGGAGCAGAAGTTTGACCATAAGCTCAATCCCATGAGCAAGAGGACGCAAGTGTACTGGTATCATCCCTTGACTTCCTTCCCCTTCAAATCCAGCACTGTGTGGAGGGGTTTATGTGTTATCTCACCACTCCTGACAGTGCTGTGAAGTGGGTGCATGGGTGCTTGTTTAGGCAGGAGCTATGTCAGATATCTAACTGAAGCAGCAGTTTCCATTTCTAGCCTCATGGAAAGGCGGTGCCTGTACCACCCGTCCTGAGAGACCTTGAGGTGATGGGCAGTCCTCCACCACACTGTACACTGCTATGGATGTGTCCCCACACTGTACACTGCTATTGATGTGTCCCCACACTGTACACTGCTATGGATGTGTCCCCACACTGTACACTGCTATGGATGTGTCCCCACACTGTACACTGCTATTGATGTGTCCCCCACACTGTACACTGCTATTGATGTGTCCCCACACTGTACACTGCTATTGATGTGTCCCCACACTGTACACTGCTATTGATGTGTCCCCACACTGTACACTGCTATTGATGTGTCCCCACACTGTACACTGCTATTGATGTGTCCCCACACTGTACACTGCTATTGATGTGTCCCCCACACTGTACACTGCTATTGATGTGTCCCCACACTGTACACTGCTATTGATGTGTCCCCCACACTGTACACTGCTATTGATGTGTCCCCCACACTGTACACTGCTATTGATGTATCCCCCACACTGTACACTGCTATTGATGTGTCCCCCATACTGTACACTGCTATTGATGTGTCCCCCACACTGTACACTATTGATGTGTCCCCCACACTGTACACTGCTATTGATGTGTCCCCCACACTGTACACTGCTATTGATGTATCCCCCACACTGTACACTGCTATTGATGTGTCCCCCACACTATACACTGTTATTGATGTGTCCCCCACACTGTACACTGCTATTGATGTCCCCCACACTGTATACTATTGATGTGTCCCCCACAGTGCCTGATGTTTGTTTACTTTTGACATTTTACTTAACTACTCTTTGGGGGAGGGCGGCACACACATGTGTGTAGAAATCAAAGGACAACTTGCAAGAGTCAGTTCTCGCCTTCTACCAGGTTAAACCAATGACTGAATTCAGGCTTGGAGCGTCTTTCACCCTGATGTTCCAGTGTGAAAGAACTTGCAACCTCCCAACAGCTTCCCAATCATATCAGGTGCTTTTGAGAAACAGAAATTCACATATTAGTGCCCAACTACCATCTTACTTAGGGCACTGCTGTTGGCTATTGATTCTCAAAATCGTTCCCACGAGAGACTGGTAGAGAGCCCGGAATGGCAAATTAGCACATTATTAGTCATTGATAGATACTTTCCCCTCTATAAACACATACCAACTGCAGGGTACTTTATTACAAGCACACCCCAAAAAGAGTACAACAGGCATGGAATGTCGTGGTTCAAAGTACGGACTCTGGAGCCGGACTCTGGGTTAAATCTTGGATAGACTCTGGCAGGATCTTGGATGGCTGCACCAATCTGTAACATGCAGATAGCTGTACTATCTACCTCACAATGAGGGGCTTGGCTTAAGGTTCTGTCTACATTATAAAACCCACACTGGGCCAGTGTGATGCCTTAGCAGGTGAAGGTACTCATCACCAAACCTGAGAACCTTAGTTCAGTCTGGGATCCACATGGTGGAAGAGAAGAACTGACCATCAAAAACTGTCCTCTGACCTCTATATGTACAGTGTGGACTGCATGCCCCACATACACATACATACAAAATAAATGAATGTTAAAAAAAAATTAAGTTAGCTGGGCAGTGGTGGGTCACGTCTTTAATCCCAGCACTCAGGAGGCAGAGGCAGGTGGATCTCTGTGAGTTCAAGGCCAGCCTGGTCTACAGAGCTAGTTCCAGGACAGTCAGGGCTACACAGAGAAATCCTGTCTCAAAAAATAAAACAAATTTAAAGCTATAATAATAAATAAAATGAATGGAACCCTATATTAAGAGGGGGAAAAATCTTTATTCCCAGCACTCAGGAGGCAGAGGCAGCAGATCTCTGTGAATCTGAGGCCAGGCTGATCCACATAGGGATCTAGGCTACCCAAGGCAAAATAATGAGAATCGAACTAAAAAACCGGAATACAATGTAAAGTGGTAACACAGTGTGACCCAGGGCTACACTGGAGTAGATGTCTACATTGAGAGACAATAGTGCACACACTCACTTGGCTCTGTGGTTGTTTTTCATGTCTTCAAGAATGGAGAAGGTTGTGAGGGCACACCCACCATTGTCCAGAGACGCAGACTTTTCAATGAGATTGGTCACAAAGTCATCAAAGTGACAACCAACTTCCTTCAGAAACAGTGGCTTCAGTTCCTGAAGTTTTAAAACAAATAAAGGAGAATGTCAGCACATGTTGGTGGGTCACTGACGTTTCTCTAAAGGGATTCCTTACACAGAGCTGGTTCAGTAGAAAGCCACACTACACAAGTGAGTTCACAGGAGTAAAGGCAGAAGAAATAATTTCAATAGTTGACTTGTAGTTTCAGACACGGCTGCTGAAAACACAGTAACAACACATACCCCAGTAAGAATATATACCTTCCAACCCCCCCACCCCCAAGGTACTACGTAGACAAAGGACCTTGATCTTCCAGCCTTCACCTCCAAAGTGCTGGGATCAGTCACATGCCACCATGCCTGGCGATATGCCTTCTCTAGTCTCCAAGGACACCGGAGGAAAGCACCTGGGAAATGAGGGTCTACAAAGGACACTAACATCAAAGGTACACGATGGCAGAGAGGAGAGGCAGAGTAAGTGGGAGGCCACCTGACTAAGACCCTGCCCCCAAAGTGTGCGTGGCGCACGCGCGCGCGCACACACACACACCCCCCACAGCAGATAAAAATGAGAACACTTTTAATATTTTTATTTAGGAAACAAATATCAATGTCTATATTATGTAATTACTAGTCTTTTTTCCCTTAAAAAAATCCCTTTGCAGCTGGGCAGTGGTGTAGCACACTTTTAATCCCAGCACTCGGAGGCAGAGCCAGGTGGTTCTCTGTGAGTTTGAGGCCAGTCTGGTCTACAGAGTGAGTTCCAGGACAGGATCCAAAGCTATACAGAGAAACTCTGCCTTGAAAAACAAAACAACAACAAAAAAAATCCCTTTGCCCTCAAGTTTCCACAACTTATATTCTAAATAGCTTTTAAAAAAATTTATCTTATTTTATGCGTTTTGCCTGCATGTGTTTATATGCACCGTGCACAAGCCTAGTGTCTGCGGAGATCAGAAGAGGGCATCAGACCACCCCCCACTTCCACCCCCCGAAACTGGAGTTATGGATGGTTGTGAACTACCATGTGGGTGCTGGGAACCAAATCCCAGTCCTCTGCAAGAGCAACAAGTGCTCTTAACCACTGAGTCATCACTCCAGCTCCCTCAATTTACATTTTGAAGCATGTCATTCTATATCATATCTATGTTTATATAATATTTATTCCTACCTCCATAACTATGTATTTGCTAATCACAGAACATGAATAAACGTGGTGGTGGCAGCAGCAGCGCATGCCTTTGATCCCAGCACTCAGGAGGCAGAGGCAGGAGGATCCTCTGTCTCAAAAAACATATAAACAAAAAGTATATACAATTGTTATTGTTTTGGGCCTCCAGCTGCTCTTAATATTTCAAGATAAATACTTGCAGCTTTTAAATATATTTATGTATTATGAGTACATATGTATTTTTTTTTCAGGTTATAATACATTGAGGCAGAAGGAATGCTATGAGTTTGAGACTAGCCTGAGCTACATAGTGAGTTCTAGAACAGCCTGGGATGTTCTAGTAAGACTCTGTCTCAAATTAAAAATAAATAAATAAATAATAAGTAAATAAAATAAAATTAAAACCTAAAAATGCCTATGCATGTAATTGCAGGAAGGGTAGTGAGAATATGCTTATATGCTCTCACAGATGACATGTTGGAAAGACCAGCCTCTGCCTCAAGTGCTGGGATTAAAGTCATGTCCACCACACCTGGCTATGACCCAGCTCTCACTCCTTATCCACTACTTGCCAGATGAATGTGGAGCCTTTGCGTCTGTCTAACGATGAGGAGAAACAGTGTCACACAGAAAGGACAGCTCTAAGGATCAATGAGAGAATAGGGACAATGAGAGGACACAGGCATCAGTGGTGACAGCCAGTGGAAAACAGAAGGCTTCAGGTTTTCTCTGACACCCCAAAGGGGCGCAAAGCATTTCAACAGGATTAACTCCAGCCTTTTATCCCCCCTGAACTCAAATTTGCACACGGGTATTTTAGGAATCCAAGACAATCATTTAAATGCAGCCCCTTATATACAGCACTATAAATAGCGGCCTAATGCTTATGTCTTAATGTCTTCCTTTCTCTGAGGAATTAAAAGTCAACAGAAACTGCAGCCAGAGGGACTCAAGAAAACTGCCTTTGCTGTGGATATCATTCTGTATAAATAAAACACTGATTGGCCAGTGGCCAGACAGAAAGTGTAGGCGGGACAAGGAAAGAGGAGAATTCTGGAAAGTGGAAGGCTGAGTAAGGAAGACACTGCCAGCCGCCGCCATGACAAGAAGCATGTGAAGATGTTGGTAAGCCACGAGCCACGTGGCAAGGTATAGATTTATGGAAATGGATTAATTTAAGATATAAGAACAGTTAGCAAGAAGGCTGAGCCATTAGGCCAAACAGTTTAAACAATATAAGTCTCTGTGTTTACTTGGTTGGGTCTGAGTGGCTGTGGGACTGGCGGGTGACAGAGATTTGTCCTGACTGTGGGTCAGGCAAGAAAACTCTAGCTACATGCCTTTGTGAAGATCATGAAGTTTCTTTAAACTCCGTTCAAAAATCCTCATAGAGACGACACTAGTGACTCCTTAGACTGTCACTCCCTCTCTGAGAGGGAACAGAAAGAGACAGCTAATGGAGGGGTCTTCTCCTGCCTTCCAAGTTCTCCGAGCACATGAAACTGTTGTTATTTAGAATTCAAAAGGTGAGCACAGTTAGTCCGAATAAGTCTGAGCAGTAACCTGAAGTAACCTGAAGGTGTTAGCTGGGGTTTTCCCACTGACTTGATCTCTCAAACCTGCATCTGTGATGCATTAACTTCACTCAGTCAATGGGCCTCGGGAGATGGAGAGAGGCTGAGGGGGACAAAGGACGGTGACTAGAAATGAAGGTGTTTAGATAATCTAGGATTCACCCCAGCACCTGGGAGGCTGAGACAGGAGGATTGCTGGCCATTCTGTATGTTTCCAGGCCACCCAGAGCTACAGAATAAGACCCTGTTTCAAAACAACAAAAAGTAAACGAACAAGAATCCAGCAAACAAATGCACTGTGTTTTGGGGCTCACAGAAATGAACCTTCTATTTTCAACAAGCAGCTGAATCAGATCACCTGAAAGATTCCAAGAATGGGGAACAAAGATTCTGTGGTTAGGAACCTACATAAGAAAAGCACATGCTCAGGGATGAGACAGACGCCCAGATAGGAATGGACGGACATTTTAGGCACAGATTTTACAAACGCTCTCAGATCCACAACTCAGAAAGCTGCTTTTCTAGAGAGCCTCCCAGGCAGACGCTACACTGGACTGAGTACTTCAATGAGAAAAGGGCAGAGTCATTTGTGGATGAATCAAATAATTCTTTCAAAGGCTAAAAAACTTGCAAGCAGGTTGGGAGAAGCAGCACAGAGCAAACCAATCAGGGCACAGCTTTTTAGCATCTCAAAACTCCACATGACTTAATCACAATTTCTTCAAAAATGGCTTTAAGGAAGATTGTGCTGACTCCACAAGGCCCCTGATCGTCTGGGAATTGTTTGGTTTCTCTGACTCAGTGCCTGGCTTAGCACAGAGAACCTTTCAACCTCCCAGAAAGAGGCTGTGGCACAGAACAGAAACCGATCCTTCTAGAACAAAACAAGCAACCCAAGGAACAGGGAGGGCGGGTTCCTAGTCAAATGCTCCACTGGCTCCTCGGTCGGTCCTAGAAAGACACTCCTTGTAGCAGATCTTAAAAGGTCTTATTTAATAAAATCAAACCTGAGCCAGGTATTGGGGTGAACACTGGAAGATCAGAGAGACAGAACAAGCCACAGCTAACCTCACCTGGCCAACTTCTCAGCTGGTCTAGTTTCCTCAGACTGGAAGCTTCTGTGTCCTCATCCCAATGGCTCTCAGCTGAACTGCTGCTTGAAAGCCTGGAGCTTAACCAGCTAAAAGCTTAATCAGCCAAATGCTTATAATTTCTGGTCCTCACGCCTTATATACCTTTCTGCTTTCTACCATCACTCCCTGGGATTAAAGGCTCACGTTCTGGGATTAAAGGCGTGTGTCACCATGCCTGGTCGTTTCCAACGTGGCCTTGAACTCACAGAGATCCAGAGGGATTTCTACCTCTGGAGTGCTAGGATTAAAGGTGTGAGTGACACCATTTTCTAGCCTTTGTATCTAGTGGCTGTTTTGTCTCTGACCCCAGATAAGTTTATTAGGTTGTACAATATTTTGGGGAACACAATATCACCACAACTCCTCATTCTTTTCCTTCATTGTACTTAACTCCTTTTCAAAAGCTCTTATCTCTTTTTCCTGTTTGCCTTCCCAACTGATTTTCAATATCTTGGTCGGTTGGTTGGTTGATTTTTTTGTTCTCATTCTCTAGCCCAGACTGACTCAAATTGGAATTGATCCTCCTGCTTCAGCCTCCTGAGTGCTGAGCTTACAGGCATGGGCTACCACGCCTTGACAAGTACCACCTCTATTTGTACATTATGCATTCAGCCCTCATAAAAGTAACTTAAGTGACTTTGCAATTTCCAAACAACTGTGGAACCAGCCGGTACCAAAACTCCTACAACACGCTACCGCGAGACTCATTCAATCTTTGTTATAAAGGATGTAGAACGTGGTTATTAAAAACAAAACAAACACCTCACCTTGACTTTTTTCCTGGAAGCTATGAAGGGAAAGGGACTAAAAATCACATGACCACTATTTATTAGATGACTACATATGACAGATCTCTGTTGGGGGCTTGTATATATTATCCCTAGCCTTGAAAACGGGCAAGCATTACAATTCTTTTTTTTTTTTTTTTTTTTTTTTGGTTTTTCGAGACAGGGTTTCTCTGTGTAGCTCTGGAACCTTTCCTGGAACTCACTTGGTAGCCCAGGCTGGCCTCAAACTCACAGAGATCCGCCTGGCTCTGCCTCCCGAGTGCTGGGATTAAAGGCGTGAGCCACCACCGCCCGGCACAATTCTTATTTTACACATGGGAAACCTAATCTTTAAAAACTCAACTGAAGAGCTAGGGCTGTAGGCTTAGTG